CTATTAGATCGATAATAGAGGGATTATTTATCGATTTTAAGCACGTAGGTCTATCTTCTTTATTTATTATCCTAATATTATTCTTTTCTAGCTAATATACTAGAGTAGAAGCTCTTATAGGGGTCGATATATTAGAATTCTATAATAGGTAATAGGTATTTATATCTCCTCCTATAATATAGTTTTTAAAAGGGTTAATATTTATTAGTTCCCTTTCTATAGTTCTTTCTCTACTATTACCTTCTAGAGGGGATTTATTATAGATATTAATAAGTTGGATAGTCTCTAGTTCTTTCTTAGAGTCTATAATATCTATAACTAATAGATCTAGACTATTTACTATATCTAGCCTTAGATTTACTTAAAATCTAGATAGTTTTCGGCTAAATATAGCTACTCTAGATCTATACCCTTTATTTTTAGGTAGGAAGTAATAGTAGGCTAGATAAGCTATAGTATATTGGTTATCTGGACTAATCTAGAGTTCTTAAAATAGAATAAAGTTAATTTTTTTATTATAGGCTATATCTAAGCAGATATATATAGATATATTCTTTCTAGCTACATTATTTTAAAGAAAGCTTATTTTAAATAGAGTATTAGTTTAGTTTTGATCTATTTAACTAATATTCTAAGTTTTTCTAGATTAATACTAGCGGGATCTCTACTACTTTTAGAATCTGTCTTCCTTTAGAGGTATTAGATTCTTATCTTTTTTCTAGATTCTGGCCCTTATTCGTTTCTTTAGGGGGTCTTGCGCCTTTCTCCCTATAGAATAGGTATTCTTTACTATCTACTTTATATTTTTCCTCGCATAGGGCGCATTTTAGCTTAGTATAGGCGCATTAAGTTCCTATTAGATAGTAAATTAGGCAGAAGTAGTAGTTAGTTTCGTAGTTATCGGCACATAGACCACATTTAGCCGGCTTTAGATATCTAGATACTAGGTAACCGTATTCTTAGTATCTACGGTATTATAGACTATATCTAATTTGATTAGATTTTGTCTTATCTAGTCTATATCTTTTAGTAGTCCTCTAGTTTCTAGCTATTAAGATAGGTCTAGGTTCTATCTTATGTCTTAGAAATAGAAGGATAGATCCTCTAGCTTTAGTTTCTAGTTGGCTAGGGTTTGATAGCCAGACTAGTTCTTTTAGTAGAAGATCCTTTAGATCTTCGTTAAAGGTTTCTATCTCCTTTTTGAGGCTTTTTAGGCCTTCCTCCCCTTTAAAGGGTTGAACTTGAACTCCGTGGATTACTAAATAGCTCTATTTTTTATCCCTTCTAGCCTCTATCTTTTCTTTTAGCGTTAGGTAGTAAGTAATTAGAACCTTCTGCCAGATATTTTGTCTTTCTAATAGATAGCTAGCCGAGAAAGAGGGCATTGTAGTAAGTAGGATATCTTTCCCCTTATAGGACTTAGAGACCGCTGCTAGAACTAGTTTTGTAAGTTTTTCGGCTTCTTTAAAGGCTTAATTAATTTTATCTCGAATCTCTAGTCCTTTTAGTCCTTCGAGATTAAGGTCTTGAGCTTTAATAAATAGCTTTCTAGATAATCTACTAGAGGTCTCTTGTTCTTCTTGGTTAGAACCTATATTTCCTCTAGTATTAGAGATATTTTGTTGATTTTTAGGGGTATTAGTAGTTCTTTCCCTATTTTTTACTACTAAGGCCCAGCTAGTAACGGTTTATTCTTATAAGTAATTAGAACCTTCTGCCAGATATTTTGTCTTTCTAATAGATAGCTAGTCGAGAAAGAGGGTATTATAGTAAGTAGGATATCTTTCCCCTTATAGGACTTAGAGACCGCTACTAGAACTAGTTTTATAAGTTTTTCGGCTTCTTTAAAGGCTTAATTAATTTTATCTCGAATGTTTAGTCCTTTTAGTCCTTCGAGATTGAGGTCTTAAGCTTTAATAAATAGCTTTCTAGATAATCTACTAGAGGTCTCTTATTCTTCTTGGTTAGAACCTATATTTCCTCTAGTATTAGAGATATTTTGTTGATTTTTAGGGGTATTAGTAGTTCTTTCCCTATTTTTTACTACTAAGGCTTAGCTAGTAACGGTTTGTTCTTTAGTAGCTTATTTTTGCGACTCTTAATTAGTCTCCTTCTTCTCTAGATTGAAGATTCTTTCTTCTAGAACTTATAGGGAGGTCTTAGGAGTAGGGGCCTTCTTTTACTTATATTTAATAAGCTATTAAATTTGGCCTTTTTAATTCTCTAGTATTTCTAGAGCTATTAGGTCTTTCTCTACTCCTATTTCTAACTCTAGAAGTTTTAGAATAGTATCTAGATTATAGGTAGTATTTATTAATAGACCTTCTACTCTATTAAGAAAAAGAGATTGACTAGTCTTATATACCTTTTCCTAATTTCTTACTTTAGTAGGGGAGTTTTCTAGAGTTCTCTTCCCTAGACCTTTATAGGTCTTTTCCTTTTCCTTAGGATTTATAGCCTTAGGAGTTTAGCTTCGATTAGGGGTACTAAGTACCTAAAAAGGGTTTTAGTTTTGTTCTTTAGGGGTTAAGGGAGCTTATCTCTTATCCTTCTTTAAAGGCTACTACGCTATTCCCTAGTAGCCTTTCTTCTAATACTAGCTTAAGTAGCCTAGATTAGGTATCGGAAAGGTTTTAATCTTCCTTTAAGAAGAAAGTTTATCTAGAACTTCGAGATAGAGAAGTATTAGATAATAGGGGGGTTTAACTAGATATATCTCTTAAGGAAATAGAGTATATAGCTTTCTTTCCTAGAGAAGTATATTCTAGTAGTAGTTTTTAAAGAGAACTACTAAACTAGTAGATTTTTTATAGGGAAACCTATTTAAAAATCTATAAAATATATTCTAGATAGTAATCTCTACCTTAGACTTCTAGAGTCTAACTTAGAGGTTCCTTAACTAGGTATATATTCTATTAGATAGAGAGAGAAGGCGTAGATAGTACTAGGTTCTATTTTTTCTAAGAAAAACCCAGGAAAAAAAGCTAATACTTTTTAGGTAGAAGTAATAAACTATTCCACTTTTCTTTTTAGTAGAGAATTAGGATTCTAAAATAACTGCTTTTGTATACAAGGGTAGAGGTCCCCACCTTCCGGTCCTGATTTTAGTGTCCTTTTAGTGTTATAGAGGCCTCTAGCTAAGCTAATAGGGGTATTTAAAAGAGATAAAAGGTATTATATTAGACTTACTCTATCTCTTTTAGATATCTTCTTAGTTAGCCTTTTGGATAATCCTTCTTCTAAATATCTAGTTTAGAAAGCTTAATATTCTCTATATAAGTATATAAAGGTATATCTCTTTCTAGTACTAAATTTCTATTAGAAGGTTATCTTATAGGGACTTAATAGCTCAGCTAGGCTATTAGGTATTTTGCTGATTTAGTATTTCTTTTTTTTTTAATTTTATGGTTAATAAGTCAAGGTTTAAGGATTAGATAAGGATAGAGATAAGTTAAGTTAAGATTAGAAGTAAAAAGGGGGTAAGGTAGAAAGTCAGGTGATTAAAAGGGGTAAGGCTTGGTAAGGAAAATCAAAAGTTGGATGCAGAATTTTCTAGTAGAATGCGCTTTTTGCTTGCGCTATTTCTCTACTACTAGTTGGTATTTGATTCTGAAAGTTGGTGATCAGAATAAGCTTGATAAGAGCTTTAATTTGAGTCGCTTTTGGCCTCAATCGACCAGAAATTGGCTGTGTTCGACCATATGTGCTCACTAATAGAACCTAGAGTAATATAGAATAAGAGACTTAATATAGCTTATATATATAAGGGTACTTATCGCCTACTTTAATTAAGCAATCGCACTCCTAAACGAATAATTTTAGTAGCGATTATTAATCGTTCTAGTTCTTTATCTAGTTCTTTCTATAATTATTACTTCTATTTAATATCCCCTTAATAAGCCTTATATCTAATTAACTAGAGTACTACTTTAATTATAAAAAGGAACTTATACCTATAGAAGTAAATTAGACTTAGAGCTATTACCTTAAAGTTAGATACTAGAATATCTCCGTTTAGATATATCTCTAATAATACTTCGACCTAACTATCTATAAAGAGCCCTTAAGTGATTCTTACTTAAGTATACTTCTAGTTATATAGGCTAAAAACCCTTTATAGTAACTTTATAGCAAGTTATAGCTTTATAGTACTAATTAATATAAATATACTTCCTTTATCTATCTAATATCCCCTTAATAAGCCTTATATCTAATTAATTAGAGTACTACTTTAACTATAATAAGGAACTTATACCTATAGGAGTAAGCTAGACTTAGAGCTATTACCTTAAAGTTAGATACTAGAGTATCTCTATTTAGATATATCTCTAATAATACTTCGACCTAACTATCTATAAAGAGCCCTTGAGTGATTCTCACCCAAGTATACTTCTAGTTAATATAGGCTGAAGACCCTTTGTAGCACTTTGTAGCATTTATAAAGAGTAATAATTCTTATTTATCTAGATCTAGAATCTATTAAATAAGTATTTCCTCTTTAATATTTATTAATTTATATAAGTTTATATATAAATTTATATATAAAGGATAGCCTTTAAATTAATCTATAAGGATTAATTTTAATATATTAAATTAATATATAGCTTTATAAATAGAGGTAATTTCCTTATTTTTTAAAGTAGTAATTATAAGTTCAATCTTTCCCTCTATTTCTATAGAGTTTCTTGATTTTTTATTATAAATTAGTGATATAGTCACGTATAGAAGTTGTTAATTAGTTAAGAAGATTACGCGTTTGAATTTGGTGGCCGACTCGACTCGCTTGTGGATTACGTTACTGAGTCTGTCGATCATTACTAACTAATCACCTGCTCCGACTCGATCCAACCTCCTAACAAAGCAGCCACGTCAAAAGTCGTTTCGTCCTGCAAGCCACTCCCGCTCTCACTCTTCCTCTCTTTTTGCTGTCTATATCTCTCATTATCACCATCTGCCTGCCGGATAAGTGGTTTTGTTGTCTGCCTGGACTCACACACATCATGGCTGGTATGACGCGTATCTTGGCCATTGTGGCCTGTGCCGTCGTCGGTCTATTCCTCTTTATGGGACAGACGGTCGAAGCCAAAGGACCCAAGATTACTAGCAAGGTACATATCTTGTGACGTTGTCAGTCTAGAAATATCAAAGAGGTACTAACTAATTGTGATACGCAGGTCTACTTCGACATTGAGCATGATGGCAAGCCTCTTGGACGAATTGTTATGGGATTGTACGGGAAGACGGTTCCAGAGGTGGGTTGGCATCCCAATATGCAACACTCTGGAGGATATATGTGCTGATTACATGTGTTATAGACCGCTGAGAACTTTCGGTATGTGCTGTTTGCTTCTATCAACAATCAATTGGTATCAAGGGTCAACGACTGACAGATATGATATAGTGCTTTAGCAACTGGCGAGAAGGGATTTGGCTATGAAGGGTCCACCTTCCACCGTGTTATCAAGGACTTCATGATTCAAGGTGGCGACTTCACTAGGGGCGACGGTTAGTACTATTCCCTATGTTCATAAATATATTCCTACTAACAGTAGTCTAGGCACCGGTGGAAAGTCCATCTATGGTGACAAATTTAAGGATGAGAACTTCAAACTACGCCACACCAAGACCGGCCTTCTCAGTATGTATTACCTGCCCTTGGAGCATTAGTTGGATTACATATTAACGATAACCCTGCAATAGGCATGGCCAACGCTGGAAAGAACACCAACGGATCTCAATTCTTCATCACTACCGCTATCACTAGGTGTGTTTGCATGTTACGTAACATTTTATTCAATATAACTTGTACATTTTCTGACAATGCATTAAATAGCTGGTTAGACGGTATGCATGTTGTCTTCGGCGAGGTACTTGAAGGGTACGATATCGTCGACAAGATCCAGAACGTCCCCAAGGATGCACAAGACCGCCCCATCAAGGAGGTGAAGATCTCCAAGAGCGGAGAATTAGAGATGAAGGAGGAGGAGGCAGAAGGTGAAGGTACAGAACCACCATCCTCTCCCGACACTGGAAAAGAAGAGGCCCCAGCCCGTGATGAAATCTAAATGATTTTATCATCAAACTTGCACACGTGTACCCTGCTCACCCGTCCCATCCTCATATTCATCAATTGTACGCCATATGACCAAATACCTTGAAGCTTACAGTCCGGATCCGCTGATTTTTGTGAAATGTGCTATTTATGAAATTTTAAAAGGGTATTTTGGACGATTACGATTCAGCAAGGACCAAGCCTTTTTGATGCCGGATACCATCAAAGAGTAGACAATGTATACGATGCAAATATACTTACAATGGAAGTGTTTTATTATCCAGCCTTTCCTACTTTTCGTCATTTACTATTGTACCTCTACTCCTGAACGTATATTCCTCTCATACTCGAACCAATATTACGTGCTAGCCAATATATATTGGAACTTCTAACTATAAACTATTGCTTCGTATTATGTTCACTGATTGATGGCTATAGTTAGCTCCTCTAATGTTGAAACTGGAGTTCGTGTATATCTTCAATATCTAGGAGAAAAATTACATCTAATCCTCCTGTTGCCCAGTCTCTATTCTCCACATCTCTGGCGTAGAGTATGGTAGATGCGGCTGGAGGTTGACCTTGATCCTTCTCACCCTGCTCCGCCACATTCAAACCTATATACCCAAGCATCCTCAGCGGTACATCAAACCTCATCAGGTTGGTGTAGGAGTTAGTGTCTCTTGTTTCATCACCGATCGGCGATGTATATGCCGGCTAAGCTGGACATCTTTCCCACTTAGCATCGCCATGATACCCAATATAAGGATGAGATGGGGACTCTCAAGGTGCTCGTCCCGATTGAATCATTATAACTCTTGTGATTTCAGTAGCTATGAGTTCCCTACTAAAAACAATTGCACTTTGTGCTGCTTTTGTACCAGCTACGATATCTTCATCTCGTGAGCGCCTCAACAACTATGATTATGACGATACTGGCCCGGCAGTGACCATTGATTCCGGTGTTATTATCGGTAGAGACGGCCGACTTCCTGGCTCCAAGGCAGTGCAGAAGTTCCTCGGTATTCCATTTGCCCGGCCACCAGTCGGAGACCTTAGATTCTCACCTCCTGAACTTCCACTACCATGGCCAACGCCTAGATACACTACCGGAAGCCCCCCCGCTTGCATTCAAGATTTTGGCAACAAGACCTCTGGCAGCCAGTTTCAGAAGGCGCTGTTTAACACACCTCCGGCTCCGGGAGAAAGTGAGGACTGCCTATATTTAAACGTCTACCGGCCTAGTGGTGATTACGAGCATAAGCCGATATTATTCTGGATATATGGCGGCGGATATAGATTTGGCGCTAGTTCATATCCGTTCTACGACGGTTCAAGCCTTGCTGCAAATCAAGATATCATTGTGGTTACTGCAAACTATCGGACGAACCGTGAGTATGGATACTACACATATATGCCACGAAAGGGCGTAGGTTGACCCATAGTATATAGTGTTTGGATTCCCTCGGTCACCGCAGCTGCCTTTGAACCAGCGGAATCTTGGGATACTTGATCAGAGACTGGCTCTTGACTGGGTCAAAAGAAACATTCATGTTTTTGGCGGCGATCCAAACAAAGGTATGATCTTGCGAAATATCTGCCTTCCTTTTGCAATTATTAACAGGTTCCGTAGTAACCATCGCTGGTCAATCCGCTGGCGCAGTATCTGTAGGCCACCTTATCAACACTGCTCCTCCTGGACTCCCCTTTCGAGCGGCCATTCTTCAATCGGGTTCCTCGCTGTTTGAACTTCCTCCAGGGCCTCCCAACGGCGAATTCTCATCGTGGACAAGCTTGATTCAACATCTCAACTGCACAGATGCTTCAGATACAGCCATCTTACGTTGCGTTCTCGCCGCGAGCGTAGATACTCTGCGAGAGATACTGTTGAAAACGGGGTTACCATTCCAAACACCTAACATGGATAATGTCACGGTACTCGAATCACCAGCCAAGGCATATGCTGCAGGCAAGGCATCCAAGGTACCAATTCTCATAGGCTCGACGCTTGATGACGGGTCAACCTTCTCTTATGGCAAAGGGGCAAATGTCACAGCCTTCATCGCAAGCTTATCGTTTCCCCCTGAGATAGCGGCGGCGATAACGAAACTATACGTACCAAACTCCACTGCAGCAGCAGGCCTATCAACGGGAAAGCAAATAATCTCACAAATTGTAACGGACTCGACGTTCCGCTGCCCTGCTGGCTTTGTTGCGAACCTTACTTCAACGGCGCTCAAGGCGCCTGTCTGGCAATATCTGTTTAACGACTATGCTGCACGGCACCCAGAGTATCCAGAGCTAGGTGTCTACCATACTTCTGATATTGCCTATGTGTTCGGTACCCAGGTGCTTCGTAATCCCAAAGAAGCGAACATGCTATGGCTACAGAAGTTATGGGCAGATTTTGTGAAGAACCCGCATGCTGGCCCAGGCTGGAAACAGTATCCTTCTGTTGGCTTGCTAAAAGGAGGCGAGGATAGCACTATCAACACCGAAGACGTGAGGAAACTAGATCCGGTCTGCAAAGTGTGGGATAAACTGTACTCCTTAACACTCATAAAGACTTAGCATTTTCATCTATGGCGTTAGGCTATCAGAAGCATTTAACTAAGCCCTCATCTCCAAACAACTAATTTAACAAGAGTTTGAACAGCCTTTTGCCCTCTTAGTGCATGTTTAATAGCCTAACAACACTAAGGTAAACATCTTGGGTTGCGGACACGTAGAGTTCGACTCTCTCGAATTTACTTTGAGCCACAGGTTACAGGTCGGAAGGCAATATTTTTAGGGGTCTCCAGGTACTCTTCCAGAGGAATGCTAGACTTCCAATCGGTTTTGGCGGCCCGGATACTCCGTAGATTTTGCCTGCTTGGCCTTGCTGGTCTCTTCGGATTCTTGACCGTCGTTCTCCCTTAGCACTGACTTAGTACAGAATATATCCAGGAGCAGCTTTGTGTGGAATATGTAAGTGTTATCTATCTAGTGGCGTCATACAACTGTACTATGTATGGTTTGGCCTGGGGGAGCCATTGTTAGTTATTTAACGGACAACTTCCACCGTTTGTATCAGCGACATCTAACCAAACGTCAGCTCTTCAACAGCCACTACAATATCTAAGTAGTTAACAACTACTATGTACACGCGCATCTGGACGAGGGTTGCTGCGTTGCATGCGACATGACAACGAAGAACTGCGACATCTTCCATTACGCCACGCCTGACATCCGGTGTGCTTCGTCCTCCATGCATCCAAGCCTCCGACCGCCTGGGATCTGAATCTGGGATGTACATTGGCTTTGAGAAGCGCAGCGGATCGACAACATGCAGAAGGCAAGGATGGATAAATATTCTGTGTATTCACAACCCCCAGCCGGAGGAACCAATCATGGACTTTTCCGGTCCCTCTGCGGCACATACAGAGTGGCAGCGAATGCAGATGGTGAGACTACACTATGAGGAAGTACATCGTACAGGCATGCATATGCATTTTAGGAGAAAGGATTCGACTAAGCCAGGTAGACAGCTAGAAAAAACGCCTACAGAGTACAGCTGTCAGATCCACGGAGACAGAAGTTGATGCGTCTGATCGCAAACCCCGTTTGTCAATTCAGGGATCTTTGGATGCGGCAAGGTTTCGCTCTGGCGAGGGTTTCGCTGACTGGAACTATCCGATTCGACCAACTCTGGCTCGTTTTCTCCTGGATTAATGAAGGTTTGGATATCATTTTTCACCATAACACTAAGAGGGTCCGGAAGGAAAAGCCGAGAACGAGAAGGCGTGGAGTATGGCCCTTTTGGTATAGTCTATCTACAGAGAATATTTGCGCATCTCGAAGGAAAAGACTCCCCCATTGCCCAAGTGCCTCACGATTGAACGCAGTCAACATAGTGGAGAAAGGTTCTGTCTCCCCCTGTGGGATTTTCCTCCCACTCTCTATCCTGTCATTGTGTACTCTGTATATACATATATATATACTATGGTGGGCCGCTTCGAGATCCATGAAACGGCTGTGGAGCAAGAGAGGAAGATTTGCAGCCGAGCGAAGCAACGCACACACCAGACGAGGCACACCAGAAAACCGCTATGGACACCTTGATCACAGACTCGAATGGACGAACGCCCGTTTGACATTGTCGCTTGGCTCTTCTTCGTGGGCGTTCGCTGGTCTGCTTCCCTGCCGCTCCCCTTTTACTATCTTTGGCTGGCTGAAATAGATTATCGCCCTGAGCGTCTACAGTTGCCGCACCAACCTTCATCATTTAGCTCGCCATTTGTCCGTCCTGGCCGATTCGGAAGAGGGCAAAAAAAAAAAACACCAAAAAGAAAAATAAAGTATCCAAATATTTTGGGGGATAAGCAAGAGTCTGAATGTCTATATTTGCTTTTTGTGTCCACTAGGCACTGTGCCTTCACACTATTCCTGGTCAGGATGGAGATCTAGAGCTTGGCGAGAGATGGCCGTGCAGCTGGCCGCTTGTTGGTTGCTGTTCTTCGTTGTTCCGTCTGGATGGCAGCAACTCGGGGGCTGCTCACTGCTTGTCTGCTGGCTCTCCCTCTCAACTTTAAACTACTTCCCGCCCCCCTTGACCGCAGAGGTTAACATTACCCTCCATTGTCGAAACTACAGGAAGAGGTATTATGAACTAACGCCCTCAAGTGCAACCTGGGCAGGCTGCTGGGGCGCATTTTGGGTTAATCCGTTGGCCTTTTCTTTTTCAGTCCTCCCTCAGCTTTTCTCTTTTTTTTTCCCTTTAAGCAGCCCAGACCCGTCCCCTCTGGACTGGCAGGACTGGGAACAACAGACAGCATCGGGTTAATAAAAAAGAAGAAGACACCCTCGTTACACATTCCCAAGACAAAGTGACGAGGTCCCGAAGAAAAGAATAGCTACATGCGAGCAATGATATGCGGATACCATGTTCTTTGCTGGTCTTGAATCTATCCTTGGCTTGGCTCATACCGTGAACACTCGAAAGAAGAATACGATATCTCAAGAATAGCTTGCTCCGTGGGAAAGAAAGGTAACTCATTCATTTATACCATTACAATGACGAACATAAAGAATTAGCAATTGATGAAAAGAACTTCGATTTTTGATCGTATAGCTCCGCAACTGGCTGATTTTAACACACATCACCATCCAAATTCCCCGCTGTCTGTCATGCCTCCCAAGACGAAGAAGTCGAAACTTGCGGAACGCCGTGCTGCGGCAGCGGCTGGTGCTGTTGGAAAAGAAGGGTCTGGCAATAAGAACGGAGATGTCTTCCACTTTGTCACTGTGAATCCTATATCGGAAGACCAGAAGCTAGAGAACAGGACGTTGATCCGTTCACATGCTAGTAAGTATATATGGAGGCAGCATCGAGCAGTACGGGCCGGGGACGCGAGCTCTGGGGGACCGCCTGCAAGTATAAACGTCAATGGGGATGAAAATGGCTCCGGCCTGGCAGTACGACAGTATTCTGCGGCCGATACAGGAAAGACAGTCGCAGCGTCTCGACGCCGTGGACAGGCATTCAAAGCGTGGTCGGCGGGCGTTAAGGAGGAGGATCCGTCGAGTAATAGAATAGGGATGGGTATGAGTGTGCATAGGGCCATAGATATGGTCGCCACCGCACCCACTACAGAGACGGAGGAGCCTGCGATCAACGAAACTCGTGGAAATGCCGGCGCAGGCTGTGAAGGGGACATGGGCCCGGACGCCGACGGAGACATGGATGATACTTCACAACTCAATGCCCAGGCCAATGACAAAACTATTGATCTCCCAGGAGAAGAAAGCAGTGACTCTGAGGATTCTTCTTCTACAGGCTGTCGCGCAATAGCACCGCACATCCGGGCGTCGGACCCAATCCACTCCGACATGGGCAGAAATAACACCGTTAACCGTCCATTCAACCAAATCATACACTGGCTAGAGAATCCTAAGCAGATATGCCCTTCAATATTGGATGAGGGGGCTATAAGCAAGCTCATGCGCTATGCTGCTTTTGATCTCTGGCCGGGCCTAGTATTAGGGGCCGAAGGTCAGCGCTGGGGCCGTGAAGCTGCAGCTGGAGTATGGCTTCCTCGTGCCATGGCTAACCCAGCGCTGTTCACGGCTTTCCTGTATGGTGCCGCGGGTCATATGCAAACACGCAGACGACTTGATAGTGTTCAGGTTGCGCCTCAGACGAGAGCAGAGAAACTGGAACAGATTGTATGCGAAACAGAGACGATCAAGCAGTTGAACATGATGATGAAGGACCCAGCACAGGCATTTTCGGACGAGGTAGTTCTCGCCGTTTTGTGCATGGCATTTAACCGAATTGATTATTCGGGTTGGACGGTATCTGACCCGTCTCCAAAGGCACCCTTGAGGAACTTGCAATGGTTGGATGTTTATGGTGGACTGTCGTTGAATGACCATCATATCAAGGGGCTTATGGCTATCATTGAGACGAGGGGAGGGCTCAAGTCAATAAAGATGCCCGGTTTGGCAGAGACGTTATCTACGTATGTTCCCCCCCCCCATCTTGATGTCAGGTGTGTTTGTCTCTCCTATACTAATACCTTCTCCTAGATCCGGCATAATGCTTTCGACGAAGTATCTGGCTAAACCCCGTCTGCCATTCGTGCCTATTTTCAAGGAGACGGCCATGGGGCAAACGCCAAACTGGCCTTCTCTCAACCCAACTCCCATTAACTGCAGAAACGGAAACTCACACTCTTCCTCCACAGCTTCTACGAATTCATCATCTACCACCACCACAACTCTACACTACCTCCTCAGCACACGTCCCATGCACAATTCTATTCCTACTAACCCACTCTCTCCCATTCCGCCCAACCTCCAAGTCATCCTTCAGAACATGCGAGAATATAACATCGTTGTCGACCTACAAACCCAAGGTCTTCTACCCAACCTTGAACTCTCCGTCATTGCCGACCGCCGTAACTACATCCAGTATAACCTCGTCTCTCTACCTGCTTCCTACGAATTTCCGGACGACTACATCGCTACCTACAGGCTGTATGAAGCTTGCCGCCTTGCCGCCATGGTATACAGCATGCTAGTCATCTTCCCATTGCCAGCGGCCAATCGACCATTCAAGAGGCTTGTTGCACAACTGGTCAACGCCCTGATCACCGTCGATGGCGACGAAGGGAGCGGCTGGGCAGCTGAGTCCGGTCAATGGCCATGGGAGTATGGACGAGAGGGCCAGGACAGGCTTGGCTCTGAGGAAGAGGAGAGGGTATCCTGTATATATCTGTGGATTATTGTGATGGGAGGTATAGCGTCCAGGGGCATGGGGGCCGATAGTGATTGGTTTGCAGCTCGGTTTGACCAGACGCTGCGGATGAAGGGACTATCGACATGGGAAGGGGTGAAGCAGTGTCTGACGTCGATTATGTGGATGGACAGCGTTTGTGATTACGGCGGACTGACTTTTTGGAAGGAAACTAAAGATGGATTCTAACGACTGGCTCTTCTTGTCTATTTCCCTTTCCCCAATTTCTCTCTTCGCTTTTTTACTGTCGTTAAAGCTTCTATTCTTGCGTATAGGATTATGATTGGTGTTTTGCTCTTCTTCCTAGGGATCCTACCTTAAGAGGGTGTCTGTTCTATATAGGACCACTAGCCATGTACAGCTGAATAGTTATCTTCTTTCTCCGTATCCTTCTACTCTTTCGCCTTGCTTGTGACATAATCGATATTGCCCCTGAATCGATGACATCCACCAACTTTCCCTCCGTAGTTGGACAAGGCTTGCCACTTGACACCTGTCAGTACTTCACAGCAACTCTACCACCATCTGCCATCTTCCACTCCTTTAGAATCCTACAGGGATAACTTCTCTCGTCTTCTCTTCTCGCCCCCTTTTTCCTGATAATTTTCATATATATTTTTGTTAGTCATAAAGAAGCGTGGGGGCTCTGCTGAGTCATCTATACCGTCACATTGATACCATCTCAGTGGGTCATGACACCTGTCTTGACCAACCAAATCCCTCTTTTATACTGTCATGTAACCCTAGTACTGCTTACTCATCCCGCTAAAAAATCTTCGCACGCGCCAAGCCAAGACGCCAAGCTTTTTTTTTCTTCTAAAAAAAAATCGACTTTTTTTGCCGCTTTTCGACTTTTTCTTCTTCTTCTTCACCAACACAAAAAACCTCCAAGTCTGTTGTTTTTCTTCTTCTCATCCGTTTTTCCTGGTCTTGTTTTTTTCTTCTCTCTTTGGTTTTTTAATAGAGAGGAAAGAAGTAAGGCTTTGACAGGCTTTTGCGGCTGATATCCCAATATACGACTTAATTTCACCGCCTTCCACCTTGTGCTTCCGCCGCTTGTTGAAAAAACACACGCACACACACACAATATCAACAACATCAACACACACGAGCAAAAAAGAAGAATATACTGAAACGAGATTTAAATCTTGTGTGGCTCAAGGTCTTTCTCTTTTGTTTAGATAAATCCCACGTCTTTCTTTCTTTTTTTTTTCTGCTTATTTTACTCGTAACGACCATCTACGATCCCTCAAAACGAACGCCAGTAATCAGTATCTCATTGATCAACTAGTCTGATACTCGGTGAGTACTTCTATCTTGGAGAGCGTTAGATGTTCATTTGGCTAACCTAGTTCCCCTCTAGTTAATTATGGCTGATAATCTTAAGATTGGAAATTTGTCCCTCAACGACTCCCAGCACGCTCCCAACGCTACAGGACGCTCTGCATACATTCCTCCACACCTCCGTGGCCAGGCTCGCCAAGCTGCCGCTGCCGAGTCTACTTCTGGTTCTACTTCGGCTGAGGGCGTTGATGGACATGCTCCCGGGCAGAATGGCCGCCCTGCTGGCATGAATGCCAGCGCCTGGGCTCCCGGGTGTGTATATGTTTTGATATTGGGTCAAATGATTGTAAACTTATTGCTAACTCATTGAAGAAATAGAGGTCCGAATAACGCTCCTGGTTGGAGTTCTGGCGACTATGCTCCTCGTGGCGGTCCGGCCGTGAATGGTAATTCTGGCTGGGGTCAACCCGCCGGTTCCCGTCGTACTTTCGATCCACATGCTTACGGTCACCCAGGTCACCAAGGCCAACAGGGCGGAAACTACGGTGGTGCTGCCAGAGGCTCTGGTGATGGCCAATGGCGTGACGGTAAACACATCCCTGGCCCCTCGAACGCTCGTCTCGAACGTGAACTCTTCGGTGTCCCCAACGATCCCAGCAAGCAGCACACCGGTATCAACTTCGCCAACTACGATGATATCCCTGTCGAGGCATCCGGCCAAAACGTCCCCGAGCCCGTTAGCACCTTTACGAACCCTCCTTTGGACGACCATTTGATATCCAACATCAAGCTGGCATCCTATAAGGTTCCGACCCCTGTGCAGAAATATTCCATCCCGATTGTCATGGGAGGTCGTGACTTGATGGCTTGTGCCCAGACCGGTTCTGGAAAGACTGGTGGTTTCTTGTTCCCCATCCTCTCACAGGCCTTCCAGAACGGCCCCTCGCCAGCTCCCACCCAACAGGGCGGCCAGTTCAGCTATGGCCGTCAGCGCAAGGCCTATCCTACTTCCCTCATTCTTGCTCCAACTCGTGAGCTAGTTTCTCAGATCTACGATGAGGCTAGGAAATTTGCATACCGCTCCTGGGTCCGTCCATGTGTTGTCTATGGGGGCGCGGACATCGGCTCCCAGCTCCGCCAGATTGAACGTGGCTGCGATCTCCTCGTTGCTACTCCCGGTCGTCTTGTCGACCTTATCGAGCGTGGCCGCATCTCTCTCTGTAATATCAAGTACCTTGTTCTTGACGAGGCTGATCGTATGCTTGACATGGGTTTTGAGCCTCAAATCCGCCGCATTGTTGAAGGTGAAGACATGCCTCCGGTAGCTGGCCGTCAAACCCTCATGTTTTCAGCTACTTTCCCTCGCGACATCCAGATGCTCGCGCGTGATTTCTTGAAGGACTACGTATTCCTTTCCGTTGGTCGTGTTGGTTCTACCTCTGAGAACATCACCCAGAAGGTCGAATATGTCGAAGACGCTGACAAACGCTCCGTCCTGCTCGATATCCTGCACACCCATGGTGCTGGACTCACTCTCATTTTCGTTGAGACCAAGCGTATGGCTGACTCTCTTTCCGAGTTTTTAATCAATCAGCACTTCCCCGCCACCGCTATTCACGGTGACCGCACTCAGCGTGAACGTGAGCGTGCCCTCGAATACTTCCGCAACGGTCGCTGCCCAATCCTTGTTGCTACTGCTGTTGCTGCCCGTGGTCTCGATATCCCTAACGTCACCCACGTCGTCAACTACGATCTACCCACTGACATTGATGACTACGTTCACCGTATTGGTCGTACCGGTCGTGCTGGAAACACTGGTATCTCTACCGCCTTTTTCAACCGTGGAAACCGTGGCGTTGTCCGTGACCTCATCGAATTGCTCAAGGAGGCACACCAGGAAGTTCCATCTTTCTTGGAGAACATTGCCCGCGAGGGCTCTGGATACGGTGGTCGTGGAGGTCGTGGCCGTGGCCGTGGCTCTGCTGGTGCTAACCGTGACATGCGTCGCATGGGTGGTGGAATGGGCGGTCCACCTTCCTACGGTGGTGGTGGCGGCGGCGGCGGCGGCGGTAACTACACTGCCCCCCCAAGCTACGGTGGTGGTAAGTATTCTCTTATCCTTTTCTATCTCCTCTTTCTCTAGTCTTTCAGAATCCGCTACTGACCGTGTATATCAGGCAACTATGGCGGTGCTCCATACGGTGGTGGTTACGGAGGTGGTGGCTACGGTAACCCATCGGGCCCTACTGGCCCATCGTCCTGGTGGTAAACTGTCACCGTCACGGCACATGAAGCTGGCAGTTGGTTTGATATAACCTCAGTCTGCTTGCCCTACTTTCTTTACAACAGTGGCTTTTCCTTCTTTTCCCTTTCCATCAATTTCGATTTCGATTTCTCACGACTGAAAAGTGACGTTCTGTTCTATTGAGAGGAACAAGAAAGGGAGTCAAGCAGGGTAAGATTAAAGAGGAGAGGGAGCGGCTTTTTGTTACGGCCCGCTACCTTTCTTCTTTCTCGATATCCCATCCCTTTTGTTTCTTTTGTCTTCTGTCTTGCATCTTGTCTTCCACCAAAACACAACAGAAAAAAAAAAGAACGAGAAAAAATATACAGAAAGGAGCGTCTATCTCGACGTGGCCCCCCTTTTCTGTACACGCACGAACACTCCTCCACAGACGCGCACCAGGATCTGAAGTCGATTCTAGAGTGCGGGTGGGCTGGCCAGTTTCTTCATCTTTTTCTCTCTCGCTCGTCTTTTTCCTACCAACGTGAACGCAAACAGACCCAGAAGATATATCACCGGCATAACCCGCATCGAGATGTGGTGTCCACTTGGGCCTTTGCATTTTCTGCATTGCCTTGTCTTGTTCTTAATGTCTTCATTTTTTCCTGTCTTATTTCTTTCCTTGCCGTCGTCTTCCTTTTTCTTTTGCCATCAACCGCAGGCATCATGGAGAAAAGAAGAAGACAAGGGGGAAAATCAAAATACAAAATCGGGAATCGGGGGAATCGGAACTTGCATGAAGATCATATAGACCAGCGTTGATTGTGGAGTGTTTTCTTCTTCTTTTTTTCATGTCCCTTTTCCATGTCCTTTTTTTTAATGGCTGCTTTGATGGGTTTTTTGTTTCTTCTGCTTCTGCTTCTTACGGCTTGTCTATGAGATACCCAAACCAGCCCCCTTTTTTTCATTCCACCTCTCTCTACACGCTCTCCATTCGCCTTTCAGCATGGTTTATGTTTGCTTCTCTACATCTCTCGATCATCTCACCTTTCTCCTTTCTCCTTTTGTCTTTTACAACGAGCCTGGTCAGGCGACGGCTACGTTTCTCGACCGTCTGCATTGCATCCTCCGGCCAGGAGCAGAAGTCATCATCTTTTTCTTTTGTCTCTTCCATATCATTCATGTCGCATTTCCCATGTTATTAGAGAGAGAGGGATGGAGAGGGAACGGAACACTTGAAAAGAACTTCTCATAGACGGAGTTTTTCTTTATTTTATTTATCCATGGCCGGTTTGGCTGGTCGTTTTCTCTCATGAGAGGATGAGATGAAATTGAAAAATAGCAGCAGATTAATATTCATTTCAATTGTTCTTTCGTGTAAACATCTTGAGAGCTCTACGTAATATTCCAACCAACATCTATAGACTCATGTAGCTTATAACCAGAGAAAGCAAGGATGGTCGAAAAAGAGTGCAAAGTATGGAAAGGTACGCGCGCTCACGCGTAAATTAGCAGAGACTGCAGGTACCTCGCCATCGACAAAACTTGAGATGGACCAGAGCGGAAAAAAAAACCCTCCTGACCAGCCTTTCTTTTTTCCAACTTTGCTTCAGTCGAAAAAGTCGAAAAAAAGAAAAAAACTTCCCGCGCGCAACTTTCTTTTCTCTCTGCTTCGCCTTCACCTTCGACGTTTGCTCAGTCAATCGCCTCGACTTGAACTCCCCAGCTTAGGACGGCTGGCAATCGAACGATGATCAACTCTGCTGCTTGTCCTCGAGTCGTCTAACCTTGGTCGCAGTTTATTGTGTCAGCTTGCCCAAGCGGTGTTGATTCCTCTTTACCTCTCCTCACTCTTGCAATCCAGGCCGAGTCAGGCTTGTAATGGCGAGCACCAATTCGCCGTCTCGCCAGGCCAGCCCGGCTGAAGCTGCAGCTGTTCCGGCGCCGGCAACACCAGCGCCAACTCGACAACCTCCAGCATCTCCATCTTCTGCCCGGGAACAAGAAGCTCCATTGAAACCCGCCGAGTCACGAACAGAGTCTACGCCGAAACCACAGGCACAGCCCGAGGCCTCGACGACAGCGATGGAAGCTGGTGGTCTGCCAGACGATAGAGGCGCGTTCGAGCCCGAAAAGGAGACGCATTTTGATAAGCCTGATGGGGGCTTCTACGCTGGCTCGAGGAAGGATTTCCCACTTCCTGCGTGCCGATACCCGCTCCCCAGGACGAGCGTGAAGCGTCTCTCAGAGCCAGAACCGGGCACAAAGGGCGGTAGACAGAGACATTATACCGATGACCCCAACCATCCGCTACAAGGCTTTTGGACAGAGGCTGGTACCTGGGTGGACTGGCCGCCCAAGAGCAGTACGCCTGGTCCGGACGGAAAGGAACAGGAGCAGCAGCAGCAGCATGGTCATGAAAAGGCGCGAGAGCCGGATCATGAGGGTGACAAGGCTGACAGGGGGAACCAGTCTGGCCCAGCTTCTGAGACGACGGCATCAAAGACTGGGGGTACAGCTACTGTGAGTGCATCAGATGATCGTGACCAGCAGGAGGCCGCCAATACTGCAACTGCCCATGCGACAGCCAACACGACTGCCAGTAGCCGTCGACAGACAAACGGCACCATTGGGAGCGTCTACTCCGGCAACAAGATTCGCCATCTCAAGAAAGACGACGGCATTCCGCTGTGGCGCAAAGATATCCAACATCTCTTTCTACGGCTGGTATTCGAGGACACCACGCCCGTCTTCACCCGACTTTCGGACGGGAAAGGTGGACTGACCTTCGCGGACATTTATATCGACGCCATGGCAAAGAGTAGCAAGACTAGCAAAGTCTTGAAGGACAAGCTGACCAGTGACAGGCCTGCTGCAATTAACATGGCCATGGTATGTCTGCTGGTTAACTTTGGGAGGATGAATACTACCCTTAACTGTAAGTCCTCAAACCTGCCTAGCATTAATTTCTTTTTGTATGGCCAGTGTTAATGTCATCGATAGTCTTTCCCGAAATGCGCGCCCAATTACGAACCTACCACTCGATTCCGTCTCTTCAGGCTCATCAGGACTCAAGCGCATACAAGCAACTCCAAGACGCACCCCGGCTTAAATCCATTTTAAAGGGAGCGTCTGAGGACATCGAACAGCCTAATACTATTGAGAAACTAAGAGATACTCCAGTCCCACGCACTAATCCCGTCAACCTCATCTTCATTCTAGCACAGTATGCTCCTAAGATATCAGAAATGCACTTCCATTCACCCCATGACTTCTTCGACCTTGTCATGCGCGCTACACTGAGCAGCAGGAGCCGTGCCACGGCCTTCCTCTGGCTGATGTGGTTTTATTTGGAGAGTGACTTCTCCGACGAGGCGGCTCTGAAAAACCCTTTTGGTCCTGGTGTGGTTGGGGACGGGACCGATGGCTCACCACTGAAGATTCCCCCGCTGGAAGACCTGACGGAGGAAGAAGCTGATGCGGAGAATGTTGATACCCAGGACGAGATTCTATATGGAGAGGAAAAGCAGAAGGAACGCAGGAGTACGTCTCATTTATCATAATGAATGGTTAATGATGCTAAGTGACATATAGGAATACTTGACGATGATGACATTGTATCTCGAAACAAGCGGGTCAAGAAAGGTAGGTGATTTCTTTTTTGTTTCCCCTTTATCTACTTAGCATTACAGTGCTAACTTACGGTAGACAATATGAGTGATGACCAGATGTCTGGTGACATCCCTACAAGTGGTACTCCCGCTGGTGAGTGTATTGATACCCCCTGAACTTTTGAATCAAATCTGACCCTCTGATCTCCAGGTCGAGATAAACAATCGACCTGCTTCACTCCCCTCAACCATAGCAGGCGCCTAGGCGACGAAGAGGACGAGGAGCTGCAGACTCCTGTTCAAAGTTTGAGATCACGGAATAAACGCAAACGCGACTCCTCAGCCACTCGCTCATCAACCAACCCTGGGCGAACGCGTATTGTTCTAAAGACGAAAATGGACCAGACTCCTGATGCCTCTTCTCCCGTGCCTCCTGGCTCTAGTCATCCGGTCCTACACCAGTTTACTGCTGGATCGCCTGCGCCGGGACAGACGCCGTCATCGTCTCGTCGACCTCGGCCACTGACACAGCATCAACTAGCCATAGAGCAAAACCGCAGGCAACGGGTAGATTATATCCTTGCTCAACGCCGTGCAGAAGAGTATAGTAAAGCTCGCCAGGTCAGGGAAGATGGGTCCCGTCTTATACGTGCCGGTAGACTCCTCCAATGCCTTCCGGTGGATTACGATACTGACGATGACCGTTCGTGGGGTAAAGGTGGCCTTTGTTTGAACCCAGATGCGCAGCAGGAAGATTTTGGTGAAGCAGGGAGCTTCTACTTCTCTGTTCTGAAGAAGGTAGCTCGGCGCATGCACCGATGGGATTGGCAAGCCATTGCGTCAGGAGATAAAGATATTGGGCCCAACGGGTTAATGCACGACCACGCACTCGAGCTAGGGGATGCGGGTGCCAACGCCGGCATGGGTGAAGAGGAAGAAGCTGAACCTTCCGCCGCTGCACCGTCTAGGAGCTCTAGGGGAGGCAGAAGAGATCGCAAATCAAATGCAAATGCTGATAAGCTGTCGACCCCAGATCCAAGCCGACTGGCCGCGCCTCCATCCGGTGGTAAGAGGCAGTATATCCGCCGTAAACCTTTACCTGAGCGCAAACCGGGCGAGGGCGGCCGGAGGGTTCGTCCGAGTCGGTCAAAAGCAGCTCTGGCTGCGGCGGCTGCGGCAAAGGCTGAGGCTGCAGCTAACAAGGCGCTGGCTATTAAGCAGGAAGTCAATGCAACCGGCACTAGTGCGGCTGGATCTGAGCTGGGACTACCCAGCTCCCCAGCCCGGGACGTGCACATGAAAGAGGCGGGTGAGATCGACCACGACCATGACCATGATGACGAGGATGGAGTTCTGGACGATATTGATAAGGACATATTAGGCGACGCGAGTACCTACGGCGGAGATGACGTCGACGAAGAGATCGATGCCGAAGGCGAATCACGCCTCTCCGTCTCTCCCCTTCCCGACCCAGACCAGGAGCCAGGGTCTGAAGCTGTCGCCAGGCAAGCTGGCATGACTGCTGCCACAGAAGACAAGACTCTCCCCGCTTCCATCAACAGTCATCATGACTCGGACGACTCAACTGAGGAAGACGTTGTTGCCACCGCCCTGGCTGCCGCTGACACCCCGGACACGAACGGGTATGCAGACGAGCTTGGCCATGGACGTGACCGGGAACATGTCGACAGAGACGGTGACGAGATTATGGCTCAGGGCTAGACAAGAAGCCTAAGCATTCGGATTGGAATCAGGATCAGAAACCAGGCTAGGGACTTTGTTGTTGGGGGAGTATATTTTTAAGACCGCCTTCACATTCACTCTTCAGACATTAACTTTCCTTACTGTTATCTTCTACTTCTGGTCTTTTACTAGGAATCTGGGTCTTGGGATTCGATTGTATATTTAAATTATCTGTAGTATAGAGAACAGGGAGAGACGGCGGTCTTTCAGGGGCATATTCACATTCACTCTTTTGCTGAAGGACAACTCCTTTCTCCAAATCATCGAGCTAGGTCGCTTATCCTCTTAGGTGATTGGTGCAACTGACGCGCGAACACGCGTCAAAGTAGCCGCAGGTAAACAAATAAATGCCTAAGAACGCATCGTCGAGCATCCCATCAATTACAGGCCGTAGACCAAGGCAGACATAACCAGGAACTTTGAATATATGCAGCACTACCTCGCGTCCACCATCGTACTCGTTGGCAAGATACCTTAGTAACCCACAATGAGCAATGTCTTCCACTACATCTAGGATTCGACTAGATGGACACGGAACATTCAGAGAGAGCCTAGGCGCAGGTTGTAGCATAAAATGGAGCCCCCCCTCGAGCATGTAACCGACCAGGATTCTATTAAGGTGGTCTAAGTACGGAGTAATGGAATGCTATCCCAAAAAAAAGAGCAAGTATATAATCTTCCTAGTTAATTAGCCCTCATATTTAACTCTACTAAATTCATTATAGGATATCGATTTAGGAAATTCTCTGTTAATGAGTCACATGAAGAGTTCGCTGCTATCTTGAAGTAGCTGTGTATGGTCGAATATGACGATGAACGAGCAGGCCTATTCCCTGCAACATACACGTACACGGTCGAAGAGGAATGTCTATCTACGAAGACATACGATTAGCACTTGAAGAAGGCAGTTGAGAGACATCAAGAAGAAGCGAGAAAGACTACTTTAAGAGAAGAAGAAGAATAATTACAATGATGTATTAAGATGCAGAGCTGGTGCAGCGGCTCAGGATGGCGAGCGCCACCACTGTGATCTTTGGATGAGTACTCCGTACCATATGAGATATCATGACTGCTCTCATATCACCATTACACTATTAGAGCTGAATACTTTTTGGTTTATTATATGATGCCGTTAATTGGGCCTTCATGTTCTAAGTATTATTATCCATACAAACAGCTGATTGACCTTCTCTCAGGGGCTTGAGTACTCACTCCGTAGCTAACATAATTTTGCGGCCTGTTCATGCAACTCACGTGGCGAGCAAGGAAAACTCCCTCCAAAAAAGGAGTACAACTTTCTTCTTCTTGCAAGGAAAAAAAAAACATAAACATTAAAAGCGACAAGCTGAATATCTTTTATTCTTCTTCCCTTACGCTGCTGGCTCCAGTTTATCCCTTTTGCCTGAAAATACTTGCCACACGGTATGTTAATATAAGAGTTTACCCCTGGCCGCACATGACTAGAAAATGGATACTTCTGGCGATCTGGTTGAGTGCTGAGACTTTTCACCATCCCAGACTTGCATTTAAACCCCTTATAACTTGGTCATAAAGAGAACGTTGAGCTACAGCTAACGCGCTCCGTTGACAGTGTATACACGAGAAGAACCGACACGCAATGGAACAAGAAGGTCGAGTGCTGCGGCCGCGGGCAAGAAAACCCTTCGAGCTTCCCTCTGCCGATTCTACAGCTCCCCCATCCCCGATGCCAGAAGATGCGAACAAGGACATGTTCCCCAGCAATAGCAACGGTAGTTTGAACGGAAAAGACAAAGAGGGACTGTTACCGTCTAGTCGGACACGATCAGATATAAACCTGACCTCCTCGACTCTGTTGGGGATCTATTCGCCTACTGCTTTTGACGGTACTCGAGAAGATAGGGATATTCCTGGTGCCACGCCGTGGGGAACTGGTGCGCAGACACCTAGCCTACGAGGCTCGACCATCTATGAGAACGGTGAAAATGGAAGCGGGAGCTCGAGTAGCTACGGAAACGCTAACGGGGCCAGGTTCTCAGACGAGCAGAAGAAAAAACTACAAAAGCTTGAGCAGGAACGGCAACGCCAGAGTGAAGTTCGTCGTAGGCAGCGTGGGCTTTTTCGTGGCTACCTGCTACCTACCTTGCAACAGAGTGGGCTGCTGTTCCTATTCGGCGTGACGTACGGTGTCATCATTATGCATTTACATGACAGTCCACAGATGGCGGCACTGCTACCGCTCCACATCCCCGTACGGGTGGAGGTAATAAACTTCGGCTTGGTATGGTGGCATTACCTGGTGTTTTGGGGAGTTGCGGGAGTTGCGTTGGGAAACCTGCTGCCTTGGTTCGATGTCATGTGGGAGGACTTTATGGGCGAGAAGCCCGTTAAGAAAACCAGTGAAGCTGGCTGGAACCCTATGGTGCGCAGTATCGGGGCCTTTGTAGGAGTTGCTTTTGCCATTGTGAGTTTTCCTTTCTCTGTTCTCTTCTTATACGCCTTGTCAAAGGCCTAGTCAAAGGGGAGAAAGACAGTCTAACATGCATTCGTCATTAAGCGAAAACTACCATGGCAATCAACGACTCAGGTCTCGCTAACGCTTGCGCTCGTGAACCCCTTCCTATGGTACCTCGTCGACCGCTCCAAATCTGGCTTTGTTCTCTCCACGGTCATCGGACTGACAGGTATGATGGCTTTACTTGAAATGAACCCCGGCATCGTCTTCTCGCCAGACAACACATCCGGCACCATGGACGACACTGTGTTCAAAAGCAGCATTGCAGGCCTGAACGTCTCACAAGGCGAACTCGCGGTTGGAACGTGGATTGCCAGCGTCCTGTTCTGCAGCTGTGTTTGCTTTGGAAACATTGGCCGCAAACTTGCCCCTTGAAAACAAAAGAAACAATGATTCAATCTCTTGTCTCGCTTTTTCCGTTTCGAACCCGACCGGGAACAAACAAAACGACTTATGGCTTTTTAAGGGAATAAAGGAAGCGGCATGGAATTAACGGATACCCTCATATTTTAGGAACGACTTTTCTTCTCTTTCTCTTTTTCCTTTGGCTTTCTTTACTCGGGAAACCTGACTCATGGAACGGGAACGAGATCATTGTACCAGTTAAGACAGAAAATATTTGTAATTTGAACTAATTAATAATACCCTGGGATACTCCGTCTTTAAGCATGACAATAATGAAGTGATGTTAATTGTAGGTTCAATCATTGCAATCCCATCCATGAATTGAATGACACTGCACCCAAGACCGAATCTTGTTTTCCGTCTCCATTCCCAAGAAACATAGGTCATGTCACTTGAATATCCTGTCATCATGAATTCTCGAGAGAACTTTTGCAGAACATCTTGGTGGAATGTGATTATTTGCGTTGTTCATGGAGAAGGGAAAAAAGAGAAGAAACGAAGAAGAAAAAAGTTGAAAGTCGAATTTTATGTGGATTATTAGTCACGTGATATGGGTTCTGGCAAAGCAGAAAAAGATTGATACTGAATATTGAATATGATATAATAATATATATTTAATATCATATTTGATCATATAAGTACTGGAAAAGCGAGTATATAGGATATAGATGATATTTACATGTGGATGTGCTTTATTTGGCCAAAATTGCTATCGAGATGCAAACAATAAGCTCAACAGAGCAAGGGAACTCCATTTAGATCGTACATCATCATCTCTTTACTATATCATGACTGATGAAAGGTGAAACTATTAACTTCACTTCTCCTTTATTCTCACCAGTACTTTTCTTCACTGTCGACTTCACTTTTTATTAGCTGCTTACTAATCCACCACGTGACTTCTTAACAGTGCCAGCAAAACCTCCTGAAAAGCAAAAACGTTGTTTATTATTGCCTTCCTCCTTGTCTTCTTCTTTCTTTGCCTCCATCTACGAGAGTACTCTTTTTCCTCGCATTCACTTCGTCTCACTCCTACTTCGTTTTTTTCCCTTGCTGGCTCCTTTTTCGCTCTCCGCCTCTCCCGTAGCTTTCTCTTTCTTAACCCTACGGTTTTCTCTCGCATAGCTGGCGCTCCTGGTTTTGGTTGGATGAGGTCGCTGCCTTGACGGCCATTCCGAAATCATGGCTCCTCTTCCTATTCAGTTTACGGAGCTTTTACAGGTATGAATATCTAGACCCCTTGGGGTGTGTTGGATTAGCTTCTTTATAGGTCCTTTTGGCTGATAAGTTCTCCTAGTTAACGAATGTTGATATTGTGGTACGCAATCACCTCTCCACAACGAGCAAGGCTTCTCCCCATTTCTCACTATTGCGAGTCGGCATGGCCCTTCAGCGTGGTATAGCACTTGATACTGCTTGTCTTAGGCTTATGTCGATACGCAGCGTAGTCATTGGAATGTGGGGAAGGCTATATATGGTTGAAAATGACAGCTAATTATTCTTGCGCCTTGCCTTTTATATAGCCTGCATCTATCGGCTTTAATTCATGTGTAAGTGAAAAAGGACCAACCGATTATTTAGCAAGTTTCTTTCCGTCTGTACTGGCAATTGCTAACCGTTTCATTTGAATGGCGTAGACTTTAGAATCCGATAATTTCGTCTGCATACGACAAAAGATCAGTGACGATGATAAGACGCAAGTCATCATAGTCAACCTTAAGAATAACAATGAGGTCATCCGGCGCCCGATCAATGCCGACAGTGCCATCATGCACTGGAACAAAAACATCATCGCCCTCAAAGCCCAGGGCAAGACCATCCAGGTCTTCGACCTCCAAGCAAAACAGAAACTCAAGTCGGCAGTGATGACCGAAGATGTCGTCTTCTGGAAGTGGTATAGTGATACAAGCATTGGTTTGGTCACTGAGTCCTCGGTTTACCACTGGAACGTCTTTGATGCCACCCAGCATGCTCCTCTTAAGATGTTCGACCGGATTACAAATCTGGCGGTGGGTTCTTTTCTCCTGGCTATATGTTTCTTTCTGATGCTCAAAAAACTCAAGGACTGATAAATTACAACGTAGAACTGCCAAATTATTAGCTATCGAGTTAATGAGGAGGAAAAGTGGATGGTGGTTGTTGGTATCAGTCAACAACAAGGACGAATAGTAGGAACAATGCAACTGCACTCGGTCGAGCGAGGCATATCTCAACATATTGAAGGCCACGCTGCAGCCTTTGCTACCATCAAGGTCGATGGATCGCCTATGCCACATAAACTCTTCACCTTCGCTGTGAGAACCGCAACTGGTGCCAAGCTCCAGATTGCGGAAATCGATCACCAAGAACCCAACCCCAAGTTCCAGAAGAAGGCTGTCGAGGTATACTTCCCACAAGAAGCCACCAACGATTTCCCAGTCGCCATGCAGATATCCGAAAAGTACGACGTTGTCTACTTGGTCACGAAGTTCGGTTTCATTCATCTCTACGACCTAGAGACCGGTACATGCATCTTCATGAACCGAATTTCTAGCGAAACCATCTTTGTAACTACACCAAATTCGGACTCTACTGGTATTGTCGGCGTCAACCGTAAGGGCCAGGTGCTCTCGGTCAGCGTGGACGAAAGCACCATTATTCCATACCTCCTTGAGAACCCAGCAAACACATCACTAGCTGTCAAACTTGCATCCAAGGCCGGCCTTCCAGGTGCAGATAATCTCCTTCAAAGACAGTTTGAACAGCTACTTTCTCAGGGAAACTATGCAGAAGCTGCCAAAATCGCTGCCAATTCGCCACGCGGGTTCCTGCGAACTGCAGACACTATCAACCGCCTAAAGGCCGTTCCACAGACAGGCCAGGGCATGTCTGTCATCCTACAATACTTTGGAATGCTGCTTGACAAGGGATCTTTGAATGTATACGAGAGTATCGAGTTGAGCAGACCTGTCTTGCAACAAAACCGTAAACGTCTCCTGGAGAAGTGGCTCGGTGAAGACAAACTGGAGTGCTCTGAAGAGCTAGGCGATATCGTACGACCGCATGACATGAACATTGCATTGGACATATATCTCAAAGCCCAAATTCCCCATAAGGTCGTTGCCGGCTTTGCAGAGACTGGCCAATTCGACAAGATCCTGGCTTACTCCAAGCAAGTTGGGTACCAGCCTGACTACGTTCAGCTGCTGCAACACATTGTCCGAGTTAACCCAGAGAAGTGTGTCGAGTTTGCTGGGCAACTTGCCAGCGATGACAGCGGCGCCCTCATTGACCTTGACCGTGTTGTTGACGTGTTTGTCTCCCAAAACATGATCCAACAAGCTACTGCATTCTTGTTGGATGCCCTCAAGGATAACATGCCAGAACATGCCAAACTTCAGACCAGGCTCTTGGAGATGAATCTTGTCAATGCTCCCCAAGTTGCGGACGCCATCCTAGGTAACGAGATGTTTACTTATTATGATAGGGCTAGAATCTCGCAGCTCTGCGAGAACGCTGGACTTTACCAACGTGCCCTCGAAAACACCGATGACTCTGCTGTGATCATGCGCAACATTGTTCGTACCGACAAACTGAACCCCGAATGGTTGATGGAATTCTTCGGTCGCCTTTCCGTGGAGCAGTCCTTGGAATGTATGAACCAGATGCTTCATTCGAACCTCCGCCAGAACTTGCAAGCCGTTATTCAAATCGCTACCAAATTCTCTGATCTATTGGGCCCCATTAATATCATCCAGCTGCTGGAGAAATACGGCACTGCTGAGGGTCTCTACCACTACCTTGGAAGTATCGTGAACCTTAGTGAAGATGCTGATGTCCACTTCAAATATATTGAGGCTGCTACTCGTATGGGCCAAATGACGGAAGTAGAGCGTATTTGTCGTGACAGCAACCACTACAACCCAGAGAAGGTTAAGAACTTCCTCAAAGAGGCCAAGCTGACTGAACAGTTGCCTTTGATCACTGTCTGTGATCGATTCAACTTTGTCCACGACCTTGTCCTGTACCTTTACCAGAATCAACAGTATTCATCCATTGAGGTTTACGTTCAGAGAGTCAACCCATCCAGAACCCCCGCAGTTGTCGGTGGCCTACTTGACGTTGACTGTGATGAGTCCATTATCAAAAACCTACTCATCACTGTTGATCCGGCCTCCATCCCCATTGATGAGCTTGTTGCTGAAGTCGAGAAGAGGAACCGATTGAAGATTCTACTTCCATTCCTTGAGAATACCCTCAGCACCGGTAACCAGCAGCAGGCAGTCTACAATGCCTTGGCCAAGATCTACATTGATAGCAACAACAACCCTGAGAAGTTCCTCAAGGAGAACGACCTGTACGACACTCTTACTGTTGGGAAATACTGTGAGAAGCGAGACCCTAATCTTGCTTACATTGCCTACCGCAAAGGCCAGAACGACCTGGAACTCATCAATATCACCAACGATAATTCGATGTATCGTGCTCAAGCCAGATATCTGCTTGAACGAGCTGATGGCGAAATTTGGGCCTTCGTTTTAAATGGAAACAACATCCACAGGCGGTCTCTCGTCGACCAGGTCATTGCCACTGCTGTTCCAGAGTCGTCCGAGCCAGACAAGGTCTCTGTAGCAGTCAAGGCATTCCTCGAAGCCGATCTCCCAACTGAACTTATTGAACTGCTGGAGAAGATCATCCTGGAACCATCTCCATTCAGCGATAACAGCAGTTTGCAGAACTTGCTGATGCTTACCGCAGCCAAGGCTGACAAGAGCAAGTTAATGGACTACATCCATAAACTTACTGAGTTCAACGCTGATGAGATTGCTGGTATGTGTTTGACTGTTGGCCTGTATGAGGAGGCTTTCGAGATCTACAAGAAAGTTGAGAACCACCCTGCCGCTACCAACGTTCTTGTCGAGCATATTGTCAGCATCGACCGTGCCCAGGACTATGCCGAACGTGTTGAGCTTCCTGAAGTATGGAGCAAGGTTGCTAAGGCCCAGTTGGATGGTCTTCGCATTTCCGACTCTATTGCTTCTTATATCCGTGCTGGAGATCCTTCCAACTACAATGAAGTTATCGAGACCGCCACTCACGCTGGCAAGGATGAAGATCTTGTTGAATATCTCAAGATGGCCCGCAAGACCCTTCGGGAGCCCGCCGTTGATACTGCCATGGCCTTCAGCTTCGCCAGACTTGACAAGCTATCTGAGCTCGAGGACTTCCTCCGTGGAATCAATGTTGCTGATGTTGAGGCCTCTGGTGACAAGGCATATGCTGAGGGTTACCACCAAGCCGCCAAGATTTTCTTCACTAGCATTTCCAACTGGGCGAAGCTTGCCACTACACTTGTTCACCTTGAGGACTACCAGGCTGCTGTCGAGTGTGCTCGCAAGGGCAACAACGTCAAAGTTTGGAAAGAGGTCAATGCAGCCTGTGTTGCTAAGAAGGAATTCCGCCTTGCTCAGATTTGCGGTTTGAACCTAATCGTGCATGCAGAAGAGCTACAAGACTTAGTCCGCCAGTATGAGCGTAATGGATATTTTGACGAACTCATTGCTTTACTGGAGGCTGGTCTTGGCCTCGAGAGAGCCCACATGGGCATGTTCACCGAGCTGGGAATTGCTCTATCGAAATACCACCCTGACCGCGTGATGGAGCATCTCAAGCTGTTCTGGACGCGAATCAATATCCCCAAGATGATTCGTGCTTGTGAGGACGCTAACCTCTGGCCCGAGCTAGTCTTCCTCTACTGCCATTATGACGAATGGGATAATGCCGCATTAGCCATGATGGAGCGTGCTGCTGATTCGTGGGAGCACCACTCTTTCAAGGATATCGTTGTTAAAGTTGCCAACTTGGAGATTTATTACCGCGCTTTGAACTTCTATCTGCAAGAGCAGCCACTGCTGTTGACTGACCTGCTCCAAGTGCTCACTCCCCGTATCGACGTCAACCGTGTTGTTCGCATGTTTGAGAAATCCGACAACATTCCTCTCATAAAGCCATTCCTGCTTAACGTGCAACCACAGAACAAGCGTGCGGTCAACAACGCCATAAACGACCTCTTGATTGAAGAGGAAGACCATAAGACTCTGCGCGACTCTGTTGAGAACCATGACAACTACGATCCTGTCGAGCTGGCACAGAGGCTAGAGAAACACGAGCTTGTGTTCTTCAGACAGATTGCTGCCAACATCTACCGCAAGAACAAGAGATGGGAAAAGTCTATTGCGCTATCGAAACAGGACAAGCTGTTCAAGGACGCTATTGAGACCGCAGCGATCTCCGGCAAGTTAGAGGTTGTCGAAGAGCTGTTGCGCTACGTGAGTACCCGGAATCCCGTTACTGTTTCTACGTTTGCTAACGCATGTCTAGTTCGTCGATATTGGCAGCCGCGAGTGCTATGTCGGCATGCTATACGCCTGCTACGAGCTCATCCGCCCTGACGTGGTGTTGGAGATGTCCTGGCGTTACGGCCTACACGACTTCACGATGCCGTACATGATCAACATGCTTAGCCAGCAAGTGCAGACCATCGAGATGCTGAAAAAGGACAACGAGGAGCGCAAGGCCAAGGAAGCCTCCCAGCAGAAGGAAGAAGACAACACACCTATCCTGGGTGGCTCGAGACTGATGTTGACGCAAGGCCCTGGTGGTTCCATGGGAGGAGCAGCGCCGTCAATGTTTGGAGGACAGGCCAACGGCATAACCCCTCAGGCAACCGGCTTCCGACCATTCTGAACGAGCGACATGAGGTGAACGAATAGGCAAGACGAAGACGGGATGGGATGAAGATGAAGATAACACCATACGAGCTCTCCGAACGAAAAATGGGGCTGGTTTGGTTGTTTTTGTTATCTTATTATTTCTTATCGGTAAACTAGAGTCGATATCGTCCGTGGTTTCATTTGTCACTTATATCCCACCCCCTTTTTTTACCACGTTTCTTTTATCGTCTGGGACAGCGACAGGTGGAGGGTGTTACTTCTTTTTCATTTGTTCTCTTCCTTCTTGTCCCTTTTCCTCCCCCTCCCGTCTCCTCCAAAAACAAAAAATAAAACCCCCTAATGGCTCCCTCCGTCTGGTCCGGCATCGGCATCGGCACCGGCTTCCGGCTCCAGCTCAACCTCTTTAAAGTGTAATCATGTCATGTCCCCTTCATCATATGTATTTGATACGAGATATTTGTTTCCTTTTTTTTCCCCTTCCTCTTTCTCATGATGTGTCTCTGCGAATTCGACTGTAATCCAATGTGGTATCTTTCGGCAAATGGATCGACTCCGGCCGGTCTCTCTCTCGCCTTGTTCCGTCCAAAGAAAGCCCGGGGAAAAGACGCCGGCCTTTTCCCCAGATGCACGTACTATGTATAGTAAGAGATATCCGGCCGTGTGTTGATATCGAAGCGCCATCTGCGTCAGTGCCATGCATGATAAGTATATAACTGGCCGGTGTAAATAAACAAATATGTACTATGTAGCCTCCCTTCCTCCGCAGCCAGTCGGAGTGTCCCCAATACGTAGTACATCAGGCATCTTCGTCTATCCACTCACCTTGAGCTACACCAGCGGGCCATCCTTGACCAAACTGGTTTATCCTCGGCTAAACGAGATATATAAAGAAGAAAAAACAGTTAGAAAAAAGGATGAGAAGCCGGAAAAAGAAAACAGGGAAGCTTCTTTCTCTCTCTCTCTCTCTCTCTCTGTCTTGCTTCGGCTGGCTAGACGCTCACAGCTTACATAGTACGGGACGAATATAAATGGCTCAAAGCCGGCATTAGTCAAAGAAAAGAAGGCTATAGAAGGCTGATCCATGCTGACGAGCAATTGGGTTATGTACCAGATGATGTCTTTTTTCTTTTTTTTTTTTTTTTCCTCGTCGCTTGGTTTCAGGTGGGATGAATCCGAGGAGTTCAGGGTGCTTTCCGGCGGGAAATGGCCGTACAACATCTCTGTGTATTCTTTCTATATTGCGAGTGGGAGTATCATGTACTCCGTACCACTGTATCTATGGTATTGCCACCGGTTATAACTATCATCACCGACCCTACCGTCGTTCTATATCATGTTTGATATAAAGAAAAAAAAAGGAAAAACGAGCAAGGTCATGTGGAGAGCAGCCACGTGAGCGGAGAATAATTAACGCGGGCGAACCAAGAAAAAGAAAAGAAAAACATAAACCTTGCGGGGCAAGTTTAAAAAGGGAAAGATTTCTTCTTCTTCTTCTCTTGACATCAAACAACATAACAAAGTCCCAGCGAAGCTAACGCCAGAGAGACGGTCAATCCAGTCCAGGTATGTGTGCAGCGTCTGCTCGTCAAAAAAACTCGACGTTCTGTTGTCAATTGCTCTGTTTCTCGTGCTGTTTTCATGCCCCACTGCGGACTGTTCTATGAGAGCCCCTCTCCCTCCGCCAGGCCGATGCCGCGGCTTCACGTTTCTGCTATATAATGGCCTGTCCCAGGGCGGGAGAGGAGAAGACAGAAAGAGGAACCAATGCTGACTTTTGTTGTAGAAAGAAATATTTGAAATATCAAAAAAAAAGGTTACAAGAAGGAAAACAGCCGAGTTACAGACGAGCATACGGAGGCAGGTCCTTGAATCTATATATATATATATATATATATATATAGCGCGGTGTGATATCAGGACTCGCCCCCTCTCTGTCCGTTGATACTCCCGTTTATATTTATATACACACACACGCACAATGACTCCTGCTCCCGTACCGATACCAGATGTCAACACGGCAGCTGTCCGTGAGGACGCCGTCGAGGACGATGTCATGGAAGACCACCACCCATCCAATTTCCAAGACTCGGTCCACAGGCGTCTACGGGCCAATTCTTCTATCATGCATTTCCAGAAGATCCTCGTGGCTAACAGAGGCGAGATACCTATCCGTATCTTCCGTACCGCCCACGAACTCTCCCTACAGACCGTTGCCGTCTTCAGTTACGAGGACAGGCTGAGCATGCACCGCCAAAAGGCTGACGAGGCTTATCAGATCGGTAAGCGTGGCCAGTATACGCCCGTGGCCGCCTACCTGGCTGGCCAGGAGATCGTCAACATCGCCTCCCAGCACGGTGTCCATCTCATCCATCCCGGCTACGGCTTTTTGTCTGAGAACGCTGAATTCGCCCGTGCCGTCGAAAAGGCCGGTATGGTCTTCGTCGGACCTACTCCAGAGACCATCGACAGACTGGGTGACAAGGTCTCCGCGCGAACAATCGCCATGGAGTGCAAGGTGCCCGTTGTCCCCGGTACTCCCGGGCCGGTCGAGACGTTCGACGCCGTCAAGTCCTTCACGGACGAGTATGGCTTCCCCATCATTATCAAGGCTGCCTTTGGCGGTGGTGGCAGGGGTATGCGTGTTGTCCGTGACCAAGAGTCGCTACGTGACTCCTTCGAGCGCGCTACCTCGGAGGCCAAGACCGCCTTCGGCAATGGCACCGTGTTCGTAGAACGCTTCCTCGACAAACCAAAGCACATCGAGGTCCAACTGCTCGGTGACAACCATGGCAACGTCGTCCATCTATACGAGCGTGACTGCAGTGTCCAGCGTCGCCACCAAAAGGTCGTCGAGCTTGCTCCGGCCAAGGATCTCCCCATTGACGTCCGTGACAACATCCTGGCTGATGCCGTCAAACTTGCCAAATATGTAAACTACCGCAACGCCGGTACCGCAGAGTTCCTCGTCGATCAGCAGAACAGATACTACTTCATTGAGATCAACCCCCGTATTCAGGTTGAGCACACCATTACCGAAGAAATCACAGGCATCGATATCGTTGCTGCCCAGATCCAAATCGCTGCTGGTGCCACCCTCGAACAGCTTGGTCTTACCCAAGACCGCATCTCTATCAGAGGTTTCGCCATTCAATGTCGTATCACCACAGAAGACCCTACCAAGGGCTTCCAGCCCGACACCGGCAAGATCGAGGTTTACCGCTCCGCCGGTGGTAACGGTGTCCGTCTTGACGGAGGCAACGGTTTTGCTGGCGCCATAATTACACCCCACTACGACTCCATGTTGGTTAAATGTACCTGCCATGGTTCCACATATGAAGTGGCACGACGAAAGATGCTCCGTGCCCTCGTTGAGTTCCGTATCCGTGGTGTTAAGACAAACATTCCCTTCTTGGCCTCGCTGCTCACACACCCAACCTTCATCGAAAGCCAGTGCTGGACCACCTTCATCGATGATACCCCAGAACTCTTCGCTCTCATTGGATCGCAGAACCGTGCCCAGAAACTCCTCGCGTACCTTGGTGATGTTGCTGTCAACGGAAGCAGCATCAAGGGTCAAGTTGGCGAGCCCAAGTTCAAGGGTGAAATCTTGATGCCCATCATGCGTGATGCGGAGGGCAAACCACTCGATATTAGTACTCCTTGCAAGAAGGGATGGAAACAGATCATCGACGACAAGGGCCCTGCTGCGTTTGCAAAAGCTGTGCGTGAGAACAAGGGATGTCTTATCATGGACACTACCTGGCGTGATGCCCATCAATCCCTGCTGGCAACCAGAGTTCGTACAGTTGACTTGGTTAACATTGCCAGGGAGACTAGTTATGCCTACAGTAATGCATACAGTTTGGAATGCTGGGGTGGTGCGACCTTTGACGTTTCCATGAGATTCCTCTACGAAGATCCGTGGGACAGACTCAGAAAGATGAGGAAGGCAGTTCCAAACATCCCATTCCAGATGCTACTTCGTGGTGCTAATGGCGTTGCTTACTCCTCGTAAGTCGTTCCAACCTCAGTCGAGAAAACCAGACAATTGCTAACCTGGATTTTGTAGCCTCCCTGACAATGCCATCTACCATTTCTGCAAACAGGCAAAGAGATATGGTGTTGACATTTTCCGTGTCTTTGATGCTCTCAATGACATTAACCAGCTTGAGGTTGGTATGAAGGCCGTGGCTGCAGCAGGGGGTGTTATCGAAGCAACTATCTGCTACTCCGGAGATATGCTCAACCCCAAGAAGAAATATAATCTGGACTACTACCTTGATCTAGTCGACAAGATAGTTGCCCTGGGTACTCACATTCTCTGTATCAAGGATATGGCTGGTGTCCTTAAGCCCCAGGCTGCAACCTTACTTATTGGATCCATCAGGAAGAGGTATCCTGACCTACCTATCCACGTCCACACCCACGACTCGGCTGGTACTGGTGTCGCCTCCATGGTCGCCTGTGCTCATGCTGGTGCTGATGCTGTGGATGCTGCCACCGACAGTATGTCTGGCATGACCTCCCAGCCTAGCGTAGGCGCCATCCTCGCCTCGCTTCAGGGCACCGAACAGGATCCAAAGCTTGACACTCCAAATGTCCGCGCCATTGACAGCTACTGGGCCCAACTTCGTCTCCTCTACTCTCCCTTCGAGGCTGGCCTTGCCGGACCCGACCCAGAGGTCTACGAGCACGAAATCCCCGGTGGTCAGCTCACCAATCTCATTTTCCAAGCGCACCAGCTTGGTCTTGGTGCTCAATGGGCTGAAACTAAGAAGGCCTATGAGCAAGCCAACGATCTCCTTGGAGACATTGTCAAGGTCACTCCAACCTCCAAAGTCGTTGGTGACCTAGCTCAGTTCATGGTCTCCAACAAACTTAGCCCAGACGACGTGATTGCCCGTGCTGGCGAGCTTGATTTCCCGGCTTCTGTCCTTGAGTTCCTCGAGGGTCTCATGGGCCAACCTTATGGCGGATTCCCCGAACCCCTCCGCTCCAAGGCCCTTCGCGACCGCCGAAAACTCTCTGACCGTCCAGGTCTCCACCTCGAGCCACTCGATCTAGTCAAGATCAAGGCCGATCTGAAGGAGAAATTCGGCAGCGCTACTGAATGTGACGTTGCTAGTTATGCCATGTATCCCAAGGTCTACCAGGACTACCGCAACTTCGTAGCCAAATATGGTGACCTGTCTGTCCTGCCAACTAAATATTTCCTAGCTAGGCCTGAGATTGGCGAAGAGTTCAGCGTCGAACTCGAGCAAGGAAAGGTCCTTATTCTGAAGCTACTGGCCGTAGGTCCGCTGTCTGAGCAGACCGGCCAACGAGAAGTCTTCTATGAGATGAATGGTGAAGTTCGACAGGTTTCTGTCGACGACGTCCTTGCCACTGTGGATGATACCAGCCGCCCCAAGGCCGATGCCAGCGATAGCAGCCAGGTAGGTGCGCCAATGAGCGGTGTGGTTGTGGAAATCAGGGCGCACGAGGGTGTCGAGGTGAAGAAGGGAGACCCAATCGCCGTTCTAAGCGCTATGAAGATGGTATGTCCTACCCTGAATACTCATTTTCCTTTTATTACAATGCTAACTAGCTTGCAATTAGGAAATGGTCATCTCCGCACCTCACCACGGAAAGATTGCCAGCCTACATGTTAAGGAGGGAGATTCCGTCGACGGACAGGACCTTATTTGTAAAATGACCAAGGCGTCTTAAAAAGTTGTCCCTGTGCCCTGTCTTCGTTTTGATGTATATGATGTTTTTTTATGTCCGTTATATAGTCCTATCCATAACCGTTCCAGATTCATTTTTTCCGTATGATAGAAGAGCCTTTAATGCTGTTATTAATCCATGGAGTTCAACAACGAATTATATCATGGATATCACGGTTTTACCAATCAGAGATGCAGCAAGAAGTGACATCATAACGCCTCGATCCTGTGTGGGCAAAAAGTACTTTCTACTTCAACTTCAAGTACAGCAGCTGCCAGGTAACACCACGTCTCTGCGGTCTATTGAACATGTAATGCAGCAAAGAGCTGGCTATCTTATTTACGTTTGCTGTAGGTTATTACAGGTCTCTCGTTATGGCCTGATGGTAGTGAGTGGACATTGATATCAACGCGTTGACCGACACTATATACCATCCGTCTCTCGTCCTGATACACACAACTACAGCTTCAACATGACCTGGATCGACCCTGGACCCAGCCGGGCTTTGCCTTGGGTAATGAGGGGGCGAACAAGTTAAAAGGAACAGATGAGAGGCGACTCCCAGCTGATTTTCATCGTATCTAATATCTTCGAGATATTGGCCGTTGATACACCGAATAGCCCTCAAGGCCAGCTATCTACATCTCTATATCAGTATATGTATACATAGATATATATATACATCATGAGTGACCGTCCTGAACGTCCACCTGTATGGGTTAGGGGTGGAACGCCGTACTTTTACCATCCTCGCCGGCCATCTGTGCCAGCAGAAGTGACGAACGAAGAGTTACGAAGAGTAAGTTTGCCCGCCACAGTATGGAAGTAGATACATGCTAACAGCTAGTTACCAGGCATCCACTACCTCTAGCATCCCATCTGTAACTGGCATTGCACCCGAGAGATCAGCTTCGATCTCATCTACCGTCTCTGCCACCCAAGCATCTCAGTCTCCGGGTGTAGCGTCGACTCTGTTCCCATCCATGGCAAAGGAGCGTTCGGGCTCTATTTCGTCTGAATCTGGAGCTGGGCCTGAACAGGGTGCTTCGAAGAGAAATAACTCGCGCTCTGAGCAATCTTACGCAGGCCTGATGACGCAGAAGCGCATGTCTGGTGATCCTCTCTTTGCCAATAGGAGGGAGAGCTGGAGAGAACAAGTAGTGGGTTCTGCACCGGATGATAGGAGATTCCTTAGTCGTTGGTGGGATAAGTGAGTTGTTCACCTATGCCCCTGTGGCTATGTAGTTCTGTGTGAATTGGAACGTTTGATGGCTGATGCAGGGTGGTTATCTATAGCTTCGTCAGGGGAGAGAACAAGGCTCCAAAAAAATGATGGATGCCCCGAGTGATATAGCAGCCACGATTCCCAGGTTGTTTTGAAGTTGGATTTGAAGCTGCTTTAACGAGTTGAATCTGAATGATTGGCTTGTCTGATCTAGTCGAAGGGTATGAGACTGGGTATTTTGATATTGTTCTAGTGCTGAAGTTGAAATCGATAACGGTTTGCTTTTGCCACGTCTTGTTATTTACCAATGTTTTCTCTTATGATGACCATAGTTAACGGCAATTTTGCTCTTACCTTTGATTGCCTAGGGGAATTGCTATAGGAAAAACTACTATCATTACATTTACTTGCAAGGGAAGAGAGATTGGAAAGCCAGTCTAACTACCCTAGCATCCTGTAGGGAGAGTTAAAGGAGCTAACGAGAGCTCTGGTCAAGGCCGCCTGGGAGAAGAAACGATGACTCGTTTCCTGTCCCAGAAAAAGTGGCTGAACGCCAACAATCCCCCTCAGCAATGGTTAAGCGGAACGACACCCTATGTGAAGCCTCCATTGTGATGCAGGGAAAAGAAGCCATTTTGAAAAAATGTAAATTTTATTGTTGTTGCATGTCATATCATACTTGCTTGCCGTTGAGTCTTCGCTGGAAGATGTCCCTAGCACACGCCTGTACTTGTAAAAGACCCACCCTACCATGGCTTCACAACGATAAACACAAGCATAAGAGAGGTTTGTTTTGCGAGAGATCAGGGGCAGGGAACGGGGTGGAAGTGGACGTTTCATGCTGCCTGAAGTGGTATCTCTTCCTTGCCTGAACAGGGCATTAGAGAGCATATGAAAGGAAGAGAGGGAGGAGGCGGAGGGAGAAACGATGGAATTTTGTTTGATTTCTTAAGGTTGATTTATCGGACAATTCCCTCGAATCTGCTCTTGAACCACTTGATGGTCTCGAGCTGGTTGATGCGGTGAGGAGCACCGATCTTAGACTTGCACCGTCGGCGCTTAGCGATACGCTCGCCAGGACGGGTCCTAGTTGCGGGCTGTCAGTAATCCTGGTATATATTGTTTTTGGAGGGGCGGTTATTTATATGTGCGTTCGTGGTGGTAACTCACATGCAGCAATAAAAGTCCATTCCGTAAATACCGATACCTGGGTCGTACTTGATGCCCAAGTCGATGTGTTCGTTGATACCGAATCCAAAGTTTCCAGTCTCGGAGAAGTTTTTCTTTCTCAATTCGTACTCCTTGACCTTGAGACCACGCTCGAGGATCTCCTCAGCCTTGGGGCCACGGACAGTAACGTGGACAGCGATCTTCTCGTTACGTCGGATACCGAACGTACGGACGGTGTAGCGGGCCTTGCCTGTATGTGCGCACAGTCGCTTGTCAGCCTCTTGTCCTTTCAATTCCCTCGACATTTCCTTCTCGATTCTCTTGGTTTTCCAGATCACACCAAATCAACCAACCCTGGAGAGGAGGTATGCGTACTGTAGACTGGAGTTTGACCGCTCAGCTGTTCCAACACCTTGGCTGCACGAGTAAGTCTGTCACCAGACTCGCCGACGGAGATGTTGAGGACGAGTTTCTGGATGCGGAGTTCCCGCATGGGGTTCGAAGTCTTGTCGTTTCCCTCCGCCTGCATCATCGTTAGCACACACAGCCGCTGTATCGTCTAGCATGGGAACCGTACCATTGTGAAGTGTTGCCGCTGAGAAGTTGTTTGCTGGCTTTTGCTCGAGGGAGAAAAAGAAGTCGAAGTTGAAAAATGTTTTTGTGTGCGCGAAAAGCAGAGAAAAAAACCCTACGCGGGCTTGGCGCGGCGCTAAACCCAAAAGGGGAAAACTGCATCTCCAAAACATCGAAAGACGAAAAGAAAAGAGAACGAAAGGCATAAAGATATCTTGCAGCTCCTCACGAAGAGAGTCGACTGGTTACTACGACGGTGAAAAAAAAAGCAGAGACATTGGGAGCTGGGCGGCTCAGTCATATCCTTCGGCCTGTTAGAAAGTCGCATTCGTGCGCACCTGAGGCAGCCATGGCCTCAAACAAGCAAGGGAAGATGGTGGGTTTGACTGGAGCTATAACTCAATAGCAAGATAGGATCGCTGACACGTCTACTAGCAAAATCTCGTACGGTTACCCCGGATGTTGCTGCTGGGCAATGCTGTGTATTTACTCTAGGTGTGCTTATGGATACGAACTGACGCGCAAAACTAGATCAACTATAGGATGCGGGTTACGTTGACTGATGGGCGACAGATGACCGGCCAGATGCTTGCATTCGACAAGGTAACGTAACCTGGGCGGGCATACACATGTACGGATATTGGTGTGGGATCTGGCTAACGGTAGATATAGCACATGAACCTCGTACTCGCGGATACCGAAGAATTTCGCCGAGTAAAAAAGAAGTCAGGCAAGGGAGGACAAGCTGCGGCGGGGAGCAGCAGCACTCCCCAGCTAGTAGAAGCGGAAGAAAAACGGACACTGGGGCTTACAATCGTCCGCGGGACACACGTCGTCTCATGTTCGGTCGACGGCCCGCCTCCTGCAGAGCCAGCTGCCCGATTAGGAACAACTGCGGCCGGCATTGCGGGCGTCTCTGCTACTCTTGCTGCCGGGCCGGGAATCAGCAAACCTGCCGGAAGAGGGCTGCCTGTTGGACTTGGCGGGCCAGCTGCTGGTGTCGGAGGACCACCACCACCAGCTGGGTTTGGCTCATTCCCCCCTCCAGCTGGATTTCCTGGTGGGCCCCCTCCCGGCTTTGGAGGTAGAGGAGGACCCCCTGGAGGACCACGTAAGTTTTACCCGCGCTTGATTCATTTTCATTGCCAATTGCTGACTTTATAAAAGCTGGGTTCGGTCCACCACCAGGCTTTGGGGCTCCCGGGGCTCCTGGCGGACCTCGTAAGTGCACCAAATCTTCTTATATCTTGATTTACCTGTATACTAACAATATCTAGCTGGCGGATTCCAACCACCACCCGGCTTCCAGCCTCCAGGCCAGGGGAGAGGCTTCCCACCCGGCATGGGCGGACGATAATGTTGCGCATCTTAGAGTCATGAAATATACACCGTTCTGTGGAAACCGGGGCAAATACCTAATTGCATGATATCCTTGCTCGAAATCAACGATGACAGACTACTGGTTTCTTCTTTTTCTTCATCCTCTTCTCGCATTTTTCTTCTCCATGGCGTTTGGTGGTATCGGTGAAATGAAAGGCTAAAGGACCTCCCAAGCTTGAAGCAGTAGTTTGAGAATATTACACCTACTAGTTTATACTGTGAAAGATAATCAAATTCTCTTATTTCTCCTCTAGTATCTCTTCGATATCAAATTCTGCGGTTCCCCAGGTTATATCACGTGACTATATATCTTCCACCTCCGGAAGTCGGAGCTTTTTCAGTTGAGGAAAAGCAATTCAGCAAAAAAAAAAGACATCCAAAACAGCGCAGCTTGCTTGTATCGAAGATAAACATCTCCTCCTGCCAGATAATCCGTCTATCTGGACGGCGGACTTTCTCACTTCTCTTCGCTTGCTATCCGGAGAACTATCGCCCACAATGGCCGCCGTTATAAAAGCGATCAATGCGAAGATACGGTCCAACAAGGTGTTGGACTACGTCTGCTCAACACGTACGTTTCCAAGATCTCGTTAATACCTCTAATTGTCTCCCGTGAGCTGCTGTTAGATCATGTTGAGGGCCTTTGGGCTCCCTCTCCTGACCCCATCCGCAGTTCTTATCGGTTTGTCTCAGTTATGGAACCGGATGCTGACATGCGACAACATCTCTATAGATTTCTGGGGCCCCGTATCCAACTTCGGCATTCCGGTTGCTGCGGTTATGGATACTCAGAAAGATCCTGAAATGTATGTCATCGCGGCGTCGCCCCTCTATATCTTCGCTTTGCCCTCTGGTCCTCCTTTTGCCAACCCGGTCAAGTTGAGCGGCTATCTTCGCACCCAGACCGGTGTAATGAATACAGCCATCTAACTACGTCTTTCACACGATATAGTATCTCTGCGCAGATGACCGGTGCATTGGTTATCTACTCCGGAACTTTTATGCGCTATTCCCTCGCCGTCACTCCCAAGAACTACCTCCTTTTCGGGTGCCATTTCATCAACTTTGGAGCCCAATTGACTCAAGGATACCGATGGCTGAACTACTGGAAGTACGTTACGCTCCCATAATATCTATCAACTATGCGCGGTCTACTAACTGGCTCTCTTTATCATGTAGATGGGGAGGACGAGAGGCTGCCCTAGCAAACAAGGCCAAGGAGGCTGGTGCTGAAGCCGGAAAGGTAGCTGTTGAGCCCAGCTCTTCTTCATAGACGTGTTCGATTGATATGGTTGTCCTCTTTTCTCTTTCTCTCCTTTGGCATATAGTTGCTGCGTCGGACTGGATTGTACGTATTAGTCATACACGGTTTGGTTTGTTCTATTTGGTCACCTGTGTTTTAATAAAGCCGTTCATTTCTTTTCTTAAGCTGAAGTTAGAAAGTGGAGGAAATAAATATATTGTGTTCTACCTTGAAGGCTGGCGAGATAGAATATATGGGTTAGCAGGCACATGGACATGTTGATTGTCAACTCTTGTATTCCTTGTAAATTATGGATATAGAGAAGCAGAATATGAAAGTTCATTGCAAGGCCGCACGCATCAGGTATCTAGGATAAACCCATGTATTTAACTCTAGGAGACAGGCAGAGAATAAGAAATTAGAGAAGCCCAGCACATCTAAACCCGTGTATTCCAAGAAAGGAACCAAGTCTTAGATGCAGGCGAAAAAAAGGGTTGGTCGAGAGGATTCAAGGAAATAAGCAAAAAAGCATCAATTTAGCAAAGGCGAAAACAAATATTTGGAGCGTAGTTAGTAGTGGTAATGAAATCTATATCGTGAAAGTAGTGAAAAGTTATGTACGACTCGAATTGGGGGTGATAAGGATGAGATATACCGAAATTTAAAGCCTTGGGAGAGGCTAAGCCAAAGAATGGGGTTCGATGGTAATAAGGGGATGCAAACGCCATGTTACCAGACAGCGCCGAAATAAAGGATGCATGCATTACTTATCGCAATATCCAGGAAGTTTGGAGCCACCACCACCATCTCCCCAGTTAGAGATAGTTAGGGCGGTAGTGTATGCGCAGCATATCAGACCGAAGACGGCGAGACTGATGTCCAAAGACTTTTGTACAAAAGTGCTTGCCGCGCCCTTGTAATGAAGCATCGGCTAATAAAAAATAACGTGGTTAGCTTTAACTGCTTAGGTGATTAGGATTAAAAGAACAGTGAGAGACATACCGGATACACGAAGACGAGCGGAACACAAGCGAAACTACCAATTAGGGAGACGAACTTGTCCAAGTCTCCGGCTCCACCCCAGGCAATGACAGCGCATAACAAAACAAGGAAGAAGCGGAATATGTTCTTCTTCCATTTGATTCCAGGGTTATATTTTCCACTACGGGTAAAGAGGCCATTCTCCAGAATTCTGATGGCGGGGAAAAGCTGGAGAGGAGTACTCAGAAGGATAGCAGCGGCATATAAGAACTGGATTGATCGGACAAAATTATCCTGTTGAGGAAGATTGAGAATGACAACAGTCTCGGTCTTAGAGCCAAAGGTCGCGTAGCCGACAACGCCCATGGAGAGAAATATTACGGTGATAATAACCATGACCAGGGCTAGGACACCCGGGAATTTCTCGGGGCGTTTCATAGACTCTTGAATAGGAATGATCAGGCCGATTCCTTCGAAGGTGAAGATAGCGGTTCCAATTAGAAGGGTATATGATTTGGGGTTGAATGGCTGAATGTCGGCAATACCCTGTTCCATAATGGTACTGATGCCAAATCCGTACAGATAGACCAAGCCGAGTAAGATGAACACATCTGCAATCAGGGCTGTGAAGGCCAGTTTGGAAATATCACGAACAAGTGAGAGCGGTAAGAAAATAATGAGCTGCATCAAGATAACATATTTGATGTTCATGAGCGTCTCGCAATTGCTGACAGATAAAATAAATGCTTGGAGGTTTTGAGAGACGAAAACGATATAGGCGGCAACGAAGCCAAGCTGGCTGAGAGCAATGGAAAGTAGAATGAGCTTTCTCATTTTCTCACCGTAAAGGACGCCTCCCATGTCGCCAAAGGAGCCATTGATTTTATTCCGGGTGTTGACAAGCAGGATGAAACAGTAATAGCTTAGGGCCGATATCGCAACTAGCACGATGGAGCTAAATAGCATTCCGCCATTCAAAAAAGCCCTTGGGAGAAACAGGACACCGGTGCCAACAAATGATTTTAAAAGGAGGAGAATAGCGCCCATAGAAGTATTTGTGGCTTTGGCAGCTCGTTCCTTGGGCATACGGCCTCCGGCGCTTCCTGGCCGAAGAAGAGAGGTTTCCTCTGAAGGCTCCTCTTCTCCAGGTCCAGCCCTCCGGGTGAAAAATTCGCCTGGGCCCAACACTTCGTCATCTTCCTCAAGCTCCTCACCGGCAAAATGACCGAACAAGGTCAGGAATTCCAAGAAGCTGTTGGTAGGTAAACGGGGCTGGGAAAGAGCCTGCTCAGGGTCTGCAGGGGCGGTGAGAGTATTTTGCTCTCCACCGGTTCGACGCAGGAAGTCTCGGCGAAAGCCACCTGGAACTCTGATTGTGCTGATGTCTAGTGTCTCGGATTCAGGTTCTGGCCTTGCAAGGTCAAAACTTTTCCGTCTTTTGGGGCCCTGCTGTTCCTGGGACTCTGCTTCAGCCCATCGGTAGATGGGTCTCGTAATATCACCACCTTGAAGCTGTAGACTGGAAAACTCCTCTGCATCTTTGTTTCCACTTCCGCCAGATTTAGTGGATTCCGGCTTTTTCCCGTTGGTGTCATTAGAGTCTGCTGACTCAAGTGGTGGTTGCACAAGATGTCGTTTTACGACTTCTGCATCCTCGACGGGTGCTCCATTGGAGGAATTAGTGGTCCCGTTGGAGCCATTCTCGTCCTGAAGAGCACTGGTCAAGGCGGACGGGCGAGCAGTATCAAGTGATGATGGCACGATGGACGAGGCCTTGAAATCCGTTGTAGTTGAGTCAGCGGGAGGAGCTTGTCTGGGCGTTGGGACATGCCTCAGCTGCAGGTCCTGTGCCTCCGTAAATGACGACGAAGGGATGGGTGAAGCAAGCCTGGCCGTGGTTATATGCCTCGGAAGTGATCCTGGAGCCAGGCCTTCAGCAGGAGGGGTGCCGCTGAGAGCTCTGCCACGAGGAGACTCTTCACGCAGCGCAGACGCCGCCACCGGTATATCCTTCCCCTGGTCCATATCGCTGGCGGTTGCGGTCATCTAACAACACCCACTGCCGGGTAATGGGTGAAACGGGGAGGGCGTGTGGGTTAGTTATCGTCACACCGAGACAAGAAGAAGGCGAGCCGGCCAGAGGTACCACCTAGAAGGCTTTGGAGACACTGATCTTGTAGGACAGACAAACCGACCTTGCAGCTTCGCTTGAAGGGCAAAGAGACGTGGTTTTAAATGCAAAGCTGCAAGCTGGACGGTCAGCAGCTCAAGATGTTCGTCCGGCGCTCAGTCGGCGTGACGAAGGTCGAGAAAAGGTTTAAGCGGCTTTTCTTTTTTTGGGTGTTTTGTGCTTAGCTAAAAAGGCCGACGCTGATTGGCTCAACCTCTCTATGACGCAGTTTTTATGTCAGCTGCTGTCCAAATGCGGTTAATGCGGCTTTTTTGGTGCGGAGTGTAGGTCATGTGATCATCTTAATAATAAATTAGCTTAGTAATATCCTTCGTTCCTGATCGGGAAGAAACTCAGCTTATTCACGTGACTATCTCTTCCATTTTGGGCGATGACGAAAGTTGCTGGTCGAGATATCAATCTTCAACGTCAACGTCAACGTCTGCTTTTTGTCGTATACACTTGGTAGTGCTCGTCAGTCAGTACTTGGCGGATCGAACGAGATATTCAGCTATTCCACTATATTGATTGGAGTTCAGCGGCGGAAAGGGGATGCTTTGATAAGAGCTTCTTGTCTTTGCATTCGACAGGGGGTCCTGGCTGTTGCATAAAGACCCTTAACAGGTTTCCCAACCAGAGACGCAATTCTTCATCAACCATGAATCGCCCGCCTAATGGCTCTGCCAACGACGAAACTAGTTCTCCGGAAATACAGCATGCCTCTGGAGTTGGCTGGTTAGGATACTTCCCATAGAGCCACCAACTCGAAACCTGAGGTCTTTGCATCATGTCTAACTCGTTCTTTAGGAGCATACCCGGGCTCGGTGGCTTGAGAAGGACAAGCAGTGAAGACCAACATGGGGTTCGACAGAGGAGCAGGAGTGTTTCTCGTCTACAGAGAGCCTCGCTAGCCAGGCCCATACATGCCAAACTAACCTTTCCGGATGAAGGAGAAAAGCAGATTCAGAATGATGGGAACGAGGCTCAGAAGCTGGGGTCCTTCTCTGGCGTTTTTGTCCCGACGACACTAAACGTCCTGAGTATTCTCATGTTCCTTCGTTTCGGCTTTCTTCTAGGTCAGAGTGGTATTCTGGGTATGATGGGTGAGTGGAAATCCCTGTTTTCTTCTTTTCTCTTCTTCCGTAAATGAAGGTCTAAATGAGATTGAATAGGTATGCTTGTTATATCATACGCTATCAATCTGATTACTACCATGTCAATTTCAGCCATTGCAACGAACGGAACTGTTAGAGGAGGAGGCGCCTACTATCTCATCAGCCGTTCCCTAGGCACCGAGTTTGGTGGCTCAATTGGTATCGTGTTCTACCTCGGCTGTGTTTTAAACACTGGGATGAACGCAGTCGGTCTTGTTGACTGCTTTAAGCACAATTTGGCGTCATTTCCGGTAGCAAGTCCAATGTTCTCTACGAAGGTTTTTGGTGGGAGTACCTTTGGGCAACGATCATTCTCGTCCTCTGTACGGCTATTTGCCTAGCAGGGAGCTCGGTCTTTTCCCGCGCAAGTAATGGACTGCTCGTTATTCTCTTGGTGTCAACGTTTAGCATACCGTTATCAGCGTGTATCAAGCAGCCATTTAAAAACGAACGCCTAGGGATTGAATTTACCGGTTTTAGCAGCACTTCATTCTTCGATAATATATACCCACACCTTACAAAAGGTGCAGCGGGAAGTCAACTCAAAAAACGAGAAACCTTCCAAGATCTGTTTGGGATCCTCTTCCCTGCCACATCTGGCATATTTGCGTTCGTGTTGCCTTCCAGAAACCCCATTCCATATAGTTTAACTCAGCTAACACATCAGCGTACAGCGGGACAAGCATGTCTGGCGACCTCAAGAATCCAAGCAGATCCATCCCGAAAGGAACTCTTTATGGTCTTGCACTTACATTCGCTACCTATACGGTCGTTATTTTTACTCTGGCAGCGAGTGTCACAAGAGAGTCGTTATATAAAGATGTCAATATCATACAGGATGTAAGCATAATATTCTTTTTTTACTTTTTTATCGCAATGTCTCGACGGCTTTACTCATTAGAAGTTAGACAAGCATCTCAGGTTCCCTTATTGTTCTGGGAGAGTTTTCAACATCATTTTTCTCCTCTCTTATGGGCATCATCGGTGCTGCAAAGGTACTCCAGGCCATCTCGAGGGATGCCCTACTACCTGGCTTGTCAATTTTTGCAAAAGGAACAAAGAAGAACGATGATCCCATTAGTTCTATCCTGATTACCTTCATAATAGCACAGATAACAATATTTTTCGATATCAACCAGATCGCCTCTTTCGTCTCGATGGCATACTTGATGACCTTTCTGGTCACGAATCTAGCTTGCTTCTTGCTAAAGATTGGATCGGCCCCGAACTTTAGGCCGTCATTTCATTACTTCAATTCGACAACTGCTTTTGTCGGTACCGTTATCAGTGGAGCTAGCATGTTCTTTACTGATGGGGTATACGCCACCGGGTGTGTTTGTGTATTGGTGACCCTCTTCCTTCTAATCCACTACATGGCTCCTCCAAAGACGTGGGGAGATGTCAGCCAAAGCCTCATCTATCACCAGGTCCGCAAATACCTACTTCGACTTCGACCCGAGCATGTCAAATTCTGGAGACCACAAATCCTTCTCTTTGTCAACGACTTCGAATCACAATATAAGATGATCCATTTTTGCAACTCGTTGAAAAAGGGCGGCCTGTTCGTTCTTGGCCGTGTTCTGGTTACCGATGATTTTGCAACAGCTGTTCCAGTTGTCAGGAAGGAACAGACTGCCTGGAATAAATTTATTGAATATTCAAAGGTGAAGGCCTTTATCAACATAACAGCGGCTCCTAATATGGAATGGGGAATCAGGAACATTGCTTTAAGTGCTGGACTCGGAGGGATGCGGCCCAATGTTGTTGTAATAGACCAATTTCGCAAAGAGAAACCCGACATTTCATTCGAACTTGGAATTCCATTGAGACGGTCAACGAGGAGTATCTCAGTCGTCAGTGAAGGCGAAAGAGACCACATCCGAAAGAGCAGAACGGATTTGTTTGAGAGACATTCACCAGTGGGTATTCAGAGCTACTTGACAGTCCTGGAGGACCTGCTATTCCAGTTACGCATCAATGTTGCGGTTGCGAGAGGATTTGAGAATCTCGAGCTGCCAGGGACCAATGATGGAGATTTACCGATCAAATTCATTGATTTGTGGCCGATTCAAATGTCCGGAGAAATATCGTCGGATGGAGGACGGACCCGTCCCAACTATCTCACGACCAATTTTGACACATATACGTTAATCTTACAGCTTGGCTGCATTCTCAACACTGTTCCGTCCTGGAAACATTCATGCCGGTTGCGAGTGGCGGTGTTTGTAGAATATGAGACAGACGTTGAAGAAGAGCGGAAAAGAGTGATGACTCTACTCGAGAGGCTTCGGATCAGTGCAGAAGTGTTGGTGTTTTGGCTCGCGAGCGGAGATTTACAAACCTACCGCGTAATTGTGAATGGGGATAGAAGTAATGTGGATAAGGCCATGCTCGACTCGGTCGAAAAGGCGTTGGAAGACGAGGATTGGTGGCAGGAGCTTGGGCGGTACAGGGCCGTTTCAGAGGAGGCTCGGAGCAGATCAACCAAGTCACAGAGACACACTCCAACAGGGTCTGGTACCACAACACCCCGTGAAGGAGGGAGACGACGCGCTGGGCTGGAAGGCCTGAAGAGAGTCATTGAGTCGTCTCGGAGGAGGTCAATTGGGCCTGGAGTCAGCCTCGGGATGCAGACCCATCGACTGCTGGATTCCATGGTAGAGTACAACTCTGACGGAAACGACGATGACGAGTCATCTTCAGAAGAGAGCGATATCGACCCGTATCTGAGCGAGAGCGAGGGAGAGAATGAAGGAGAGGGCGAAGACGAAAACGAGCCGATGGCGGCCTCTGAAACCCCAACGGTCAAGGAACCTGAGACTTCGGACACCCCGTCCCCTCGCGCCGTGTTCACAAAGAAAGGCCGCGTTGCATCGAGCGCCAAATTCTCGTCTGCCCCCATACCAGCGACGAAGGTGGTAACTGAAGAAGGGACAGGGCCCTCGATCATGTTCGCTGATTCATCGCCTCCCCGCCGCGGAAGTGCGACGCCAGGCTTTGAATCCATCTACACCCGAAATGGCGGTGCATCCGGCCAGCCGTCCACTATTCCAGCCGAAGGCGATCTGGAAGCCCAACCACGAGCATCCGGATACCCCTTCCAGGCCGCGGTCCCTCTCTCGTTCAACGACCTTCCCGGCCGGGCCCAGCACCTGATACTGAACGAGCTGATCAAATCGCAGAGCAAGGAAACGGCCGTGGTGTTCACCACCCTGCCGACCCCTGTCGAAGGCGTCTCACACGACAAGGCCTCCTGTGAAGCGTACGTCGACGACCTCGAAGTGCTCTGCGACGGCCTTCCGCCGTGTCTGCTCGTCCACAGCAACAGCGTCACCGTGACGATGAACCTATGAACGAAGCCGCTTTCATTCTTTATTATCCCTAGTAGCCCTTTTGCATAGCTTTTTCCAGCGTTCGGACATACAGTTGTTATTACATACATTTCGGTAGATATTACATAGTCAAAGTTGACCGTTACAAAACATGCGTTTAAAAAAAAAAAAGAAAACATCCAAACCTGAGCCAAATCGGGCAAATATCTCATATTTCAGCTTTACATCGTACAGCTTTTTTTCCCCTCTGGCCGTAAGACAGAACAACGACAGCTAAGAAGTTCGGCGTCGAATCCTTGATCCGCCGGGCCTCCCTTGATCCTCCCAACGAACGACGGTTACTGGAATAACAGTAGTAGTAATTGGCCATCCGGCTGATATATCACGAACAACAGGCTGCGGCCTCCGAAATCCCCAATCTTCACTCCCTTTTTTCCAGTCAATCCACTGCGCCACCATGCTACGTTGACGAAGAGAGCCGAAAAATAAGATAAAATACGAACACACGCCGTGGAACCGTTCCCTCGCTGTCGAAACCAGAAATAAAGAAGATTTTAGGTCGACCATGGTTGAGCGGTTTGAGAGCAATATACCCGTACGATCGAAGCGCAACGGCCGCCACAGCCTGAAGATGACCATGCCTGACGATGAATCCCTAGACAGCTCAGACGGGGCCATCACGCCGTCGCCGGTACGGTCAGGAATAGAAGGGCTTCCAGCAGGCCGGTTGAGCGTCAAGTCGAGGATGGGGAGGAAGCTCTCGTCGCCAATGGCACCGCCGTTCATGGTGTCGGCGCCCGGCAAGGTCATTGTGTTTGGAGAACACGCTGTCGTGCATGGGAGGAAGGCAATGGCTGCGGCCATATCTCTACGGTCCTATCTGCTGGTCACGACGCTGTCGAAGTCGCATCGTACGGTTACGCTCAATTTCAGGGATATCGGGCTGGATTTTACGTGGGATATCGACTCGTTGCCGTGGGACGTCTTCCACCACCCGTCGAAGAAGAAGTTCTACTATGACTCCGTCACGGAGCTTGATCCGGAGCTGCTCGAAGCTCTGAAGCCTCACGTCGCGATGGTGTCGATGGACGAACCGGAGGAAGTGCGGAAGATACACCACCATTCTGCCAACCAATTCCTCTACCTCTTCCTCTCGCTCGGGTCGCCAAAGACGCACGCCGCCATCTATACGCTTCGATCGACGATACCGGTGGGAGCCGGCCTGGGAAGCAGTGCGAGTGTCTCTGTGTGTCTGAGCACTGCGCTGCTGCTGCAGGTTCGCATCTTGGCCGGACCACACCAGGACCAGCCGCCGGACGAGGCGGAGGTACAGCTCGAGCGCATCAACCGGTGGGCGTTTGTGGGCGAGCTGTGCATACACGGCAACCCGAGCGGCGTCGACAATACGGTGTCTACCGGCGGCAAGGCAGTGATATTCCGGAGAGGAGACTACTCCAAACCACCGACCGTGATTCCTATCCTAGATTTCCCCGAGATGCGGCTCCTCCTGATCAATTCTCGCCAGCCTCGATCCACGGCCGTAGAGGTCGCAAAAGTCGGCGCCTTGAAGAAAGCGCATCCTGCCATTACGGAGTCGGTCTTGGACAGCATCGGACAGCTTACCGAGAACGCCCACCGCATCATCATGTCGGACGACTTCGACGAAAACTGCCATGATACGATCGATCACTTTGGACAGCTGTTCCGCATAAACCACGGCTTGCTCGTCTCCCTGGGCGTCTCCCACCCTCGCCTAGAGCGCATCCGAGAGCTGGTAGACCATGCAGATATCGGCTGGACCAAGCTGACGGGAGCCGGCGGAGGTGGCTGCACCATAACATTGCTCAAGGGCAACCGAAACGAGGCCGCCATCGAGCATATGGAAGAGCAGCTTGATGACGAGGGCTTTGAGCGCTACGAGACCTCTCTGGGCGGAGACGGAGTAGGCGTCCTCTGGCCCGCCGTCCTCCAGAACGGCACCGACGAAGAAGGCGGCGAGGAGATAGACCAGCTGAAGTTCGAGAACGCCGTTGGCATCGATGGCATCGAACAGCTGGTCGGGGTCGGCGGGCCAGAGAAGAGGGAAGGCTGGAAGTTTTGGAGACGCGGAACTTCGACCTGACGATGACGGTGGACTTCTCTCCTTCTTTTCGTTTCTCTTTCGGTCAATCAACGCTTGCTCAACTGCTCTCTACTGGTTCGGGGTCTTGCTAGCCGTTCGATGCCTTGACATCATCCTCTTAATACCACTTTGATATTCCTACGCCTTTTCTAATAACCCTTGTAAGAAGCGAGGCGCCGTTCAATTCTTGACTCCTTTTAGCCATGCTATGCTGTTCCTTAGACCAGGGCCCTTCATAGTAGATATAAATACTACCATCCTTACCCTTCTATATCTACAATCTCTCTATGTCTTTCTACGTTTTCTACTTTGATATAGGGTTAGCTTACATAATCGAGATGCTATTGTTTCTCGTTCGAACAATAAAAACCAAACGTCGATTCATGAGATTTGACGCCGAGTTTGAATATAAAAATGAAAGAGAGCATCTGCACCTCGTAGGCGCTGAAGTGTGCGTCGTCCCCATCTGGCTTGCGCTCCCCCCTTGGATAAGAAAAATACCCAGCCATGTCGAAATACTCCTCCGACCCCGCGTGGGCATCAGTTACCCCCATCCCGCTGGATGATGGGTCAAATCGCTTTACTCAGGCAGACAGAGACAGTGCTGGCGGCGATGGCTCGGTGACTACCGCTAATGTGGCCGGCGAGACGTTGCCGCTGGCGACAATTGCGTATTCAGACGAGTACGCTGAGGCGACTGCTTATCTGCGGGCCGTGATGGCCGCGAACGAGATGTCAGACCGAGCACTAGCATTGACAGAGGATGTGATTCGGTCGAATCCAGCACATTATACGGTCTGGTATATAGGGACGCTCTCTTTCTCCTTCTCTGTCGACTATGGCTACAATCATGCTGATAACTGGGTGTAAACAGGCTCTACAGAGCACAAATACTCAATGCTCTGGGCAAAGATCTGAAAGCTGAGCTCGCCTGGCTCGACCAGCTATCCACTAAATATTTAAAGAGCTATCAGATATGGTAACCGGAAGCCTTCCAACCCTCAGGCGGAAATTACGCTGCTAACGATCCTATCTACAGGCACCACCGCCAAGTAATAATGTCCAATGAATCCGTCTTCCCTACCTTACCTGAGGGAGAACTGGACTTCTTAGTAAAGATGTTTGCTCTAGATGCCAAAAACTATCACGTCTGGACATACAGACACTGGCTTCTCAGACACTTCAAACTATGGGATTCGCCAGCTGAGTTGGCGGATATAGAGAGAATGATTGACGAGGATGTGAGGAACAATTCTGCCTGGAACCACCGGTGGATTATGCGGTTTGCGCCTAGGGAGGGTTTTGATAGTGGGCTGCCTGGTGTGGGGACTGCTGCCAGCATGGGCGCTGGTGCAGGGAAGATGGTAGTTGTGGACGAGGACATGGTTGATGGCGAAGTGGAGTATGCAAAGAAGAAGATCGTGCTGGCGCCTGAGAACCGGAGTCCGTGGGCGTACATGCGCGGCGTGCTCAGGGCTGCCGGTCGAGGGCTGGCGGATATCAAGACGTTCGCACAGCGGTTTGTTATCGAGGAGGTGGTTGAGGAAGGGAAGCGCGAGATCCAAGTCAAGAGCAGCCATGCACTGGAGTGGTTGGGCGATGTGTACGCCGAAGAAGCGCAAGACCCCGAGGCAAAGAGCAATGCGGTGCGGATGTTTACAATGCTGAAGGACAAGTACGATCCTGTCAGGAAAAATTATTGGGATTATCGGATTAGATCGTTGGACAGCTAGGAAATGAAACTTGTTGGAACATGTGTTTAGTTTCTAATCTCTATCTTTCTCTGGTGATTGACTTTTCTGTTCCCAGCAGGCAAAAAGTAAAGGAGAGGGACACGGGATATAAAGAAAACTGTCGTCTGCATGCAAAGAAGATTAAAAAAAAAAAAAGAGTAGCCCTTCAAGTAACCAGAAGAAGATGCAAAAGGTGTATTAAAACAAGCCCATGTCCCCAGACATTTTTGAGCCCCAAACGCCGTAAAGCCATCATATCAAACTGTCATTAAAAAGGAAGCTCTGCCATATACAAGACAGGCGTATAAACCGGAAAAGTGTGAGGATGAAAAAAGTGGTATCGTGTCTATGCGGGAGTTGGCGGGACCGCGATGTTGCCTGGATCATCGCTGCCCCAACCGGCGTCAAGTTTCTCTCTCCACTCGCCGGCCATAGAAAGGGAGACGTTGCTTCCTCCACATACGACGATAACAACTCTGGTCTGAGGGCCAAAGTTGGGAATGAGCTGTTGCAGGTAAGACTTGTTTATTCCGTTGACGACCGTCTCTCCGTTGGTGGTTGGTGCGCTGCCCTCAGCGCTAAGCTTGACCCTCTTTGCGGGTGGAGGTGCGGTTTCGGGTTGATGATGGGGTCCAAAGGCTGCCTCGACAGAGACACCACAGGCGAGTTCAACAAGTATCTTCTCGTCTTCTGCGAGGCGGAGGCAGCCCCGAGCCGCATCTGCGTCTGAGAGTACGAGAGAGTGAACCTTGACGCCCTTCGGAGGGGAGACGTAGTTGTCCCAGGCCTTCTCGGCAATGCGGAGGACGCCAAGCGAGGAGGCGGCGGATGTGATCTTTGGCAGGGAAATGCGGGAGTTCTTCTCGACGGACACGGCAAGGGCGTCAGCGCCCCGAGTCTCGGTGGCAATTATATGGATGTTGTCATCTCCAGCAGGAGTATTATTTTCGGTGGTGGTGCCGTTGGTTGAAGTAGCGCTGGCTGCGGCGTCTAGCATAGGTGCCTGACGCTCAATACCCATGATAAGGCCGTTCATGAGCCCGCCACCACCTACAGAGCAGATGATGGCGTCACAAGGGAGGGCCTTGCGTAGGCAAGGGTCGTTCTCCTCGGCTGGGGGAAGCTGGTACGCAAGTTCGTCCGACATGGTGCTTACGCCTTCCCAGATGTGCTGGCGGTCAAAGGGGTGCAGTTCGATGGCCACGACCTCCGACCCGCCTGGAGTAGGGTGATCAGTGAGCTCTTTCATCATCTCGCGCATGCGAACGGCGGCCTCGTCCAGGTTGGTTCCGTGTTGGACAACGCGGGCACCGGCCTGCTGAAGCTTCTTGATCATGACCGGTTTGGTGTTGACTGTCACGGCGACGGTGCAAGGGTAGTTGAGCGCAGAAGCTGCAAAGGCCGCCCCCAAGCCAGCATTCCCAGCAGAGGGGATAAAGAAGTGTAGCCGCTTGCCCTTGTTGGCGGGGTCAGTGGCATGGCCACGGACCAGGTTTCCAATACCTCGAGACTTGAACGAGCCGCTGGGCTGGAGGTTGTCGAGTTTGAGGAAGATGCGGCTGTATAGAACCAATTAGTCTATTTGTTTGTTGACTTGGTATTCTGGGTGGGGGAGAGCACACCATCCCGCAGCTTTGGAGAGACTGGTAGATTCAATCAAAGGGGTTTCAATCCACGGCAAGCGCAGACGCTGCTGCTTTGGCTCTTCGACGCTTCCCATTATGATGACGGAACAATATCTGGTTGAGCAGATATATCAAAACAAAAGAAGGGCGAAAAAGGGAGGGGAAGCAGGAGTTCACACAGGAGCTGGGAAGAGTTGAAAAACGTCAACAAGAACTCGGTCTGGTCTGTCCGCCTAAATATAAATATTCAAAGCTTGGTTGAATCCGGGCGGGAAACGGGATAGTGTCATCGACCCAGAGGCAAAGAGAAAAATCCTTTGGACGGGAAGTGGAAGAAGTGGATAAATGCTTAGAAAGCCCTGCAACTCCGGTTCATGGAGAGCCGGTCGACGGGAGCATCTTTATACTTCTCCAACTTCTCCAACTTTTGCCATATATTATTGTTTTTTTATATTGCCCCCCCTTCTCCCCCAGGGTCTCTCTCCCTCAAGGTCTTCCCCAACGGCCAAGGGGACTAGACCGAAAGCTCTTGTCGGCAGGGAAGTCGGGGATTTAGGCACAAGGCGAAGTGTCCAGCCATTCACGGCCGGCCAGGAAGAAGTCGGCATGTCAACAAAGGTGGATGTACCTCAGCATTCGTTTTTCTTCTCCTTCGTCATCATCTTCCATCATGTTTGTGCTTTTTCTTCCCTGGAAGTGCCGAAGTATCAGATGACATAAGCAAGTCAGATCCAGGCACGCCCCACTTAAAGTTTCCCGTCGGCTAGGCAAGTTTCCCGCGGGATACCGAGGATGGTTTCCCGGGAAGGCGTCTTGGCCACTTTCGGCCGAGGCGAGCAGAGCCTGATATATAGATCGATGTCGATACATTTGGTAGATGATGTTGCTGATGGATGCTGGTATCTCCATCTGATGCAAGACCAAACCCGGAAACCAAGAGTGATTATCGAAGATGGGAGAATAGAGGGAGCTTCGGGTGGGAGATGGACGGCCAGAGCCTGGATGAACCGCCGCTATCATCCACAGTCCGTGGGATGGAGCATCATCTTCTCGGAGAATACTCGACTCCTTTTCCCCCAGTACCCCATAGTTGTAGGCAGTGCTAGCGGGGGAGCGGCTGATTTGCTCAGTCCAGACGCCCCCCCTCTCATGGTCGATCCATATCAATCTCTGCCTGGGAGATGAGATGAGAGTATGACAGTCGAATCGCCGAGTCGGTCAAAACAATCCAGTGCCTTTCCTTGCACTTAGCACGACCCGTCGTATAACATGCAAACAATATGCCATTGAGATTACGCGCAGCTTGCTTGTTTCTGCTTCCTGCTTTCCGGCTGGACTCGGACGCGGCTACCGCTGTCCTTTGGGAATCGACGTGTGACCTTGCAATTTTTTTTTTTCTTTCTCTCGTTTGTTTTCTCCTCTTCCTCCCTTTTTTCATCCCTTTCTTCATTTGTTTTGTTTCTGCTTTGCTTCTTCTTTGTCCTTGTCTTCTATCCATCAGCTGATCTAGACACCGTTAGTTTGACGTAGCGTAGCCAGACGGATGATAGGATCTAGCCGAAGTCTAGATCAGACTTACTGACATATACTATGTATTCAGTGAAACCGTGTCAACCGGGCTTTGCAAGAACCCCAAAGCCAACTGCTGCCAGCTCCAGGAGGACCAACCAGTATCAAACCATGTCTGCACATGATATAAATAGAATACACGCATTGGATAGTAGTCTGCTGGCGATTCTTAGCTGGGGCTGTTCGTATACTCCAGGACTTTGCTGGACATCGTTACTTACTTCGGTCTCTCCATGGCTGAAACCTCTCTGCCCGAGTAACTAGCGAGAGTACAGGGTGATTGGTATCGTATGGAAGAATAAGAACGTTGCGGGACGACGGGCCCTAAAACCGGCGGGCAGTCCCGAGAGAATCTTGAGGTTTCATATCATAGTTAAACAATTATCTAGCCCAGACTATTGGACCGCCTCTTTAGATAGCCCGAGGTATATGGAATGGTCGGGTTGACCGTCAAGTAAGTGCATCTAATATTTCTCTTCTGGTGGCTTTTTTTTTCTTGCTTTTGGAGGTTGAAGTTGATGTTGGGCGGTCATCACATGAGTAAAGTTATTTATTGGTTGGCTCTCCATCGTTATCGTACATATTAGTTACAATATAGCTATACAAGTCTACGGCGAACAACGAACATAATTCGGCGCAACTCCACGATTCTACCATGGGATAGATCATTCTTCACTCAACAGCGGTGGGAATAGTGTCCCTGCCTGCCCCTTTCCTAGCGGCACGCTCGGCGTCCCATAGTCAGGATCAACCCCATAACTCGAAGCAGCAAATGAACGTTTGCTGAGATCATCCTCCACCCCAAGCATGTCGAGCAGCCTCTTAGCCTTCTCGGGCATGAAAGGCTGTAGGAGGATGCCGGTAATGCGGAGTGACTCGGCGGCGTTGTAGATTACTCCAACCAGCTGATCGTGTGCTGCCGGGTTGGTGGCCGCCTCCTTTGCCAGGTTCCAGGGACCAGTGTTTTGCACATATCTGTTTGTCTACACCGGTCTTGTTAGTATTAACGCCAGGCAAAGCACGGATGGAATGGGCTAACCTGGTCGATAATCTTCACTATTTCCTCCAACGCCCTGCGGGGGTTCAATTCATTCATCTGCTTCGAGACGAGACTGGGGACCTTCGACAAAAACTCCATGTGCTCATATTCAGACTTATTTTTAGCTTTCCCCCTATCCGGCCCGCTGGTCGCCGTAATGACACTTTCTCTCACATTCCATCCTTTCCCTCGCATTATGCGGCTGCAAAGGTTGCCCAGTCCACCTTGCAGGATGTTCTTGTAGTCTCGTACGATATATGAATTGTCATAGTCCGTATCACTTGCGAGTCCTCCGTTTATAGCTAGATAGAACCTCATCGGATCTACGCCGTACCGTGCCATCGCAAACATCGGGTTGACCACATTACCCGTAGATTTGGACATCTTGGAGTGATTCATGGTCCAATGCGCGTGTGTCAAGATGGTACGGGGTAGAGGCAAGTCAAGAGCCATCAGGAAGGCTGGCCAGTAGATACAATGGAACCTATGGAGTGTTAGTTACGGTCAGTGAGCGAAAAAATTTGAGCACCAGCCTACCTTGTGATATCTTTGCCCACAACATGGACATCTGCAGGCCAGATTGATTCTTCCTCACGACCAGGTGTAAAGGGGTAGCCTGCATAGGTAATATAGTTGACCAAAGCATCCAACCAGACATAGATGGTTTGGGTCGTATCTCCAGGGACGGGAATTCCCCATGACAGGCGGTCAACAGGGCGGGAAATAGACAGATCTTGCAACCCAGACGAGACATTCTGAACTATACTATCCATATATACCTGTGGCTGGATGAAAGTTGGGTTTTTGCGATAGTGCTCTAGTAACCGGTCTTGGAAGGCGGATAGCTTGAAATGGTAGTTGGTCTCCTGGGTAAATTTGACCTCTTTTCCGGTTTCAATCGAAGCCTTGACATAGTCAGTATCTGGACCGGCATAGAAAACAAAGAGGTATTTACCATCATCTTACGCCCAGTTGCTGGATCAAGCGTTGAGTGCACTGCAGACGCCGGATAGAACGTCTCATCACTAACCGAGTACCAGCCTTCATGCTTGCCCTCATATATATAGCCTCGATGGTTGAGATTTTCCTACTACGACTTCAGCAAGAGGTCCTGGAAGTCATAAACTCTGGCGTTCATACCCAAAAGAATTGCACAGCTGACTTGTGCGCTGAATCTGTTGTTCTAATGAAATGGTCGTGGCTAACATTTGCTTCTTTGGCCAACGTCTATGAGATGTGAGTCTCTACACCGCAGGATTATACCAGGTAGACGGGGTCCACAACAGACCTTGAATGTTTTGCAATTCCTGTCGCAAAGCGCCTGAGGTTCCAACCCATTTTGAAGCGCAGCTTGCTGAATCTGTCTCCAGCGCATTAGCCACACTCCTTATCCCATAATATTGTATGCCATCCTCTCACACCTTCATCCCATGCTCATCTGTCCCAGTGAGTAGCTTTGCGTCGCCGTTTCCAAGAAGGACCTGCCATCGTTTAAGTATATCGGCGATGAGGATGGTATAAAGGTGGCCAATGTGTGGTGCTATACACAGGAATTAGCTATCTAGGCTCGGTAAAATTTCTCAGCATATAGTCCTACCTGCATTGACGTAGAATATAGGTGTTGTGACATAGTATGGCTTCGACTTCGTCCCGGAAGCTGCTTCAGTTGCATATCCACGATTCAGGGCCGCAGTACGTCGACATGGGCTGCATATCCAAGGGCATGCTTTTGGGTTTCGGAATTTCAAGGACTGTGAGAATATCCGAAATTCAGCTTTCAACATTGTGGCCTATAAAGCCGGCTACCATACCGCCAAAAGATATAGAAAAAACCCGGCGAGTTTGCGCATTAACTGAATTAATATTTATTATCGGCTGCAAGAAAAAGCGCTTGTTGGTCCAAGCTCCGGCAAGTTTAAAATTAGAAGTTAAAATCATTTTGATATTATCGACGGCGACCTTCAACCATGGAACATTTTGAGTCAGAAAGGATGAAAGGTTTTTCTTAATATATAATAAAATAAACTTCTCAGCTACCTTCTACGCCAGTCTTATTTATCTCCAAACGCTCACTTTTTGAAATTTGCAACAAAAACTGAGTCAGCTCGGACACCATGACCGCTGCTATCCAAGAAGATGTCCTTACAAAGGTGTCGACAGACGGTAAGGTCCTTATAATCCTCGAGCTGCAGTTTGATCGCACACTAATTTGCGCTAGCTACCACAAATTTCGTTCAATCTTATTATTCCGCCCTTGATAACGCCCGACAAACGCTGTCTACTTTCTACGCCCCAACAGTAACCAATATTCTATTTAACGGCAACATCGTAGCCGATGGTGCTTCCGTTCAGGATATATTCGTCAACCAGTTGCCACCTACGCATTACGAAGTCCAGTCATATGATTGTCAGGTTTTGAACCAAAATTACCCTACGATCCCACCCGCGACAACTGATAACACAGCCAGTCCATTTGGAGCCAATACAAATCGAAATACCCCAGATCCAGCGAAAAATATGTCAATACTGGTTCTCGTGAGTGGCTATGTAAAATTTGGAGAAGGAAAGGAAACGTGGGATTCGCCGAATAGAGGGTTTAGCGAGACTTTTGTCCTCATTCCAAACCCGCAAGCATCCAGTGGACCGAAAGCACGGGGCAAGCAGTGGTTGATACAGAGCCAAAATTTCAGGATTGTCGTTTGATACGCGCCGAAATTTTGGAGAGTTGGGTGGATTCACTTTTTACCGTTCCGCCTTCTGATATTTATAAGGATGTGCTATGCGCTCAAGGTCATGGCTACGATCACGAGTTATTATACACGATATAAGATGGAAGAGAGAAACTTCTCCCAATTACCAGCTCCGAAAGCAACAAATTTACCGCCAGTTAAAATGCTATTTGATTGAATATAAAGCAAGATTCGATTACCCATGGAAGACCAATATGCCATCCGACTATGGCCTCATGTTCGCTTTTACTCTCTCTAATAACTCCTCCCTAGATGCTTGCTCGTTTGGGAGTCGGCCACGCTATAGGTTCACAGTCAAATTAGCTTGGGCTCTAGCTATAACCCTCTTTGCAACTACTCCACGATGCAGCTTAACCAGGGGCTGGGCATATTTACCACGCGAAGCCACCTCCTGAGCTCATCAAACGTCCAATACTCTGGATCTAAACGGACGCCCCGTTAGTTTTGTTTGATTAATGTACACCGGTATGCGCTTGATGGTAGAACTTACCTCCGGTTGGGTCGGCTTCGGCAGGGAACATTTCACTTCCCCATATGCTCCATACTGCGGCGGCGGTTACAAGTCCGACAAACCCTGGATAAATAGGTTACATAAATAGAATTATTATTTGATATGTTCCAATCTATTTACCAACGAGTAGGTTCTTTCATCCGTTAGTACCCTTGCATTAATAGTTCTGAAAGAGAGACTATACCTTTGACTGTAAAGCTCTATCCAACGGCGTAGGCATTGTTTGGTTGTTATGACCGTCGAGTCGATTTTTGTAAACAGCTTCTGGAAACGAAAGAATAACAGGCTTGTTTGCAGGCTTGCTCTATATTTATCTATTTCTCAGCTTTATGCAGCAGCCTAGACTAACCCCGATCTGGGACTCGTAAACGCTCTAAGCGCTTATGCAGACGCCATGTCCCAATTCGGCGACAATTCAGGGCTCCACCCTGGCGAAACCCTAATTGAAGTTCACACAGCGGGCAATTTTCGATTTTTGAAGAACGACGAGCGACAGCGAGGTTCATTCATTCTACACCATCCGGCCATCAAATTTCGACCGCAAGCCTATACTCACCGCCCATCATGCCTTCCGAAGTTTCCGATATCAAGCAGTTCATTGAGATCTGCCGACGGAAGGACGCTTCCTGTGAGTTCTGTTCCGTGGTTTCTTTCGTGCCTGATACCGTTGGATGGAAATGTCCAGAAACATCCGGCTGGCTGTATACAGTTGCGCCACCAGAGATTGGAACGCTGACTCGGTATGATTGTTTTAGCTGCTCGCATCAAGCGCAACCGCAGCACCCAGCAGATCAAGTTCAAGGTCCGATGCAACCGATTCTTGTACACCCTCGTTCTCAGAGACTCCGATAAGGCAGACAAGCTTAAGCAGAGCTTACCACCTGGTACGTTTCCTTCGCTTTAGGATGGAATGGAGGAATAGACGAAGCGCATTGTCACGATTTTACTGACGGATGTACACCATAGCCCTGAAAATCGTTGATGTCTCCAAGGGTACCAAGAAGAAGTCCACCTAGATAGTTGGCATGGGTGAAATGAGAGGTGGTGCTGTCGAAAAAAAGCAATCCAATGCGAGAGGGCATGATTAATGTCGGGAAGACCGGATGGATGAAGAGTGATTAGGGTCCAGCACATAATCAACAGAGATTCGTTGTGCATTGGTGAAGCCAATTGATGTATTTACTACAACCGGATGCACACCATACCCGAATCACCGATCCCGGATGGTCTCGTTTTTTATGATATCCCAATAAACTACCCCCTATCCAATACTTGCGGCTAGGGCTTTTTCACAGTTACATTTCATTCCGCACCTATCTTGGAGTATGATATAAAAACAATCTATAAGCCTCAAGGAACAGTATTACATCTATTAAGGTACATAGGGGAAAGGGATACATGTTGAACCCGGCAGTCTCATTACCACTTCCCAAATGCTGCAATCTTAGATAGGTTGGCCAGCCTACCAGGAAAGCCATGCATGTAGTTTATAGATTCTTTTTCAGTCTAAAAGATCAGTTAATGATATGGTAGTTCCATATACTCTATACCATAGTGTTGCATCCACATCCGTAGTTCCCCAGAGCTCTCAAGCCCGTATTTTCGTAACTCCAGTTCTCCGAACACATTTGGTCTGTCCGATACTGTATCAAAACCAAGACTCTTGAAGAGAGCTATGCTTCGTTCATTTTTAGCCGCAATCCTCACTACCAGGTATTCGAGCTGTTTCTTTCCAGAAGCTGTAATTGTTGCCAGTTCCGCTACTTGGGTAGAAGTAGCGTGGCCCTGGAACTCTGCAAGAATCTGCTCCATATGATCAATAACGTATTTTAAGAAACAGACCAAGCTCGCTCTCCCAAAGCCTTTCCGTTGTAGGTGCTTCTCGGCAATCATTAGTTCCACTTCTCCAACAACCACTTCTTTCGGCACGTCGCTTGATTCTCCGTCAACGGTGTCATTTTCTTCAAGTTTCAAGAACATGTTAACATCTCCTATCATTTTCTCCGGGGCGTCGTCACCCTTAGGTTTAACTTGATACGAGTTGTTGTCTTGAACTGGCTCTGAAGCGCCCTGGTCATCAGAGCATGTTGCTAATGAGGATACAGGCTGACAGGTGATGAAGGTTAATTTGTCCGCATCTTGCCTCCAGCTCTGCTGCATTTGATATTCTTCGTCTAGAGTAAGCGGTTCCGAGGCAGTGGCTTCTTGTATCTCCTTTTATCCTGGCACGGATAGAATCAGCGTCAACATTCAAAGGATTCCATGCTATATTCAGCAGCCCTGTGAGTGGAAACAGCATGCCAAGGTGGTATCTGAGAAGAGAATCATACAGGATCTTTCATCCATTCATGGTATCTTGGTACATGGTGCGGAGAATATGGCACAAGAAGAACTCTTGAAGAAGACACGCCTAAGGCATTTGTTAGTCGTTGGCTGTTCCTCTTCCTTCAATCGTATGAATTGAAGCAAACGGGTAGTTATTAACAATGTTAGGGTATACTTGCATATATTCTCATTAACGAGCATTTTGTATCTCAGTACTCGATGAAAGTGGATATGTTCGGTTGAGAGCTTGTGAAGGCGTGAAGGGAAGATTGGTTAAATATTTTTGGGTTGAGGATGGTTTGGATCCCAGTTTAGCCATATTAGTTAAGGTAACTAAAAAACCTTGGTGGTTTTTATGTTCAAATGTAGATTTTAACACTACAATCTTAACCACACTGGTTGCTGGACAGTTAAAGCGAAGAAGGCTCTAAATTCTATCTACCAGAATCTGATTATGGGGTCTCTTGAAAACACTCGTTAAATAGATGATCATGATGCGTCAGACATTTCTTCGTCCTTTCCAGCATTACTGGCCTTCTCTATCGTACCGAACTTTACCACCTCAACGGCAAGCGTTTCCGAGTCTAGCAGAACTATTTCGCCTGTTTCATGGAACTTAGGTAGGGCTATTAGCCTCACTTTGGTGATGTTATCATCCCCAGATCCCCAATCACCTCCTTCGATAATGCTAGACTGAAAATGCGGTTGGTTTCCGGTGAAGAAGACGTGAGGACATGATTGTATAACGAAGGGATCCTTGTCCTGGAATGGATAACACCCTGGATGAAATGTCAGAGAACGAACTAATTAATAGATAGGGGATAACGTGTGTACTTACAGATGGTATCAGGCGCGGTTGGAACGCCGCAGCGCCATTTAAGCATATAATCCATAATCCTAAGTCGTACTCCGTTTTGGACATCTTCATCTTCTTCTCCCTCTAGTTCCTCAGTATCGACGTAACGGAGGACATCGTCCACATTCTGCCCACTGGTGCCCCAGAACCTCCATCCCTCGATATCCCCTTCCCAAGGATTTGTGACGCTGTCTAGCCAACCAGGCTCAGCTAATAGGGCCTCGCGCCTGGGAGCTATTGGCGCGCAGTATGCTTTGGACTGAGGGAGCATAGCTGTGTGGATTTCCTGCTGTGGCAAGGAGAAGTTTGCTGGATCAGTTTCTCCAGGCATTAACGTCACGGGGATACTTGGGAGTATATCAGAGAGGAACGTGTCTAAGAGGGTGATTGGAGAGGCGTTGTAGGCTGATGCATCATAGCCGTATTTTTTTGGTTGGCGGTTTTCGGACCCTGCAGCATCGTCACCTGTAGAGGCGGTTTTGGCTCCAAGGGAGTTCCCTGCAATTACAAGGCGTGATATCTGAGAGGGGTTGGCGGAGATGGAGTCCCCGTCGCCTGGATTAGACCCGGTATAGCCAAGAAGGTAGTCTGCAAGAAGAGATAGGGATACGGTGTCGCCAGAGGTACCAGTAATGCCCAATCCGCTGACGAACGCAATCTTCTTGCCTTTGCCAGATCTACTATCATCACCTTCGAAGGCACTGTGTTTCCGTTTTGCTGGGATACCATCTGATGGCTCCTCTCTTTCCCATCGTTCAGGCTGAGGGGGTATATCAGGAACCTTGATATCGACAACTTCGAACTCGCCGTCTGCATTCTCTGTCCCAAGAACTGCAACAACAACGCCAGTGACCAAGAAGCTTGATTGAAGTAAACTTCCGGTGAGAACTAATCTTCCCGACTCATCTTCTACCATTGTCTGAGTGGGTTTTGTGCTGTTTGGGTCATTGTATGTCTTTTGTGGTATGGGAGCGGCAGTCCAGTTCTAGGAGAAGCAGTAAATATTAGCGTAACCCATGATTAATTCATTGCGAAGGAATTAACATGCATACCTCTTTGGAGATATCGTCCATGATACTGGGCTTTAATGGAAGCTCCATATAAACAGTTCCAACCACCCATGACAATTCACCCTGACGGACATCAAGAACCCTGTCAACCCTTCGCGCATACTCTCCGGCGATCTGTTCGTCAATAAGAAGATATCAGCGGCATGCCGATTGCATAGCCCAATTTGTGGTACTTCAGGCTTAATTGCTTAACCTACCCAGATGGCATAGGTTTGAGCTCTGCTGCACTCTCACTGGAAAGAACGTACATTATAACCTTCCCAGGCAGACTTTGCAACCTCGGAGACAGCCGGTTTAAGTCTCGTTAGCCGTAGAAAGTAGATATCTGAATACTGCTGCTGGTAATGCCTTGCTCCTCCAGCAGGAAGCCGGAATGTGCCCATAGGATTGTATAGCGAGGGTTCACGGAATATGGTATTAGGAGGGTCATCTTCACTATAATTGACCACCAGAACAGTTAGAAAGAGATCTTATCAAACGTAAGTTCGCAGACTCACAGAGGGGGGCATAGGAAGGACTGCGCGGGGTCCTCCATGGTTGTTTATACAGAGACAATGCTGTCTGCAGTGTTAACCACAGTAATATTGTATATATGTCGATTGGTATGTCGTTTCGTTTAGTCCAGCATTCGTGTGCTTTGTGCGATTGGGAAATGCAATATCAAGAACGCTTGAATATTAAATTAGAATAATCGAAGCTTGACGCGAAGACGCGCATTTTTTTAGCCTCACGCGGCTATTTTTTATATCCAATTACATTCATCTCTAATTCCAACTTTTACTATTTTATCTGCTACTCGATAAGTATTTAGCTGTTTGTATATATATATTATTTCTAGAGACAATATTGTGACAATATTAGAGCGTTTATACTGGTTCAACCAGGGCTCTCATAAGACAGAACGCGGCAAAGGTATAAAGTAGTTACTTAATTATATAGAAAAAGGAAAAGCCAGCCTGATATTCATATATGTTTACTTAAGCTGATGTTTGATCTAGGTATGATTCTCTTCTATTGATGAAATGGCAACTCAAGCTACTCCAACAAGCTTCCAAGGCAAAAGCTGATGAAGCGTTTCGTGATGAACACGAACTTCTCTGCTCTTTGTTTTATGCCTTTTATGCACCTGGTGAAGCCTCGGTTGGTGATCGCTGGATCTCACATGGGGTTTTTGGCCGCGGCATCTCATAAGGGGGCTATATTTTTACAGCTTCGATTAACTTACTGTCCTCCATCTCCTCTAACCCCAACCAACATTGGCATTTATAGTATATATACTTGAGCTTAGTTCACTTAGTTCAGTCCAACCTTGCGTCTTTTTAGCATCAAAGAATCCCTAACGACGGCAAATACTAAATACCGACACAACAGAGATACGGCTGTGCATCTTACAATGTCTTCTTCATCCCCTATTAGAACGCCCCTATGTGAGCTCTTGGGCATCCAGCATCCCATCCTCCTCGCAGGAATGGCGCGCACATCTGGTGGACCACTAGCGGCCGCTGTCTCCAGTGCAGGCGGTCTCGGCACAATTGGTGGACTCGGCTATAGCCCAGCACAGCTGGACGAGATGCTAGTTGAACTGAAATCACACCTAAAGTCCCCAGATCTACCGTTTGGTGTTGATCTTGCGCTTCCAAAGGTCGGAGAGGGTGCTCGGGCGACCAACCATGACTATACCCACGGACAGCTTAACGAGCTGATCGAAGTAACGATAAAGCATGGTGCAAAGCTGTTTGTTTCTGCCGTTGGAATCCCGCCGGCCCACACTATTAAACGCCTGCATGAGGCGGGAATTCTTATCATGAACATGGTGGGAGCTCCCAAGCATGCGGAGAAGGCGCTGCGGGCTGGCGTGGATATTATCTGTGCCCAGGGTGGTGAGGGAGGCGGTCACACGGGCGATATCCCGTTTTCGATCCTTATACCGGCCGTTGTTGACGTGTGTCGCAAGTACCGTAGCCCAATGACGGGTAAACCGCCGCTCGTCGTTGCTGCTGGAGGTGTCAATGATGGACGCAGCCTGGCAGCCTCGCTCATGCTGGGTGCGGCCGGTGTTTGGGTTGGTACTCGGTTTGTGGCAGCAGAGGAGAGTGGTGCCAGCCAGCTGCACAAAGAGGCAGTTGTGAGCGCTGGGTTTGGAGATACTGTTAGAACCCTGGTGATATCCGGCAGGCCACTACGATGTCGTGAAAACGAATATATCAAAGAATGGGAGAGTAAGCCTGAGGAAATCCTACGGCTGACCAAGAGCGGTATTGTACCGCTTATGAAGGATATGGAGGAGGACAAGGAGGTTGATTTTCCTTTTCTGATGGGACAAGTTGCTGCCATTGTCAATGATATCAAACCCGCAAAAGATATTGTTGACTCCATGGTTGCCGAAGCTAGGCAGATGCTGGAGCTAGGATATTCTTATATGGATGACAAGCACAGTAGTAAACTGTGATACTTGATACTGTTAGTTAATAATGGCTTTAACCAGCTTTTGGTTATGCTGTTCTATAAGCCACCATACACACTCGACGGCAGCAACATGCGATGTAGTCTCAATTGACCTCCTATTTTCACGCAGAGGCACACCTCTAGGTGGGATATAAGCCTGAGACGCCAGGTTACTGCTTGGTGATTCCAGTAGCCATCGTAACCCGCAGGCATCATCGTCCAATGCTATGTAGATAGACCTACCATACAACAACAAGTCAAAGTAATATATCAACAGAAATAGAAAAAACCGTTACACAAAAAAAATTTTTCTAACTAATATGAAGAGTTCAAGACGTAGTAGATAATAAATAATAGGTTATCGTGTTATGGCATCCAAAGCAGAACGTCGACTCCTGAGCTGTGTCGAGATGTTCGTTGTCCTTTTACCTGCCTCACATGTACATTGCACAAGTTTCCTTTCTTGTATATCTTTTTCGTTTTTTTTTTCTTTTCATAATACTCTACAGGAGACGGCGAGGTCGACCGCTTAAAGGGCCGCTTAATGCATGTATCCGTTCATGACGGGGAGGTTCCCATTTGATCGAGCTTCGAGCATGGTGGGAGGAGGCGGCGGGCCAAAGACAGGCTTCGCTGGCTGGGTTCCGCTGGCTGGTGGGTGGTGATGGTGTTCAGTCTCTCCGTGAGAATGATATTCACCATCTTCACTTATATCTTCTTCGTCTTCGTCTTCGTACTCGTCCTCATATTCACTCTCGGTGCCTTCGTCGTCCACATCTAGCTCACCTTCTACCGCGTGGCCGCGGCCTTGTTGTTGCATTCGCCGACACAAGGCTTCAAGGCTGTTACTCTTCTTGCGCCATTTCTCGAGCTCTTCGTTGTTGCGGGTTCGTTCTTCAGCCATTTCGAGAATGTTTCTATTTGTCTGGTCATGCTTGCGAGTCAAGGTTAAGTTCTCCTTTTCAAGCCTCTTTGTCTTTTTTGACATATCTTCCATTTCCTTTCGAAATGTTAAAAATAGTTCATTGCTGTTGTTGAGCGTATCCTCAACCTATAATGGAAGGTTAATGTCTTTTAGCACGTTGGCTACCCATTGATAAGTTGATCCTGACATACCTGCTTGAATTTTTCGACATAAATATTGAGCTGGCTGCGTAGTTCCGCTTCCGTCTGCGAGAATGTCGATACCTGCGTGCTTAAGGCGCGGCATCTGGCTGCTTCGTTCTCCGCCCCACGACGTTGCTCTTCATACTTGGCGGTGAGGCTCTGGATCTCGGCATCTTTGCTACGAAGGACAGCCTTGTAATGTAATTCCCGAGATTCAAACTGTTCCCCGATGGTCTTTATCTTTGCTCGGAGGCTGTTGGACAGTCAACACCCATCCAGAGGCTTGATTCTATAAATTCAGTTGGAGATTGAACAACTCACGCTTCGTCAAGGTCGATATCGACATTCTCCACTCGGGAACTTCCTTTAGCTGCCATCACATCTTGGATATCGAAAAGTAAAGAGTCAAGGCGTTCGTTCACGATTCCACGGGCTCGCCTTTCCGTATCGTCAAGCCTCTTGTTCTCATCCTGTCTCATCGATCAGAAACCCGTCTCTATCCCGGTCACTTTTTATTTTCAGGGTAACGCACTTTGACTTTCTTATTCTCTTTCGTTAACTCTCTGCAAAGCTTCTCGAGCTTATCCTTCATAGTAACCGTCTTATTCAGCTCGGATTTCCCTTTGTCCTGGTCCTTCTGCAGTTGGTCCGCACGCTTCTTGCTCTTGTTGTGGTCACGATCCAGCTTTTTCATCTCCGCCAGAAGCTCGGTGTATTTCTTATGCACGGTCTCAAGCCGGGTCATCGGAGACTCGATAGTATTCAGCAGCTGGTTTAGGTCTCTAGTAGCCTTCTTGACCTCGCGCTCTGTATATTGTATGGGCAGAGGAGCCCCGTGGGGTTAGATTCCTCAGGCGCAAAAGAGACAAAAAGAAAACAATACAGTACACTAGAATTCTACAAATAATGAACGTACCTATCTCAGCCTCTTGGTCCTTTTCGCCGGCCGCATCCTGTTCTAGCTGGGATATCTTTGCAGCCAGAAGCTTGGAGGTTTCGTTTGGGTCGGCATGCTTCTTGCCCTTCGCCTTCTTTGCTATAGCCGTAGGCGCCATGACAGTCGATCTCCAGATATCAGGTAGCGCTCGCCCGTCTTATAAGTCTTGCCGGTTATCGCGGTTGAAATGTGTCCAGTTTGACTCCCATACACCACAGTTGCTATAGACGCCTCCTCCCTCGCAGCCGCCTAGCCTCAAGAACAAGCAGTAATCTGACCGTATGCACTGATATAACGGAACTCCAGCCTATCTTGCATCCCAGTCGGTCGTCCGTTACTTCAAACTACCGTCCCGAGGAGTAATTTTTTCAAGGCCCGGAAGCCTCAAAAGAAGCGAAGATGACGATGTTTCTGGTGGTCGAAGCCGGCCAAATCCTAAGAGAGAACAGGCAGCTGGGTTTCCGTTGGCCTGTCTGTTCGAGCGTACAGCCTCTTGCGACGACGGGCTGGCAGCGAGACTTGGTTGTCTAATCGTGTTGCTTTTTCGAAGAGCGAAGAAGTTAAAGAATTAGTTATGTTTCTTATATAAAAAGGTCCAAAATTTGTCAGAGCAGAAAAAAAAAAATACCAAGAAAGATGAACCACCAATTGTCTTTAGCGCCAAAAACTACCATTTTTTCGCCTTGGAAAGTATTTGATCGTTATGGAATATCGAGGATGATGGAGAGATAGGTCGTCTTTTGCCTGATATTCATTCATTGACCGGATCCCTCGTTTTATCGGTGGCCGTTGGCAGCGAAGTTGCAGCTCATTGATCAATCATTTCGACAGCAAAAAAAGCTCACGAAGCAGCGAAGATACCTGATTATGATATCGATTTAAAGGGTTCGACGATGGTATTAGCTAGACGTTAAAGGGAAAAGAAGAAATAACGGAAAAGATATACCGAACAGACACCTGGGTGGACGGGACAAGCGCGAGAACATGCTACGCTCAGGAAGCAGATTGAGCAAGCTGGGAATCTTCAGAGCTCCCTTGGCCTTGTCGAGACATGCACCGCTGCAAGGGAACAGCCTGAGAGTCAAGGAGAGATGGGCGTCTACCGTCACGGCACTTGAGAGCTATCCGTCGGCTGGCGAGAAGCTCCATGGCTTCATCGTTCAGGAGAAAAAACATATTCCGGAGCTCCATTTGAGTGCTATTCACCTAAAGCACGAGAAGACGGACGCAGACTACCTTCATGTTGCGAGAGATGATAAGAATAATGTCTTTGGAATCTCCTTTAAGACGAATCCTCCAGATGCCACCGGTGTGCCACATATCCTCGAACACACCACGCTTTGCGGCAGTGAAAAGTCAGTATATTATCATTGTATAGAGCTATGAATTCTTTCTCTAGCTAATTGTCTTCCTGAATATAGATATCCTGTTCGAGATCCTTTTTTCAAGATGTTACCCCGTTCGCTCTCGAATTTTATGAATGCCTTCACCTCCTCTGACCATACCACCTATCCCTTCGCCACAACCAATAAGAAAGACTTTCAGAATTTGCTATCTGTCTACCTAGATGCAACATTGCACCCGCTCCTCAAAGAAGAGGATTTTCGCCAGGAGGGCTGGCGGCTAGGCCCAGAAAACGCTCGTCCTGAACAAACTCCGGAAGGTGCTTCGGATGAACAAGCAAAGGATGATATTGTCTTCAAAGGCGTGGTCTATAACGAGATGAAAGGGCAGATGTCGGATGCAAACTATCTCTACTACATCAGATTTAGAGAACAAATTATTCCAACCCTAAACAATTCTGGTGGAGACCCCAAGTTCATCCCGGACCTTACGCATAAACAGCTAGTCGATTACTCAAAATCAAACTACCATCCGAGCAATGCAAGGATTTTTACCTATGGGGATATGCCTCTAGCTGGCCATTTGGCTCAGGTCGGCGAAGTTCTTGACGGGTTCGAGAAGAAGTCAAGGCCGCTTGATGTCAAGCTCCCTGTCGACCTTAGTTCTGGACCAACTAATATAACGGTGACAGGACCAATTGATACCTTTGCCAGCGAGGATAAACAAACAAAGACCTCGGTCTCCTGGCTTGCGGGGGATTCTAGCGATAATGTCGAGCTTTTCTCGATGGGGATATTGTCATCTCTGCTTCTTGATGGCTACGGCTCTCCGCTGTACCGCGCCTTGATTGAGAGTGGGATCGGCTCGTCTTTTACCCCCAATACCGGCTTAGACACATCTGGCAAGGTGCCAATATTTTCGGTCGGAGTGAACGGAATCTCGGAAGCAAACGTCACTGATGTCCAGAAGAGCATACAAAAAGTGTATGAAGAACAGTTAGCCAAAGGTTTTAACGACGAAAAGGTCCAAGGAATGCTACACCAGTTGGAGCTTGCACTCAGGCATAAGACCGCTAATTTTGGAATGGGAATAATGGAAAAGGTCATCGCCTCCTGGTTCAATGGATCGGACCCCATGAAGGACCTGGCCTGGAACGAGATGATCAATGGGTTCAAGAAGCGCTACGAAAAGGGAGGGTATCTGGAAGGGCTGATGCAGAAATATTTTATGAACGACAAGTACATGGCGTTCACAATGAATGGAGATCCCACGTACAACAATTCGCTGGTGGAATATGAGACCACTCGCAAGGAGACAATGATGAATGAACTCAGCCAAAAATATGGCTCAATGGAGCTTGCTAAAGAGCAGCTCAAGAAAGAAGAGTTAGAGCTACTTAACGTCCAGGAGGCAGCGCAGCAAGCTGATCTTTCCTGTCTACCCACCCTTACAGTCAGCGATATTTCCCGACAAAAGGAGAAGAAGCCACTGAGTGAGTCGAAAATTGACAACGTTGACGTTGTCTGGCGACAAGCCCCGACGAATGGCCTTTCATATATTCAAGTATTGAACGCCCTCAACGACCTTCCTGATCATCTCAGGCTATTGATTCCTCTATTCAATGACTGCATCATGCGTCTCGGCACCACCAACAGACGCATGGAACAATGGGAGGACCTGATTAAGCTGAAGACCGGTGGAATAATCTCGTCCACCTTTTCTGCAGCCTCTCCTCTGGCTCTGGACAAATTCTCAGAAGGCATCCAGTTCTCTGGTTTCGCTCTTGACAAGAACATCCCCGATATGTTTGAAATCCTGACCACGCTCGTGAACGAGAGCGCATTTAGCGGGCCCGACGCGCCCAAGATGATTGAGGAGCTGCTCAAGTCCAGCTGCAATGGTGCGTTGGACTCTGTGGCGGCGACGGGACACCGTTTTGCGGTGAACATGGCTTCCTCCACGCTGTCTCGAAAGTTCTGGGCTGAAGAACAGACCTCCGGCCTTTCTCAAATCCAGAAAATGGCCCAATTACTTCAAGACGCCCAGAAATCCCCCGAGAAGCTTCAGGAGCTGATTGGTCATCTTCAGACAATCCAGTCGTTTGCTCTTGGGAGATCGTCGAACCTCCGGATTCGCGTTGTTTGCGAGCCTGAGATGCGAGGAGAAAATGAAGCGATACTCCAGCGATGGTTGAACGGTCTCCATTCGAACAGCAGCCCAATGCCTGCACCGGGCGCTGCGTTCCCTAAGCCATCATCGGACAAAGTGCTCTATGACCTCCCCTTCCAGGTGTCATATTCAGGCTTGGCCATGGAGACCACCCCGTACGTGAGCACTTCGAGTGCACCGCTCAGTGTCCTTGCCCAGCTTCTGACGCATAACTACCTTCACCCTGAAATACGAGAAAAGGGGGGTGCGTACGGTGCGGGTGCCAGCAACGGTCCAGTCAGAGGTATATTCACCTTCTCGAGCTACCGCGATCCGAACCCAATGAACACACTCAAAGTGTTCAACAACAGCGGCGTGTATGCCAGAGACCGGGCCTGGGCGCAGCGAGAACTGGACGAGGCCAAGCTGAGCATCTTCCAGTCGCTCGATGCCCCCGTCAGCGTTGAGGAGGAAGGCCACCGCTACTTTATGAGCGGAGTCACGCATGAGATGGACCAGATGTGGCGTGAACAGGTGCTTGATGTGACTGCGGCAGACGTGAGCGAGGCAGCGCAGAGGTATCTTGTCGAAGCATCTCAGCGGTCTTTCTGTCTGCTGGGCCAGAAGAAGGGAGACTGGCCTGAGCTTGAAGGTTGGGAAGTGAAGAAGATATCTATGAGCCCCGGAGAGCCCTCCGCTGCGGCATGAAGCCATCCTTTTTGCACTTGGTTTGTATCTCCGCTATGACAGATTTTAATTTCCCTTGTATGATACGGTATTTGGAGGCTATATATATGTATGATATACTACTGATGGAGGATAAAAATACACCGGCGTCTGGTGATACTAACATATGTTCTTTACTTTCTTCTTATTTGCACACAGGCAGATGCGCTACAGAACAGAACCTGGCGTCTTCCATCCTTTCGTCTCCATGGATGGCAGATCACAAGTCACTCTGGATTTTATCCGGGGAACCAGCGCAAGATCGATGAGAGAGGCCTGCACGGCTTTGTCCGATGCTTCACTTTCGCCATCCTTTTTCTCTTCTATAACGAGTTCCGATGCCCTCTGTTCTCGTCTGCTGTCCTCCCAACACGTCATGCTCTACGGAGTGCTGCACTGTGATGGATGAGCAGTAAGATTTGACAAGGGGATAAGGGACTTGGTGTGAGAAGAAACTTGGTTAAGATGGAAGATATGTTGCTTTGAGGACAAGGGCTCAGGTCTTTTGCTACCTCCATTTTTTCAGACCTGCCCAGCACCCTCGAGGCCTACGGGGGGCGGACTAAAAATGCGAGGACAGACGAGACAGTAGTTATCATAATGGCATGGCAAGTAATAAGTTAGCGACCTGGTTTAAGAGCGACCCCGCGTAGACGGACGTAGCCCAGCCAGCTGCTCCCGTCCTCACGGTAGATGATGGACTTCAACAGCTCACAGGTCGAGCTGACGGCGTCTTCACGGGCAGTAAGCGGGAGAGCCTCCAGCATAGACGCACCCATCAGCCTGACCCAGCCCTCGATACCGCCGTGAGCGTCGACGGTGAGCCTGGTAGGCCTGTACTCGACCTCGAGCAGGTCGACAACAAAACCAAGGCCCTCGAGCGTGCTTCTCATCCAGTCATCCGAGGGGAAGAACCAGGGGCTGGCGTCTCTGGCCGCGTCTGGAGACAGACCATGGCGCACTAGGGCGGCAAGCAAGGCCGTATGCACCTCCGCGACGTTGCCGTGGCCGCCCATCTCGAAGACGAACGCGCCACCGGGCCTGAGAGAGTCGTAGACGGCCTTGAGCACAGAGACTCTGGTGCTGCCGTCCCTCAGGATCCAGTGCAGCGCCGCATTCGATACCCTTGGTCACTGTTAGAAGTAGATAAAACGGTAGAAGCATAGTAGAACAACTAGACATACACCTTATCCCAGGAGCCGTCGACGATGTCGGTCTGCCCGAGGTATCTGCAGTCCACCACGCGAAAGTCTGCGTGCGAGCTGCGGTGATGCAGCCTGCGAGCCGACTCGACCATGGCCGCGGAAGAGTCGACGCCCAGCACTGCAGCGACGGCAGAGACGAATTTGCTGGTGAACTGGCCGTCTCCACAGCCAACGTCGAGCACCTTGTCCCCTGGCTGCGGGTTGAGATGCCGGAGGACTCTGTCGGTCAGCCTGGGTACGAACGACGCTGCCGCCGAGTATGCCTGTACATAACAGTACGCTGTTAGTACATATATTGTATACATGACCAGTTCGATAAGGAGTTCACCTCAGCCGACCAGTGGTCACTCTCTGCCATCTCTCTCTTGGTGTACGGGGGTGCTTGTACCCGGTATGCCTGTATCTCCCTGTATAACTACCTGGTTACTTGGGTAGGTCCGTCGGCATCTAGATATCAGTTACACACCAACTTGTAACCAACGACGCCACCGCCGCCCCGTCCAGCATCCACGCCTTATGCAGCCACCGCGCCGGCCAAGCCAGGGTTGGTGATGTCGATGTCGTCGACAGACGGAAGACGTTGAAGGCGAGGAATGTTTATATCGAAGACGTTGACGCTGAGGGTGAAGCCTCGAGATGTTCGGCTTTCTTCCACCATGAAACAAGCACAGCCAGCCAACTCAACGTCCAACTAACATAACATAGATGTAACTAGGGATAAAAGATATAACACATAACATATCAAGACTCCATCGATGTGCGTCTTCGTGCCCGAACAAGCCGATCGGATCAACAGGAGAAGGAAAAAAAGCCCAGAACGAAAAAAAAAGACGGAAAAAACCAGACGAAAAGCGGGAAGAGTAGAGGCCACAGGGGGTGGAAGCTCGCTACCGTTAAATACTTCTTCTTCTGCTTGTTCTTCTTCCGGTTCTCCCGTTCTCCATCTACATTATACAAGAGCATCGCCTCGATGAGCCCCCATGGAGCACGACGGAAGAGACGGAGGACGCAGCTACTATGAGAGCGAAGAGAGCGACGGCCAGTACCAGCAGCATCGCCAGCATCGCCAGCAACGAAGACAGAGACGAGGAAGCGAGGGCATGACGGTGCCCTTCCCGGCACTGGTCGACTCCTCTCTCTCTACCCCCAGCCCTGGGCTGCGTGATAACAACGGACACGGCGAGGATGGGACGGGCTCGCTGCCGCCAGAGCTGCGCAGTGCGACTGAGCTGGGCGTCCTGACGCCGGCAGACACGACCAGGTCCAACTCGCCGCTGTCTGTCGCCTCAGGAGAGCTAGGCATCGTCGCCTCACGCCGTCTCACCACCGAGAGCGTCCGCACGACCGCCAGCATGCAGCCGACTGGGCCCTTTCGCGGCCTCAAGCGCTTCTGGTGGCATCACGTCTCCGTTCGTGTCCCCAGAAAGCAGAACCGTGATCACTTTGGTATTTCTCCACCTTGTCCCTCTGTATATACTCTTTAGTTTGAATACATCCTCCCTTAGTTTTCATGTATGAAACTGGACTAACGAAGCAGCCCTCGAGCGAACGTACCTGGCGTATATGAGAACTTCTCTCACCTTTGCCATCCTGGGCGTCCTCATCGCCCAGCTCTTCAGTCTCAATCACGCCGTCGTCCACAACCCGCAGTTTGGCTTCCACCGGGTCGGCAAGCCCCTGGCCTGTGTCTGCCACGCCCTCGCCATCCTCGTCGCCTTGGCCGGGGCCTATCGTTTCTGGCGCCAACAGGACGCCCTCGCCAGGGGCAAGGTCTACGCCGGCGGACGGGAGCTCAACTTCATCGCTCTCATCTCTGCAGGGGTATGTCTCTCCATCCTACGTTATATATATATATATTAAATATTAACTGTTGATAGATCATCATGGTGATATTCATCCTGGTCATCATGATTAGTGCAAAACGGGACAGCGAGACGATAGGAGTTGTCGTCTCTTGATCTGGCTGGTGGTTTATGGTCTTTCTGATGTATATCTTCTTACTTATTGTTAATAGATAATCGAACCACAATCCTGCTAGCATCTACAACATCTACGCACATCCAGTTGTAATCAGCCTTACATTATTCTCCGATGCATGTAACGAGTAGCATACTACATATCATATACGCCGTGGTCGTACTGTATCCCCGACTGCGATAGCCGAAACTCGAAACACGCCGGCCTGTCCCAGGATCTCTTATCCTTCTCGCTTCCCCGTCCATCTCGTCTCATCTATTTTCTTGTCGTCTTCTTGTCTTTTTCTTCTTGTCTCGAAACCAGGATGAACGGGATGACTAAGCATTCTTGCAGTAGTTTTTGCGCCACCAAAACTTCTTTTTCTTCTTTTTCGAGTAGAAAGAAAAACGACGACGATGAAAGACGAACGAGACGAAGGAAGATGAGATGAAAGATTGAGATCTTATTCTTTCTCACGGATTCTCAAAGGATGCAGGTATCACTATTCGACCGTCTTTAGATTATTCATTCAGCTGCCCTGGTGGCGCCACCTTTTGATATCTTTCTCCGTATCCTGCTTCTTCGTCTTCCAACTTATTAACAGTTACAGGAGTCCAAGAGATTACAGAGAAATGGGGTTGACAAAGTCTCAGAGGATTATTATCCTCCTTATTATTGATACCGTATTCTTCGTTATCGAACTTAGTGTTGGTAAGCTGCTCTTTTGATGCCGTTCTCTTGTGTACCTCCTACTGACCAGCTATCTAGGCTATGCCGTCCATTCGTTAGCTCTCGTTGCAGATGCTTTTCATATGGTACGTCTGCAGTAAATAGAGACACGCGCGCGGGAGAGAGAGAGGCAGAGAGAAAAAGACAGTGTTTGCTGACACTGTCCCAGTTGAACGATGTTCTCTCGCTCTGTGTTGGTTTATGGGCCGTAAGGGTCGCCAATGAAAAGTCATCCAAGACGTATACTTACGGAGTGAGTTCAACGTCCTCGTTTTTTTTTTATTTTCTTTTCTACTCTACTATCCCTGTATTTCATGTCTAACTGTGTTGAAATGATCAGTGGCAACGAGCAGAGACACTGGGTGCGTTGATCAACGGCGTCTTCCTCGTCGCCCTCTGCCTCTCCATCTTCCTGGAAGCCATCAACCGCTTCGTTGAGCCCCAGGAGGTCCAGCACCCCAAACTCATCTGCATTGTCGGTGGCCTCGGCCTCTTCTCAAACATCCTTGGTCTGCTCCTCTTCCACGACCATTCCCACGGCCACGGCGGCCATGGCCACGCACACGAAGAACCCATCCAGTCTGCCGAGCAAGGTTACACGAACGTTATCGCAGACCAGGGTGGCAGTGTTGCCAGCGTGATGCCCGAAACCGTAGTCGGCTCTTACTCTGCCATTGCCGTTCCCAGCTCGCCTTCGAAGCCTTCTCACTCCAGACGCCATGCCTCCATCAGCCGCCTGAGCCGGGATAGCAGGCGTTACAGCGGATTCAGAGATGTCGAGGACATCAACGGTCACCCTGCCAGTTTGCGCCAGGATATCATCCAAGCTAGCCGTTTTGAGGATGATTCCTCTCCGGACATGGATTCCGATAGGGAAGATGTCCGACAGTCGGAGGAGTCTAGACTCCTTCCCAACGCTGATGGAACCACGCCCTACGCTGCCACATCTACGCCCAAGCCCCGCAAGACCAACGACATCCACAACGAGCATAACCATGCCAAACCAAAAGATGACGACGCGGCACATGGGCACGGCCATGGCCACTCCCATGGCCACTCTCACGACCTGAACATGCGAGGCGTCTTCCTTCACGTCATGGGTGATGCCCTCGGCAACATCGGCGTCATAGTGTCGGCCCTGATCATCTGGCTTACCAACTACTCATGGCGCTACTACGCTGACCCCGCAATCTCCCTCCTCATCACCATAATCATTCTCTTTTCCGCCATCCCGCTTTGCAAGGCTGCTTCCAGGATCCTGCTCCAGGCTGTCCCTGCCGGTCTTAGCATCGACCATATCATCGAGGACATCGAGCAGCTCCCAGGTATCATCAGCTGCCACCATTTCCATGTCTGGCAGCTCAGCGATACCAAGCTGGTTGCATCCCTTCACATCCAGGTGAGCTTTGATATCAAGGGAGAGGGCTCGGACCGATACATGTCTCTCGCCAGACACGTCAGGAAGTGCCTTCATGCCTACGGAATCCATTCATCCACCATCCAGCCGGAGTTCTACCCAGGAAGCGAAGAGGCTTCCTTACGGCCGGGCAGTTCCCAGCTCACCACCGTAGCCAGCGAGTCCTGCCTACTTGAATGCGGCGATGACTGTGCTCCTGGTCGCCAATGCTGTCCATCGGCATAGACGCCGTCGCATCTATACATTTATGCCATCTCATCTTTCGATACCTGTTTTCTTTTGCTTACCCCTCTTTCAAGTTGAACTACTCCTTTACTCTCTTAGCCTGCTTAGTACGTCTTTCACCCTGGTTTGGATCTATTCGCATTAATATCTGGCATGCTTGCTATGTCCCTCCTTTGAATATATCTTGAAGCTCGAATGGTTTTCGTGTGTCTATTCTTTCTTTGAAAAGTCTCCTTGTACATAGATGTTTTACTTTTGCAAGTATATCTCTTATCATTTAGCAATGAGACGCATTATTAATTATTGGACTTGCTCCCTCCATCTTCACCCTACACAGTAAGTACGTCAGGCAACCGATCAACACCAGGAGCACATCACTAAGTAACCATTGGCTAGACAGCCTGCATTGTTCCTTTATGCTATTGGATTAAACACTTTAAGTATAAATTAAGCTTAATCGGCTTCGTATTTAGATGCCATCCGTCCGACGGAAAATTCTTGAGGCAATGATCACCCAATGATGAAACATAGCCTAAAATACAGATAACCGGTTGACTATCTCATATGATATCCTCGAGTCGACAACTTCCGTTCATTTGATGGCCTCAGCCTTGGCTCTCTTTAGGTATCTGGATAAAAACAATTCGAGCATGTTCGTGTACCAAAGATAACTAATCTTATGATGGCAAGCATAGGAGTACCAGACGAAGATGCTTTCCATATGTTGAAAGGAAGTGTTGGCTCATTGGCAATTTTCATCACCCAGTATGCGAAGCCAGCGAAGTGGACGGCCGATAAAATAAGAAGGGTAACTTCATAGGGGCTTTTGCACTGGGTCAACGTTGTTGATATATCAGTGCTGTAATTAGGGTTGACCAACATGAGAGCACCAACTCCCAGGTAAGCACCAATGCCACATAGACCTCTCATCACACACATGGCAATCGAATTAGGGGAGAACCTGCCACATAAGGCCCAGATAGCCCCCCATACAAAGCTAGACATGAGAATATTCCTGTGACCGTACACAGTAGGTATCTTAATGAGTGAGTTGGGTTGTTCAATGTTCGGGCGGAGAAAGGGGAAAACGTGGTATCATCAAGATCCATTTTATCCTCTTCACAATCATGATATAGCAAGAGGGCTATAACAAGAAGGCAGTATCAATTACTACGAGTGGATCAAGCAACATCTCTAGTCACTGCTTTCCTACCATTCATTATCTAGGCAAGGCTCATTATATTACATTCAATTAACCAGCTCCTTGCGTGGTTCATGGAATGAGAATGCAACAAAAACATAGAAGCAAGAGTATAGGGGAAATTTTTTCTTCATAAAGGGTCGGGCTGGGCTTTCACTTTTATCTGTCCTGGCTTGCTGATTCTGTTGGCCCTGGAGTCCCAAAACCAACTGTGTCATCTTATGTATCAGGATCTATCCGTCGGGTGAGGGGAAGCTTTATGTGGACCAGGATACTCCATGTCTTCGCCACATTCAAGGTGAAAGTGGTTTACAGGCTAATTGCGGGCCCGAGGAAGACAGAAATCCTATAGCATCTGTAAATTTAGTCTGGGCACCCTAATTGACCCTTCTTTTGGCTAACTATAGTGACAAACCTTGCTGTTGCTATACTGTTATTAAGGAAGCAACAACAACGCTAGTGTTCCCTCCCTTGGAGAAGGCAAGAATTTTAATAATGAGGAATTTGGTAACTTTTCTTGCTTGACTCCCGTTGCTCAACAGCAGTTCGTACCCCCGAGCGTGGGTTTGGTATCATTAATTGTGCCCTATTTCTTACATACCTAGGTATGATATAATTATATACCCTTTTACAAGGGGGAGGTGGCGGCATGTGGTCAGCGGAAGACAAATTCAAATTCAGGCTTGAGGCCCAAAGGAATCTTGGCTGGTTGGTTTTTAAACGTTTGAGATGCAAGAGCATGGAGAGAAGCTGTTATCCCTGGCAAAGTGGATGACCAACGATTGCAAAATGTAGCATCCTGACTTGTAGGTGCTCAAGGTAATGCTGGAAGCAGCGGTGGCAATGAACCAGGTGTGAGCCAGCACCCTCTCGGGGCAGAAACTCGCAGTGTGACTGTAATACTTCTTTTGTTCTACAGGCCGCTTTTGAAGCTCTGGTAGAATATGGTAGATATTTTCTTCTTAGGGTATTGCTCTTAATATTTGATTGCACCAGGTCTTAATCCTGTAGGCAGAAGTTCAATGGCTTTGAACTTGGGTGGATATTTAGAGAGCCGTAAACATAATGTAATTCTCTGTAGATCCTCTGATCGTTTTAGTAAATATATAATTATATCCCAACATGTTTTAGGAGAGTATATGATACTCCGTACATTGTCATGGGTCAAGCAAGTTGATATTTGCATTCGACGATGTAGTTATTGTCACCAACCAATCACCGCACTTGATAGGCTCAGATATTAATAATAACCTATATTATTTAAGGTTTATAGTTAATCCGTTTCCTCCGTTGGCCGCGGGCGGAACTCCCGTTCGGGACTTCCCGAGGTCCCTGACCCTTTTTTGTCAGTATCTGTGATTTATTGTAAATACCACATATAAATACATATTAGTTAAATGTTCTTATTTTTTTACCTTTAGTTTTCGTTGAATTCTAAAATGTATAAAAGAGCAAAACTTGGATTTATAGAATACAGCTCTATCAACTTAAAACGTCCTCAAACCACTTGTGTGTCAGTGCCTCTCGGGCAGTGATTCTCTTCGTAGGGTCCAACTTCGTCATAGCGCAAATAAGATCTCTAAAATCCTCATCAACATCTTTCCAGAGAGAAAACGGTCTGCGGGGGCTATCCTTGTTGAAACCGTCTCGAATGACTTCAAAGACTTGCACCCAAGGGTTATTCCCGAGGTATTTCAAGAGTCCGTCTATTCCGTCATCATCAGCAAAGTATGAGATTTGGCGCTCGAGTATAATAGACAGCGGGTCTATCCCTTCATCCAATTCCTCTTCACCTACGGCCAATAAAACTCGTTTATGTACCGCATAAATGCACTGTTTTAGAGGGTAAGCTACCGACCGCATTAACTCCAGGAAATCTTAGGTATGGGGGCTTACAACAAGAGCAAACGAAAATATATCAGAAGGTTTATTCACTGGTCCTGATGCATGAGCTTCCAGGCTCCTCCACATCTGGTTTCCAGCTTGCTTCCCAACCATGGCGGACCCAGGGGGTATATAGGCTGCATCTTCAAGATCTCCCAGCTGAACTCGCCCAATTACAATGTCATTGCCTTGACCCTTCCAGTCGATAAATACATTGTCCGCTTTAATGTCTATTAACAATAAGCCTCCACTCTCCATTCCCGAAGAGTATTTACGCTACGTACCTGTATGCACAATATCCCGGTCATGGAGTTCCGCTAGCCCACAAAGAGCATCTTTTAGTATTTTTTTGGTTGTTTCGAGAGGTATATTGTCCTGAACAAGGCGTAGGAGGTGGCCTGTAAAATACTCAAAAACAAACATGGACTTCTCGGGAAGAATGTCTTGAGGGAGACGAACATGGTTAGTACCGAGTAACTTATTATTTAGTTCTCGAAGGTCCTCGAAGTTGACAGCGTGTATGTACTTCAGGATATATTTTTTGTCGCCAGCGCTGAAAGAAGTGAAAGTGATAAATTCAGCAAAGTAAACCAAATTTGAAGCATAGACAGCGCCGACTCACGCAGCAAGACAAACCCGACGGGGAGGAAAGGTTTCTACTTGAATTGTTCGTTCGATTCTATAATTTCGGCCGGCTTTGCCGATGTACTCTTCCCTTCCGGAGCTAGCTGGGTAGGCTGGCATGCTTAGGTGGCGAAAACGGATGCTTGACCATACCAGTCCGTATTTTAAGCACTCAGAGCTCCGAGTGTTCAAACATGCTTGATTCCTCAAAGGGCGGAGGACCAGCGAAGGAAGCCTTCCTATCTGCGGCATTGGGGTTGTAGCTTTTGATAAGGTTGCCTAGAGCATGGGTAGGCAGCTCACACCTTATGCCTGTCCAGAATTTATAAATAGCTAGTTAGGTCTTGCAAATAGCAATAAAAGAGTCTTAACGAGGTGCTGTCCGTCTCAATCAAATCTAGAACCAAAAACAACTCCGATAATCCATAAGTCTGCCAGAATCTTCTCTCCTGGCGTCTGTAAGATACTCCAGATCTTCCAGGGTGTAATTTCTTAGTTTCAGAAACTGACCAACAAAGAGTTGTGATATGACATTTAACGACGAAACAAAAAAGGAGACATCGAATAGGATCACGTGAGTATTTATCGCCCAAGGTTGGGATGATTTTATGATTTCAACTTCCATCAAATCAAATATTCAACTTCTACCATAATTAATTAGTTTATTTCCTCGAAGCTGTCGGTTGGAAGAGGTTAAAGCTAGGGGATGAACCATGTGATGATTTTCTTTTCTTTCTGTTTCTCTATTTTCCACACACCATTTGTCATATAGGTGTTTTGCATTTGTTTTTATACCGAGTCAAGCGAACCATGACATTTTTTAATACTGACCATGCCAGCCGCGGTCCTTTTGCTGAACCAACTACTCTTGAAAAGATAAGTGAACGGTTACCCGCAATCTTTAGATGGGGAGTTGATAGAGCCCGAGCTCGTGTCGCTTGTTTGGGATCGATATATTCTCGCACAAGGCGAAATGGCCGGCCTGGAGGAACTAAGACTGTTTTACAGCAACTGTTTACCGTCCGGACTGCTCTGCTCCTGCTATGGGGTTTTACGCTATGGTGGGGAGAGAGGACCGTGTTTAGAGAAAGTCTGAGAGCTTGTGATTGGAATAAATGGGAGAAATGGGTGAGTGGGTGCTTCCTCTGCTTATGCTCTTGTTTTTATTAACATATGTGGTTTATGATAATAGCCACCGAATGCCACCCCTCATCATGTTGCCTTTATAGCGGATCCGCAGCTCGTCGACGCACATACCTACCCTGGTCGACCATGGCCGTTGTCCTCGTTGACCGAATTTTATGTTGACTTGTACCTCTATCGAACCCACTCGCTACTTCAGAAATTTCTGCGGCCTGACAGCACATTCTTTCTTGGAGATCTGTTTGATGGAGGTAGAGAGTGGGGGACGGAGGAATATTCAAGCCCAGATCCTCGATTTAAGGACTACGGAAACGATTACTGGATGAAGGACTACAAGCGATTTTCAAAGATCTTCTTCAACACCTGGGAACTGGGTGGGAAGGGTTCATCATCAAGTCACGGTGGAAGGAGAATGGTGGCTGGTCTGCCGGGGAACCATGACATTGGGTTTGGAAATGGTGTGCAGATACCGGTTGTCAATAGGTTTCGTTCCGTTTTTGGAGAATCAAATCGGGTTGATATTATAGGGAATCACACTATTGTATCGATTGATTCTGTATCACTCAGTGCAATGGACCAGGAAAATCCAGAGACTGGCGGTTCGAATACTGGGAATCAGGGAACTAATGAGATATGGAAGGAGGCACAAGAATTTCTTGACAATATGAAAACGCTGAAGCAAGGGGCGTTGAAGCAGGAACTCTCTGCTCTGACTGGGAAGGAGTCTGCTATCCCGGATCCGGAAATGCAGCTTCCAACAATCCTTCTCACCCATGTTCCTCTGTATAGAGAGCCTCATACGCCTTGTGGGCCCCTCCGGGAGCATTGGCCCCCGTTATACACAGATCCTTTGCCGGAGAAAGATGAGAGGAATGCCATTCAGATCAGCAAGGGATATCAATACCAGAATGTCTTGACCGCTAGGATATCAAACGAGATTGTTACCAAAGCAGGGCCAGTTATGCAAGTTTATTCGGGCGACGACCATGACTACTGCGAAATAATTCATCGTGAATTTAGTGGAGCTCCAAAAGAGATCACAGTGAAGAGTATGTCCCTGGCAATGAGTGTAAGACTGCCAGCAGTCCAGCTGGCAACCCTATGGAACCCAATTGATCCAAAAACAGGAAATCCACTTGATTCAGCCGGTTCCTTGCCGACTTTGCAAAACCAGATGTGTCTGCTCCCCGACCAGATCGCAGTCTTCATCATCTATGGTTACACCTTCGCCCTGACAACTGTGATACTCGTTGTTCATGCTCTGTACCTTGCTTACCTCCAGAAAGCGGGGTCCTCTCTGGGGACAGACTCGATACTACCCTTAGCTCATCAGCGACCTATTGATGATTACTACCCTCACTCGACCGAGTTCCCCGCTGCGTCAACCTCGACTACGTCGTCCAATTCAATCAGAGGAGCCTATTCTGTAACCCGGAGCAGGGCGGCGAGTACAACTCTGCCGTACGAAGCTCGTGGCTTCAAACAGGTCCAGACTGTTGGGGGGCCCGGAGAAGGGGATACGGGAGTTCCAGGACCTGCTGCATCTGCAACAACATCTAGTGATAACACTCGATCTCGACGGCCTGGCTGGGGTTACCTTGATGATAATTACCATGATATGGCCGACACGTCTCTTGAGAGGGGTCTCCACAGCCAGGTTAATCGACGTCCAATCCAGGTATTTCGTGACGAGCTCATGTCGTCTACAAGGTGGGTTGGTGGGATATCTCTTGTGTGGTACATGTGGCTGCTCTGGACGTGGTGAATGCAGCAGGCACTTTTCAAATCTATTTTTCATCTTTCCTCCGCTCCGTCTGTCAATATAATCCTGGCGCAGCACCGACCTTTTCATTGGCGATACACATTCCATCAGCTGCGCTTGGCGTGGCAGCCAGTTTAAATTATTATTTGCAAACAATCGATCATCACATTCCTCGCCCCGCTGTGACCCACGCCATGGACCTGGCCCCTGTCACTAGAAATTCCCCGAGGCGCCTGAGAGCGTTGTCTTATTCTCAACGAGTGTACTTACTATGGAGGAGTGGCTTGCAGCCATGCATCAGGCTCTTTGACGTCTTGCTCTAGGCCATGACAATGAGCGGCACGTCAAGCATAGGAGTGATGTACTAAGATAATACAGCCTGCATAGTCTTGTTTGTCAAGGTCCACGGCAGCGGTTGGACAGATGTAAGACAGGCAGAGCTTATCCATTGTCAAGAATGGGTTTCAGTATCTGCTACGGAACACCCCAGTATATATATATGTCAAGAAACACCATGACGATATCCGAGGAAAAGTACGATTGAAGATACAACTTATATTACATCTACGTCTACTACACAACTCCGTATGGGACCTTTTTTTATTTTTGTATGGCACCCGCAGACTTTTCAACAACTCATAAACCTCAACACTGTCAAATCCAACACCAACTGCACGAACTCCTCTGACTTTGTGACTATGTCTCTCCTTTTTTTTTTGGCGCCCAAGCACGTTGAGTGCTATGGCGATCAAAGCTGCTGCATATATGAGATATGAAGTCAACCAGAGGCTAAGGAAAAAGAAAAGCCCGCTTTTGTTCCTTACGTGGTGCGCCATCATCTTACATATATGTACTTGGGAAGGCTATTTATTTTTTGTTTTTCTTTTCTTTTCGTTCGTGCCACCCAACATATGCTGGAAAAGAGATGCAATGGGATGGTTTCCCCCTTGGTCTCTACGCCAGGATTTCTTGTGCCCGGAGATGCACTGGACAATGACCCGGTACAACCAGCCAGCAGTAAGCAAATCTCGCTTATGCCCTGTCTGTCTGCTGGCCTGGTCCCAACCATCAAGCTTGTTGTGCCTTTGTGCATGGCAGATTGTGATAAGCACCACATCATATTCTCCCCGTACCTGGGGTATATCATCCTATAGGAGGCCATACATATAGTACTACGAGAAACTAGTGCTTTGCGCGTCAGCTAACAGTCATTTGGCTGAGCCTATCTATCGGGCGACACTAGGGGTTCTTCTGAGGAGTGAGCGCTATGAGGTCTTGACTATCTTTTCCTTTTAGCCGCCAGCATACGAAGTCCTGCATGAGGATTAAGGAAGATCCCCACTGTATTCCCTGCCATCTCGTACAGTATGCGAATATCGAATTCAGTGTCTTTCGAGGCGATTCCTACTCTTCTTACATACTCCGTATATATTCCATTATGCTCGCCTTGTTTCGCCCCGGCTTATACATAATACAAGAGGAAATTGCAATATATTTTGACTTCATCCCGACAGCTCCAGGCTTGCAGGCTTGCAGACTTGCAAAATGGTTTTTGTCTTTCGGCACTAAAGGGCCCCCCCACAGGAATCATCCAATTACCGGCCGTGAAACCTTCCCACATCTGCAGCGGCGCTAGAACAGGGGCAGCAACTAGATTAAATTTGCCCACCGATCTATCTTTTGGATTTGCAACACTTCCCTGTGGGGACATTTTTCGATGCAAGACTCTTGAGTCAGGGGTCGAGCAGACTGAAGAACGCTTGTTTACAAGGCCCAAAACCTCCCATGGCCCCTTACTATCCCCGGTTATATACCTCTGCACTCCGCTCTTGGTAGCCAAGCACGGAGTACTCTGTCTTTCAATTCGGATTCATGGAGCACGAAGCACTGGGTAGAGTACTTGAGTGGTATAGATGCACGCTGTACTCCACCCCCCGTTCGATGCAGGAGTTGCACAATTTTCCATTCGTTTCTCGGTACAAAGCAATTCCAGTCTGGTTGCCAATAACGTTTGAGGGGGAAAACAAAAGCTGGAAAAGTTCAATTCCGGAAAGCATAAGAGAGTTCATTCGCTTCCTGACAGCTTTTTACTCCACGCCCCTCGTCGCTAAACGAGATAGTCACAATAGGTACTCCATACATTTTGTTGTATGTATGTACGTACCTTTGCCGCCACGACGATCTTCGAATGCAGCGCATCCTGCCGAGAAGGGGGTATTTTTAGAGTCTTTCCAGCAAAGACTGGTTGCATTATTTCACACCTCTGAAGCCTAATAACAAATGTCTTAATTTTCTCAGCCCCAAAGAACAGATGCTTTTCATCCCGGCTTGTCACTGGGGTTAGACCTCCGAATCTACAGGCTAGTCGAGACCGTTATCCCTCGTCTTCCCAGTATTTGATTCTTTGCGTCTCTGTTTTACCCTTTATTTGACACGTCCGCTTCCCTCTTTTTATATAGCTGAATTGCCTTCTTTTCACTCGTTATATCGGCCGTTCTGTTCACCACAATCGTTACCATTCTTATATATTATTTATTCATTCCATTCGTTTCTCTTATCAATTTTATTTCATCAAGATCACTTACTCCTGAAGGACTATAACCCCGTCTAAATGGCGGGCTCCCTATGGAGAGGACTTACTGTCCTCTATTTCTTGCTGTGCACAACTCTACCAACGTTCGCTACCGTCTTGGTTAAGGGTGTCCAGGAAGGAGTTAACCAAAGCACTGGTCAAAGACCCGCTCGGCAAAATCTTGCATCATGGGAATTTTCCGGACCAGCTTTCGATCTTTATGTTCAAGCTCTCCGGGATTTCCAAAACACTGATCAGAAGGATATTCGCAGTCACTACTCTATAGCAAGTAGGTAGCCAGCGGGAGTCCAATTAGTCTCTTTTGACTGCTGACACATTATAATCAGGTGTTCATGGCTTGCCATATGGGCCATGGGACGGGGGTATGCAATCCTCTCGTCAACAGGGATACTGCTTGCATGATTCAACACTGTTCCCTCTCTGGCACAGGCCTTATTTGGCTCTTCACGAGGTTAGAAGACAACAATCAAATAACGTAAATAGAGATTAGTGGATGCTGACAAGTGGATAATTAGGAAATGATCTGGACTCACGCACAGAAAATCGCAGCCTCCTATCCCCAGAATGTACGTGCCCAATATGTTACCGCCGCAAAGACACTACGAATTCCATACTGGGACTGGGCGAGCAATCCGGAAGTCCCTCGCTCCATGACAACCTCCAAAATCAACATCAACACACCCTCGGGTATGCAGGAAATCGACAACCCATTGTATCAGTACAAATTCGACCCGTCTGTCCAAAAAGGTTTCCCAGCTGCTGATTCGGTAGGCTGCCCATTTCCCATTAACTAATGGAGATATTTATTGATGGTGTTTAACTTGTAGTTTACATCCTGGTCGCATTCTACTCGATACCCGGACGGTAATGGAGAATCCCAGAATGACCGAGCGACTAGAGCGATGAGATCCAACGGTGCATCGTAAGGACACCTTATTTGAACTTTTACCTGAGACAACTGCGTTAGTATGGAGTTAACCACTTATACCTTATTCTGTTTAGCCTTCGGTCCAGCATTTACCAGCTTCTTAGTGGCGAGTCTGATTATAGCACTTTCTCAACTCAAGCATTGCCAGACCGTGACGGTTACAATAACGTTGAGACCGTGCATGGATATGTTCACAGCTTGGTTGGTGGTCAGGGACACATGACTTATGTCCCATGGTCTGCTTACGATCCAATTTTCTGGCTTCATCATGCGTGAGTGTTACCATTAGTATATGGCCTTGAAATGAGCTTTGAATCTTACTTAATACAGGAACGTTGATCGCCTCATCGCTCTTTGGCAAGCCATCTATCCCGATTCATATGTTCAGCCAATTCCAAACCGCGGTGGATCGTATATCACTCAACCAGGAACTATCGAAGATGGAAACTCGCGTAAGTTTATTGGCCATTATAATTAAGATCAAGGGGCGCATAACGCTAATTTTGTTATGCATAGCTTTGTACCCATTCCACGCCAATGAAAACACGTACTATACCGCAAACACAGCACGGTACACTAGAACCTTTGGGTACACTTATCCCGAGGTTGAAGACTGGGGCGTCAGCAAGGCCGATCTAGAAAAGAATGTTCGACGACACGTTAATGAACTGTACAACAATCCTACAAGCCAGCCCAAGAAGCGGACAACGGTTCACCGTCGCGCTCTCAGATCCGATGGATACACCCACGCAAACAACAAAAGCCAATCGAACGGTATCTCAGGTACCCGCCTTGAGACCCTACTAGACAATACCTTCGATATTGTTGAGGCTATCGGTGACTCTATTAGTCAAAGCTTGGAAATGTTCGATGAATGGGGTGTCAACAACATGAAAAAGCAGTGGGTTGTTAAAATTAAGGTCAACAAGTAAGTTGAGGTAGCTTGGAAAACTGGGGAAGATGTACATTTGAGTGCTAATGCTATAAACTATTAGGGCTGCCGTGGGTAAACCTTTTAGCATTCACTTCTTTATGGGAGATGCGCCAAAGGACGCGAGCACTTGGTGTTATGCATCCAACTTGATCGGATCTTATGGTGCATTCGTTCAAGGAATGGGCATGTCCGAACCCAGCATGGTTAGTGGAGAAATTCCACTTTCGTCCGCCCTAGCTGCACTATTGTCCACCAGCACTATTTTGGGCTTGGATGATGATATTGTTGTCCCTGTACTCAGCAAGTTCCTCACATGGAAAATTCAAGATCAAGAGGGCAATGTCATTCCAACTGAGGACATTGTCGATTCCAATGGGGGTAAAGGATTGGAGATTCGTGCTGCCAGGCGTGATGTCAAGCCCTTGAGTAAGGGTGACCTAGACAACTTCCCCGAATACGGAGAGTGGGTGATGTATGATGATATTACCCGGGGAAAGGTTGGCGGTTATTAACGCTAAGCCGTTAGCCAGGATAGCCCTTCTGAATAAATTCTAGCTCATTACCACCAGGCTTCCTCCCAGCTCTTCTTTTCTCTTACCCTTTCTCTTACCCTTTCTCTTACCCTTTCTCTTACCCTTTCCCTTCTTCTCCTCTTCCTGTTTTTAAACACCTGCATTTCTTCGGTCCTACGTTGTTCAATTGGTTTTACGCATTTGTCTCTTTGAGTATAATAGAAATTGCCCAAGCCCATTTTCGGCATCCAAAAAATAGTGGTTGACTTACCGGTTTCATTACGTCAAATATCCTAAAAATAGAAACATATTTAAGCCTCAAGGTTTAAGTGGCCAGTGTGTAACTTTTGAGCTTATCCGACAACTTTGATTGGACATCAACCTGCTGATTAAGCTATTTCTACTCGATAACCACTCCCTTTGGGACAGCCTCTCTCCACCAGTGAAATCCCCGTCAACAAGGGGCAAAGGACGCTATTATGTATCAAATATTAAGTAAGCCCACGCCATTCACTGGCACAATAGACATCCCAGTCGCTAGTGCAGAAAAAAAGTCCAATAGGAGAAGTTATGCTTATCAACCTGAATTACAACTGTTACATTTCCAAGCATGTCTTCGTCGCAGCACCCCGTAAAATGTCTCCAATAAACCGCTTTTGTGCCATAGCTCCGGTAATTAAATTAAACAACCCATCTTAAAACTTGCTGCAAAAGCTTGGGCCGTTAGGAGATATTTCCTCTTACGTCCTGGAAAATGCTGTTCAACCCTAATTCCGTTATTCCCATTAATAATGGGAATAGAGGAAGTTGTTTGCAAGGTGCCCGTGCGAGAAGTGTTGAAAGGAAGCTTAATTAAAATCTTGCTCCAGCTATTTATATTTGGAGGATCTCAAATTCAACACTTCTTCCTCCGGTATTCAGTCTGAGATGCAACTGGAGGTGCCGACGTGAAGCCTCATATCATACCTCGCCAAACAGGACTTGGTAAACATTTTGAGATCAATCCGTGCTTCCTGGGCCAAAAGCAGTTAGAATATATGAGAGTTTTATGAACTGGACAGACAAATCTCTGACTTTTCGCTCGATAATTGTTATATCTATCATTCTCCATCCTCCACGGCCGCAAGATACCCTCTGCAGAGTGCACTTATACCCCCTTTACTAACAAAAGCCCAAATAAAAGTGGAACACGAGGAAGAAAAGCACCTTGCAGGAGCCCAAGAAACAAGAAGCAGGCATTCGAGACTGACGATAATACCACTATATTCCCATTCCTACTATGGCCACAGCCGCCGGTATCAATCCACCACGCTCTACTCGTGCGAAAACCCATCAGGAACTACCAAACAGACATCACCCTCTTAATCGCCCATCACCCGTATCTATATCCCAATCAGAAACACGCTCTCCTTCCCTTTCCCGGTCACCGAATCCCTCCGCAAGTTCATCTCTGGCGAACCCTTTTCCACCAAGTGATGCCGTCATAAATTCTTGTGAGCCCTGCTACCGGAGGACGACTCGTTGCGCCATGAAACAAAATGCCAGCAAATGTCACTCGTGTGATTTCCGCTACCAGGAATGTACATCCAACATAAATAACCACGTAGGAAAACGGAAGCATGATGACTCCGGTCTAAGAGATGCCAGCTATGTAAAGAGGTAGCCGCCCATTTCATGTTCAAAATTCTTTGTATTCCCACGCCATTTGAGAGTGAATAAAAGCATCACTCTGATTTACAGCCAATTGCTAACATGGTATCTGTTGCTTTTGCAATCTAATAGACAAGCAAGGAATAGCCTGCCATCTCCCATGTCTGAAATTATGACGGACTCTCAACGCAGAGCTTCCATCAACACTAACTGTTCAAGAGAAGCACCGTCGGCAGGCTTCCATAATAGCATGGCTATGGAGATAGAGCCTCTATTCCTCGGCTTTCTCCCACGGGACTGGAACGACGAGATTCAGGTAGCAGCAGCTCGGATACAAAGTGCATCGGACCAGGGCTGCCTTACGAGAGCTGGTGATTCTTCTGTCTCGTTGGAAACGGTAGAAAACCTAGTTACTCCCTTTGGGCCGACTTTGGTGGACAAATACTTTAAACACGTTCACCCGACATATCCAATCATCCTAGAAGACAGTTTCCGAAGTGCTTACAGGGAGCGGAAGGGTCTGTCAGCTCTCCTTTTAGGGACGGTATATCTTGCGGCCTTGAAGTGGCTGGAACCTGAGTCCGGAATACAAACACTGCGCCCACCGGATGCTGCTGGCCTTGAGGCTTTGGTTTGTAAGTCTCTGAACGAGTCTCTTTCTCAACCTGATCTAGACACGCTTCAGGCTGGTCTGCTTCTCTCCCAAAAGTCATCCATCTTTACTCCTAGATTGATGGCCCAGCTGGTGACAGCAGGGTTCGACTTAGGCCTGCACCAGGACTGCTCTAGATGGCAGATGGCATACTGGGAGAAAGGCTTGAGGAAACGACTAGCATGGGCTTTATATATGCAAGATAAATGGTGTGCATTAGTGCATAGTCGGCCATCACACATATTCGTGTCCAATTGGACAGTAACGGACTTGACCTTAGATGATTTTGATAATGCCACACGTTCAGCTGTTCATGGTGCTTCTTTTGTCTCTTCTCCTTCCCCTTCATCGCCCTCTGACCTTGTGTTTGGCTACGTCTACTTCAGCCAATTCGTTGCTCTGACCAGAATTCTATCCGATATCATTGAATCCTTCTATACCCTCGAAGCTAACCGAAACTTCTCTACAACCCGCGAGCAGCTTACCCATACTATTCTATCAAAGGCGAAACCCATTCAAATCCAACTAAAGGACTGGTTTGCCCAATTACCCGCTGAGCTGAAAGTAGACTCTGATTGTGTGATGGAGGCTGGTGCCAATGGTGGAATATATCTAGCATACTTTGCAACTGAAATTGCTCTTCACAGGTGCATTATACGGTCTATATCGCCGGAAACAACTGACCAATATCTTGCACATATCTGTCGTTCTGCGGCGAAAACTCGTCTCATATCTGCTATGGACTTTGTAAACAGGCTGAGACCTGTTCACCTGCGAGCATTCTGGCCTGCTGCTGCAAAAACGAATTTTGCCCTCATTGGAGCATTTGGCGTCTTGCTGCGAACTACGGCACATACCCAGGAGGAGGAAGAATTCTACAAATCCCGGTTACGGGAATATCGATGGACGCTGGGTGTGAATCGAAAGCATGCAGAATTTTTGGACTTTGCAATAGGTAGCCTTGACGGAGTGGCCAGACTGCTACTTAATGAACCGCAGAAACCAGGGTTTCAAGAGTTCATGAACAGTTCATCCTTCTCTCCTTCGCCGGATGTGGACATGATGAACTGCAGACGTACCCGGCTCAGTGAGCAATCTGCGGGACCTCGTAACGACTCACGCCATGGAGACAGCTATTATGGCTCAGATGAGTACGAACATCGACCAGTATGCAATGGGATGTATTCACGGCTTGGTTTCTCGTCTACAAAATCTGGTTTGATATCTCCAGCAGCATCTGCATCCAGCGCCAGCACCAATCGTGATTACGGAGAAGGCAGAGGTCGATTGAAGGCTCGACAGACTTTGACGAACTAAGGTTCCCCATGCTGTATTTTCTTGGTGTTTTATTCTTTTTGGGTTATACGTGAATATGGCGGTATCTTCTTTAATGTATTTAATGTCTCACTCTTCTACATATGGAAATGTCTTTTCAAAGTATTGTCTACTCAGTATACAAGTAACCTTTATATATTTGATAGCTCTGTTGGGAAGAACACTCTTTGAGAAAGAGTTCAAAACATGCAGGTATGCAGTGACTTGTTAAGTTTATATCCCTGTTAGCCACAGCTGCTGGCAGTTCCAGGTTGCATCCTTGATTTTATTTATTTTTAAACAATCCGGACTTTTTCTCCGTAACGCCAGACTCTATGACAAGATTTATTACATGGCCCTCTTCCCATGTCTCAGTCAAGACTTGGAGATTTTACTTTCACCTGACTCGTTGCCAGAACAGTTGCACCACGCAAATATGCGGAGAGGGCCCGCCGTGATGAACTCAGCAGGTGATACAACCAGAAATCCTGCACGAATTTGATGGATAGAAGGGGAGGGAGGTGGGGAAGAGATATGCCACCAAGAAAAACAGAGGGTATTTCAAACAAGAAGAACACTGTATTTCGCATTAGTTCATGCCTCCATCTTGCAGCACGTTAGAATGATTGAACTTACGCATTAACACATCCGTCATTCTCACAGTTATTTGTGATCTGTGCCCATTTACCCCATACCACCTTTCCTCCCGTAGTGACAAGCCCTAGTTCTGACACGTTGACTTCGATAATGGTTCCCTTAGTCAAAACCCCTAGCTGCGTATACATGGGGCTCTGGGGGTTCTTCTTCACGCTAATAATAGGCAATTGGACGGTAACAGCTAGCTCTGGATGAGTGACATTGGCCTTCTTATAGCGAAGGCCCATGGGGCGTATGAATCGTTCATATTTGACCGGTCGACGGGTGAAGTCCGCTCCAACGAAGGTAGGCTTCGTAACCATTCGCTTCCATCCTTTCTTTTGGATTTTCTTGCCCGTTTTGACAACTTTGAACATCTCCTCCTCGCTGATACCCTTAACTTTGGGCAAGGGAACAGAAAATTTAGCTGCCTTTTCAGCACGCTTGTCTTTGATGGCGCTGGATAAAGCCTTCGCAGTTGTAGGTTGCGAACGGTCGAGAAGGTAGTTTGGCAGTGGTGTGGACGATGGCTCGCTTGGTTCGCCTGAAGACTTGACATTCCGTTCTTCTTGAGCTTTGATGCGTTTCCGCATCTGGATCTTTTCCGCATGGCGTTTCTTGTGGAAAAGTTTAGCCCGTAGGCCCTTGAGATTTTGGGAGTCCTGCGATTGCTTGTGCGATTCACGGGCAATACGTTTTCGGGTACGCTCCTCGTGGTCGAGGCTAAATGCGATGTTAGCAGAAACACACAAGAATCGGGGTTTCCCTTGAAACGGCCCAGTATCGACCCCAACGTCTGCCTATATGGAACAAGGAGAACCCTCAAAGTCATAGAAGATACAAAACGTACCGCCGCCCATGTTGTTTCTGCCATCTTTCGATATATCTGCCCGCATTCTTGTTAGTTACATGGACCGGGAAACAAGGGAATATTGGATAACGAACTCGTTTTGCGGCTATTACTCAATGTTAGCAGTCTATATATAACATAACGCGACCATCAATATCTTACCATCTTGAACTCCTGTTGCCGCCGTGTGTGTTTTGGCTTGCTTTTTATCCCAAATTCTCCAAATTGTATTTTTTTTCTTTTCATCGATCGATAAGGTGATCACGTGATGATACAACATCACATGACTTTTCATGAACTTTTTTCTCCTTCAAAAGAAATCAAAATTGAAGAACGAAGAGAAAAAGCAGAGCAAATCAATTGAACGTCCACATCTTCGTTTTTAAACAGCGTCGTGATGTTTTCAAGGGCTGTTCTGCGGAATGTCCGCGAATTGCGGGCAATCTCATCGATTCCGACCAGTTCATCGCTCCTTTCTACCAGCAATCGGTGCTTACACCAAGCTACAACAGGCGCTCAATTCAAAGCTACACAAACCGAAATACCCCCTCAGGATCAAATACAAACCCCTGAGCGATTTTCTCATCTTCCGCCCAGCTCTGTCCCCGAAGTGGTTTCTACCTCGATCCCGTCTGCGAAACCACCTGTACCGCCTACATTCAGCAGTCCTCTAGAACTCACACCCGCAATCACGACCCTTCTTCCAGACCTTGCTTCTCAACCTTCACATTATATAACTGCTCACCTGCACGCGAGGCCCTACCTACTCACAGCGGGTGATACCCTTCGGCTGCCTTTCCGCATGCCAAATGTCCAGGCAGGGGACGTCCTACGTTTAAATCGAGCATCGAATATAGGCTCGCGAGACTTTACGCTTAAAGGCGCACCTTATCTCGATGAAAGACTTTTCGAATGCAGAGTTCGCGTATTGGGAGTGGAAGCCGAGCCCATACGGATCAAGGAGAAGACTAAGAGGAGACAGAGACATGTACGACGGGTCAAGAGCAAACACAAATACACAATATTGAAGGTGGTGGATGTCAAAGTTAAGCAGCTCGATGAACTGCTTGCAGAAGGTGCTAAGATAGTGGAAAAATGAAACCACTTTGGACCTTTGAGTGATTTTCGTTCCCATTGGGAAATGGGGGATATCCCGGCCGAGATATACTATATAATGGGTGTTGGAACTTAGGGTGGGATGCCACTGATTGTATTTTATGCATAACTGTACAATATCCTACACGGAGAATATCGATTTTTCTTTTCTATTCGTTGCGTGGGATTGACATAAGATACGGAAATATTCACACTTGTATTTTAAACAATTGAACAAGTCGGGTGACTGGACACTCCAACGCAATTAAATGAAACTCTTGTAGAAATGTGAGAAATGTATGTATACAATGTCATGATTATAAACTAACGAGATAGAACGGTCCGTAGCGGCGTAGTGGTATACTTAATCCCCAATAATAAAACAAAAAAAACAAAGAGGATATAAAACTGGTAAGTCAGACAATGCTCCAACGCAGCAGTAAATCCCAAACCACCAACTACTCCTGATATCAAAATGTCATGTTGTTGACCCAAATAAACCCCAACACCAAGCACATTCCAAAGAACAATATAATACGAAGAGTGAGAATGTCATGGATTATAGCCTTGCTCAGCTGAGGCCTGTAATTTCTGGAAAAGCCCAGCAGACCATCCTATTACTTCTTCATCTCTTGGAATACCATGCAACCGGCAATGGTTGACTATCTTAGCCATTGCCATTCCGAGAGCTTCCTGAGTCACAGGCACTGCACCGTCAGGGTATGCGGGAGGATATATAAACGGATCTTTTCTATCCAAAAGCTGTGTCGTGGTTGGGCGGAGCGAGGGATCTCTCTGAAGGCACTTTTTAAGAGTCCGTATGAGGCTCTGTGGAATTAAAGCGCCGCCAACGCCGGTGGAAGGATATTCTATGGCCACTTTTGGATTGGCTATACATAAAACACGTTCCATTTGTTTGGCTAGGTGGCCGAAGGGAGCTCTGCCGTATGCCATTTGGTATAATATGCAGCTCAGACTCCATACATCACTTGGTTTCCCTATCTTCATTATTTTGCCTGCAGATGATGGGAGACCGATGGTGGCATTATAGTCGATGATAGCCTCGGGGGCCATATAATTCGGAGTGCCGACTTGATGCTCTCTGTGGACATTGACTGTATGATCCTCAATGGTATCAGCAATTCCAAAGTCGATTAATTTAAGTTTTCCCTTCACAAGAAGGAAGTTTGCTGGTTTCAAGTCTGCATGAACAATATCATATTCATGAACTGCCTGCACACATTCAAGCATTTCCTTCCAATAAAACCGCGCAAATGAGGGATCGAATACCGAATCCTCCGCATTTACCTTAAGCCGCATCACGGTGTGAAGGTCTGATTCACCCATCTCCATCAGTACACTAAGTGTTTCCTTTTCGTCATTTATTTCATAGTCAAGGAGTCGTACCACCCGCTCGACTTTTTCCAGTCTTTTAAGCAAATCGATCTCTCCTTTATACCCAGCAAGGTTTGTGGGGTCGACATGCTCTAGATTTACCCTCTTTAGGGCAAATATTTTGCAGTTTTCTGCCATGACTCGATACACTCTGGAACTCCCACCTCGACCTATACAGTCTAATCTGGTATAGGCCTTGTGGTTGACAGTAACTATTGCCTTTTTCCGTCGAGAACTGGAAGAAGATGATGCTCCAGCTGCAGCGGTAGCCGTTTCAAGCACAGTCATCTTCGGTGGAGGTGGAGGAGCTCTGTGAGGAGTGGGAACATTGGCATTCTTGTTTCCCAGTGGTTTCCTATCGGAGTCTTGAGGGGTAGATTTATGGGAATTCCGGACTTGATCATGTTTGAGGGAGTGTTTGTCGGCTCTATCGAGCATATCAAAGTGCTGAGCTTTGGATTTCTTGAAAGTTGGTGGTGGTTCATTTTCCTGGTCACGGTTTACAGAAAATCGCGATAATGGAGGAATATGATATGATTGAAAATCAGCTGAAGGAGCCGATTCCCTAGGAGTTGACCTGGACGTCGCTCCTACGCCTGGGGTAGGGTACACTGGGCTTGAGACACGCGGAGCTTTTGATTTGTTTTCTTTGCTATATGATTCATCATGGTGATGCGGTTGATGTGGAGGTGTGCGAACTCCGGCTGGAGATTGGCGTCGCTGGCTCGATCCGATGGGAGATTGCCTTCCCACGCCAGCAGTTTCAAATGCTGGTGGAGAAGGACTATGACGATGCCGTTCCTCTGCCCTTTCAGCATCTGAGTTGCCTGCGACATCCTCATGTTCATCGTAGTACTGTTGATCTTCGCTACGTCGGGGTAGCATTCCCCTCCGAGCAGGGCCATTTAGAAATTCGCCAGTCAGCTTGCCCACGCGCTTCACCCTGATAGAGCTTTGCATGCCCATAACCTCGTCACTTTTCCTTGGCCTAAACATGCTTCTTGCCCCTGCTCTTTCGCAAGCAGCGCTATCCTTTGATACGTGCATTCTATGTCTTAGTGGAGAGTGTGATTCATGGTGACTGTCATCCTTAGATTTGCCCTCGCGATCTGGCGAGAGTCTTGGGGGAGATGGTGTTTGATTCGCAGACTGAGGCCGCGATACACGGACCACACGCTGTCGAGGAGCGGGTGTGATTGCATCGCTTCCATCGTTTCGGCTGGTACTTGTCGAGCCTCCTCGACTATCACCCTTTCGCGACGATAACGAAGATTCACTACCACGAGGTGAATTTCCATCCCACTTCTTGCTTGACGATCCGTTCTGCGGTGCGGCAGCTCCAGCTCGTTTTTCCTGGGGTAGGGAGTCCGTGAGAATAGCTAGTACAGACTTGCTGAAGGCGATGGGTTCTGGGGCTTCATCGTCTGAACTATCGCCAAGAGGAATGGTATCTGCATGCGCCGTACGAGATCTTGTCTCCATCCTGGATTGTATCATGTTTGGAACCTCTGAATTGTAGTGCCATTGGGATGCAGTATCGTAACTTGGCTGAGATGCGACGCGTGAATTGGGAACGAATTTGCGGTGACCCGTTGGTAACGGAGTCGGAGAAACCATGGTGCTATGTATGGGATGCGCTGGTATGCATCGACCGGTATTATATATTCTATCGTAAACTTGGGAGTTTCGTTCTTCGCTAGCTTTCGATGTTGGTTGAAAGAGTTGAAGTTGTTCTTTTTTCCGGAAAGCTGGAAGTTGAAGTTGAGCAAACTCACGTGAACTGCGGTAAACGAAGCGTTTCCATAGCAACGAGTTATAGTAGCATTATATAGATACGTATGAAGACGAGCTATAGACGGGATTACGGGTCTGTCGCGGTTACAGCACGGAGAAGAGCAGAGCGCGATATAGGTTTATTGATCTTTATCGTGTTGTGTGGGTGCTTCTTGAAAAGATGGCCTTAGAAAAGGCAGAGCCCGGGGGTCTTGTCCTGGATATCTATCTCTTCCTAATATAATAGAACGGAAGATAACAAACGTGAATCGTGAATAAAAGAAGAAAAAAGCTCTGGTCGGTGTGAGCAAGAGAGAGACTGACCAAGCACCGCCTTCATGAGATCATCAAGACCCTAGGATGATTTGACAGCGGCCTTCTCTGCACTCATCCTGCGGATGGCTATGACTTTCTCCTTGAGAATTCGTTCTCGGAGTTCGGTCGAGTTAAGCCGTGATATTGAAGGCTGCGGCGGACGCTTAAAGAGACAGAACAGTCAGCCCACCTAATCGGGAATGACATATACAACCCAGGCTGGATCATTGTTGACAAACATGAGAATGAAGAGGAATGAGTACCAACATGTTCATCGACCCACCTCGTCAGTAGATGAAGGCCTATCCGGTGTGTCATTATCTTTAGTAGCTTTATCTTGAGCGGGTTGAGGGGAACTTCTGGCGGTTTCTCCATCTGAATCAGCCATCTTCTGTCTCTTTTGCGCGGGTGAGGGGACAGAGCTATTTTTGCGCGACCTGCGTCCAGCTGGGGCGTATCTTTCAATGGACTGGTGTCTTTTCCGGTCACCCCTGCTGTGGCTTCTGCTTCTGCTTTTGCTTCGACTGCGTGAGCTGCTGGTAGATGACCTGCTGCCGGAGCGGTGTCTCCGGCGGTATTTTCCGCGGCTTCGACTTCGGCTTCGGCTTAGGCGGCGGCGGTCGTGGCTTCTGCGATCTTTAGCAATATCAGCTCTTGGTTCATCCCGTCTAGACCCTTGTTGGTACGAGGGGGATCTCCTCCGCGTGCGTCGATTTTTCCAATCACCCTCGCTACTTGACCTCGAGGGGGATCTTGATGAAGAAGTACGTCGAGCTTTCGAGGTGCGGTTACGTGGCGGAGAGGTGGAGCTTTCGCTTCGCGATCTTCTACGCCTTCTTCTGGATGGCGAGCGGGTTGGGGACCTGGAGTCATTACGGATAGGGCTGCGGCCTCTTTTCCGGCCACGGTCACGCCTATACGGTGAGCGTGAGCTGCTGGGTGATCGTCTTCTTCGTCTTTCAGGAGATCTTCCGTCACGTCGACGCGGGGGTGTGATGGAGCGGGACGGAGAGCGAGAAATAGAAGTGGAAGGCTGTCTCGACGATCGACGCCCTCTGGCATCGTCCCGTCTATAGTTTCTACCACCACTAGGCACATATATGTCTGCTCCTCGGCGTGTGTGCGCATCGCGGTAATCCGGTGAGCTCCGTCTCCGTCTATGCGGCGATGGGGAGTCTCGCGCGTCATAACGGTCCATGCCTCGTGACGGACCACCACGACCCCTTCTTCCACGACCACGACTGTCTCTTTCGCGCTGTCGAATCCTCTCCAAGTCCCGTTCCCTAGCCTGTTCGGCTTCTTCGCGACGACGTGCTTCTTCGGCAGCAGCCTGGGATCGATGTCAGCAACGCTTATTGATACAGCAGCCACTCCTTAAAGAACAAACCTGTTCCTGCATCAATTCGAGCTTTTTGGCCTCGAGTAACTCCTTGGGCACGCCTTGGGGGCTATCCTGGGCGCTCAGACATAGGTTCCAAAGGTCTTTGCAGAACTTCGCTGTATCCTTTTCCAAAAACCCCGTAAGATTGATCTGTAGATGTTTTATGTTTGGCTAGCATTGCATTAGCCCTATGTGGCTCTCTCAGAGGTAGCATCAAACATTTAAGGTGACCACATACATAGCGTGAGCCTTCAAGTAAGTTGAAGCAGAGCTCGATGACGACGTCGTCTTCGTTTCCCAAGATGACAGATATCCTCTCAGCAATCCATCTAGAGAATTTACGTCAGTATCACCCTGAATAAAAACAGTATAGTAGTTGAGGCACTTACTTCTTCATTACTTCGATATTGACCTTGGTCATGTCCACCTTTTTTGCGAACTCCGGTGGAAACTTGGTCGACTTGAGCAGTTTGGCGTCCATGATCGCAGCTATCTAGAGGAGTACGCAGTGACATGTGCTATACAACTCCCACTACCACCGACGCTGGAGTGAACGGTGTCGAGTGTCGGTTCAACCTCGTCGTCTCTGCAAATATTATCTTTCTTCTCTCGCTGCTCGACGCGCCCGAAGTGAAAACGACGGAGAAACAAAAGCCCGAACCTTACGTCAGCAGGTTCACAACGTCGCTTCTTCTCTTTTACTTGCGCTTTATGAGAGCTAAACGCTTGCGAACTACCATGAGAGAGGAACCGTCAAGGATACAAGGGCTATGAGAAGCCGTGTTGGACATGCTAAACATAGCATTGGATGGGGGTATAAATGGATTTTACGGCGGTCATGTTGTTCTCAGCCTTATTCACTCTGGGTTGGTCGACTCTCGTTCACCAACCTCCTTCTCCGAGGCCGTCCAAGGCTGATATACATATCTTGACGAAGGCGTCCGAGGTCGGAACGGGAAGCCCGTAACATAGATTCTCCCTACGTCAAACGACTAAGATGCTGATACCCCTAGCCCTCTGTTTACTGTCTGAGCAGCAAAGCTGTGGAATATCTACTGTGTATGGACGGACTTGAGAGCAAAACGCTCGTATTTACTGCGGTTGTCCTCCGCAGAAATCCCTATACGTGCATATAGAATTGTCCTCTGCAGTGGCGTTCATGGTGACTACGGGGATTTGCGGCTTACCACTACCCCTGGGCATACGAGATGCAGCAGCAGAGTATATACTGAGAATATACATAGTATATATTCTTTTATTGAAAAAGGGGTAATAATAGATCATAGCTCATGTTTCGCCAAACCTGCCTTTTATATACATATACACACTCTGTATATATGCGATTTGTGGCGCCATATTTCCACACAGTCCCACAGTGGCAGTTTTTATGCATCTTGCCCACTATGCTCTTCCTGGTTGTGCCCTACCTCCTTGCTACACCATTTTTCTGTTCATCAGTCCGCGCCGATGGGCCAGTGTCTCTCGATCAGATGGAAGATATAGCAGCCAGCGTGATTGCGCCCCGGCATTCCTGTTTCGGTTACTGGGATGCTGCTACTCGGATTGCAGATGAGCTGAGCTGTCCTTCTGCTGTGATGAATGACTTCTTCTGCCGAGTGGACTTACAGGTTACGGCCACTTCCTACCTTCCGTCTTGCGTGAATAAGTTTTGTTCGAGTAATAGCATCGATGTCACTTGGGCTGTCGGTATCTATACGGACTATTGCACTAGTGCAGGATATATAAGCACCCTTCTCCACAGGAAACACCAGAAGCTACCGGTGAACAGGACTCCTACTCTAGCTCCTCAGACAACATGAAGGGGCCTTCGAAAGGCAAAGACAAACTACGAGGCGGAGAGATTGGGTATAGTAGTTGGTATACTGGGATTTATCGCAACGGCTGCTGGAGTATATTTCTCATACAGAATACTTAAAAATAAAAAACAACGGCCGCGTGCATATACACCACAGATGGTATCCTAGGTACGAACTGATGCTAATCATAAGCTATACATGAGAGTTATCGATGATCATATATGTGAAGTTTACGGCCGTATAGATTGGTATGGGTGTGTATATAGTTTTTTTGACCACCGTCGGTCGTGTTTATCTTGTCATAATAATATCTTTGCTGTGCCAACACCGGAAAGGCGTATATATGTAGTTTTGCAAAAGGGACAAATCCATAGTTTCTAAGGATATCGAAGTTGTTCCATGTAGGGTATTTAAATATCTCAACAGTAGAGGGCGCTTGTATATATCATGACCGGCCCAGCTTCGCCAGCACATCCTCCACGTCCATCCGTGCCTGATGAAGACCAGCGTCTACTCCGCCATTCCGATAGATGTGATGCTCCTTCATGCTTCTATGCAGGTCAACAAGTTCCGTTGCCCTCTGCACGTCCTGGTTCTGGGACTGTCCATGACTCTGCCCGGCTCTAGGGTCCGACTGAGATGAAGCTGGTTTGGTATCTAGCACAGCTTTATGTATGTTGACCAAAGAGAGCGCATCTGCGTGGTCCTAGACGTATCTTGTCAATGCGATGTTAACAAGGCGAGACTTGGGCCATGGACATTTACATACACAAGCTCGCAGCGACGCGAGATCAGAAAGTACGCCAGCTACCTGCATCTGAGCAGCCTTGATCTGTTTGTATCTTCTTGTCTGTTGATGCCTGTTCCTCCCATCGACACCATGGATCCTCCAGCTTTTATATCATCACGGAACAACCATCCCCCGCCATCCCTAGATCCTCCATTATTTCAACGACAGTTGCTTGTCTCTGCAGTCTAAGGAGAAGCAACATAACATCCATTTGATCGATAATGGCCTCTATCAGAGCTAACTGCGGAAAGGTCGTGTGCATAGGCCGGAACTATGCGTATGCTAATTCCCTTCATGCTATAGCAGCTAATACTGATGTCCTTCTCTGCAAGTGATCATATCGCCGAGTTGAACAACTCCAAGCCGAAACAGCCGTTTTTCTTCCTAAAACCTACTTCGTCGATCCTTATACCGGGAGCTGGGCCCGTCTTAAGACCCAAGGGAGTCAAGCTACATTATGAAGTCGAACTGGGCCTGATAATGGGCTCTAGGCTGCAAGATCATGACCCGAATGATATCAAAGGCGCCTTGGACTCGATTGCAGGTATAAATATACCATGTTAATAGAATGCCTTGGTCACGCTACCAGGCTCTTCGACATCGATATAGAGTATCTACAGGACGAAAGCTGATCGGTTTCTTTGACAGGTTATGTCGTTGCAATTGATATGACTGCTCGAAATGTCCAGGATTCAGCTAAACGCGCCGGCCTTCCCTGGTCAATTGCGAAAGGCTTTGATACATTCTCGCCCATCAGTTCGCTCATCCCTAAGTCCGCAATTCCGGACCCGCACAATGCTACTCTCCACCTTGAAGTTGATGGAGTGTCCAAGCAGCTGGATAACACCGGACTGATGATTTATCAGATCCCACGTCAGCTCGCAGATATCTCAAGAGTGATGACCCTAGACCCTGGTGATTTGGTTTTGACCGGTACGCCCAAGGGTGTAGGAGAGGTGACGAACGGCCAGGTTATGACCGCTGGTATCAGAGTCGATGGTAAAGAGATTGAAGAGGGACGGCTTGAAGTCATGGTCAGAGACCGCGAGGGAAGATACGAGTTTGTAGAGAACTAACTGGGCTTTGGTATATCATAGTACATATTTCCCCCTCCTTTTCCTATCTGCCATTTTGATCTGTTCATATATTATTGCCATTTAGATATATCTTCATGACAAGATAGAGTATCACATTAGATTTCCTTCTAGCCTTCATCTTCATTATCCTCTGTCGGCCAAACTAACGAAATCACTCGCCGTCTCTTCTTCCTTCTGCCTTCGGCCGGTTTTACCGTTGCTTTCTCTGCATCTTTATCCACTCCCACTTTCTGTACATCTAGCATTCTAGCCACGTCATGGAACTTGGTACATGTCCACTGGTCAAAGCTATCCGGCATCTCTTTCGCAACAAGCCTTCGCAAGTCGGGATCATTTAGCCCTTTCCACAACGCTTCCACCACCCGGCTCTCGGCGTGTCCTTGGGCAGTATATGTTGCTCCAAGTTCCAAAAACTTAGACAACGGAATTGATCCTTGCATTATAAGTTCGAGAGAAGCCCGCTGTTTGTCTTTGATTATGGCTCGTACTGAATGGTTGATATGTTCCCTTGTTTCGATATCGGTTGGGTGGGCGGTAGGGCGAATTGAAGCCTGTCCTGGACCATCACAATTCGTTGATAACGAACGTACACTCTCCTGCCAAACAATCGTGGGTTGCGTTCCAAGAGGGAAAGGGTTTGAAGCGGCCAAAGCAGGGTTAGCAGCCTGAAGGCTTGGATCCTCCAGGGAGGTGAGTGGTGGGACACTATCCTTTGGCCTCGAGGTATCAGGAGCCTGCTGTTTTGATTCTATTAACATAGTCAGCTGAATATCGATACAGTGCAAGTAAAATCAAAGCATTTACAGGTATGCAACCTACCAGCCGCAACTGTCTTAATAGCATCAATAATCTCGTCTCTGTATCTCCCAAGCTCCACCCGAACCAACTCACTAGTCATCTCAGTATTTCTCCCAAATTCAGCCAGCAACTTGTCATCCACACTATCAAGCCTCTCGCTTAACTTATCCTCCAAAGACTTTGCTCTCTTGTCAGCCTCCGCTGCTCCATCACGTCTTAATTGCTCAACCTCGCTCTTCAGATGGTTAAGCTGCCCTGTGAACGCGTCTAATTTTAACATTATGGACTCATTGGTTGTTGTGATGGAGGCCTTCAGTGAAGCCTCGAGCTCTAGCATTTGGGCTGAGAGCGCATTTTGTTCGCGATGGAGCTGATGGGCCCAGAGGAGGGAGGCCGGCGATGAGATGTTGGGTTTCTTTTGAGGTTCCTTGGGCTGTTGCAAAGAGCTGGTCTGTCTGCCTTGAGACGACATTATTCCTGCCATATGGGGGGTATTGGGTATATTATTGGCACTCCGCGATGAATATGTGATAGTTGAGAAGAGACTACCTACAACTGGTCATTGAGATGCAGAGTAGAATATGAAAGGGGAGTGAGTAAGATCCCATTTAACTCTATCTATGAACAGAACGCAGAACATGAGGAAAACACGAATTTTGGCAACGGGGAATCAACACAAGCAAAAGAAACCAAGACACCGTAGGATTAAAACCACATAACTCATCTCAAGTAATTCTCAGGCTCTCCTCTCTTTTTTTTTTTCTTTCCTTTTCTTTTTGGTCGTTAAGAAAACGTTTTTTGCATGGCCAGCAGCCTTATGTCTGGTGCCTTTTGCTCAAATCATGAATCCCCTATTTTGCCGACAGCGCCATAGTAATAATAAGAGATAGAAAGGAAAGACATCCTCGCAAGCATCCAGGGGCAAGAAAATGTCCGCAGACCACGCTATGCCTCCTAGTGAATTGATCAAGTGTGCAAATGCATTTCTTGATCAAAACAAGCAGGGAAGAACCGTGTGGGATGCAAGGAGGAACAGACGACATGAATATCAGATACATAAACAAAAAGGGGGAGCGGGGGGAGAATGAGGAAGTGATACGGGATAGAGGCAAGGGAAAAAAGAATAAGAAGAAACTGGCATTTTGAAAAGAAAAAAGGAGGAATAGCACACAAATGAGACATGGGCAACAGCCCTCGAGACAAAGGAGTTGGATCGGCATACATTAACAGACTTATTCCGCCACACCTCTCATGTCGAAAGCCTCCGAAAGGAATCATCAAGCCATGGAGAAAATATTTTGAAAAGCAATGAAACTTTTGTACTGAACAACATGACTGCCAGTAGTACCCGTCATTCAGATTCAAAAGGCCGTCAAGAACAGTGACATCATTCGTCAAGAGATACCGTAAGGGATGGGCATAATTACGACTCTAAAGATGAAAGAAAAGGGAGTTTCGAGGGTATGCCGAAAATGAAGAAGGTGATTAGATAAGGTCTATGGAGAGGGTTGTTAGTTTAAGGTATGCACAAGTCAAAGACGACTGGAAAGAAAAAGGGGAGAAGAGCTTACCAGCAACGTTCATGGGCATCTCCTCGATTTGAGTGCTGTAGAACTGTTCAATCTCTCTCATCATGCGGACATCGTCAGCGGTAACGAAGTTGATGGCAACACCCTTTCGGCCGAAACGACCACCACGACCAATACGGTGGATATAGTTCTCACGGTTGGCAGGAAGGTCATAGTTGATGACCAAGGAGACCTGCTGGACATCAATACCACGGGCAAGGAGGTCGGTGGCGATGAGGACACGAGAGGATCCAGAGCGGAACTCCTTCATGATGACATCACGTTGAGCCTGCTCCATGTCTCCGTGCATGGCAGAAACAGTGAAGTCACGAGCCTGGAGCTTGTCGGTAAGCCAGTCGACCTTCCGGCGGGTGTTGCAGAAGATGACGGCCTGGGTGATGGTAACGGTCTCGTACAGGTCAGAGAGGGTATCCAGCTTCCACTCTTCCTTCTCGACAGCAATGTAGAACTGCTTGATACCTTCAAGGGTAAGTTCGGCCTTCTTGACTAAAATACGGACGGGGTCACGCATGAACTTGGTGGTGACCTCCAAGACATCTGGTGGCATGGTAGCAGAGAGCAGGACAACCTGGGTGGACTGAGGCAGGAATTGGAAGATGTCGTAGATTTGTTCGGTGAAACCACGCTGATATAGAGGTTAGCCTTTATGGGGGGCACCGGGGGTTGAGATCAGGTAAGGGTAGTGATTACGCACAGAAAGCATCTCATCGGCCTCGTCGAGGACGAACATCTTGATGTGGTCAGTCTTGAGGACACGACGCTGGATCATATCGTGGACACGGCCGGGAGTTCCAACGACAACCTGGGGGCCGTCCTGCAGGGCCTTCATGTCCTCGCGGACGTTGGTTCCACCAATACAGGCATGGCAGTCGACGCTCATGAAGTCACCGATGGAGACGACGACCTTCTGGATCTGCTGGGCCAACTCACGGGTGGGAGCGAGAATGAGGGCCTGGCAAGCCTTGAGGTTGGTGTCGACCTTCTGCAGGGCAGAGATGGAGAAAGTGGCAGTCTTTCCAGTACCGGACTGGGCCTGAGCGATGACGTCGGAGCCTGAATGGCGCATTAGCCAATACTGCCTGACTTAAGTCTGTGAAATATTGCAGACATACCCTTGATGACTGGCATGATAGCACGCTGCTGGATAGCAGACGGGCGCTCGAAACCGTATGCATAGACACCTGTAACGATATACATCAGTTTCCCCCTCCCCCGCGCGGGACACCTGTTTATCACCACATACCTCGAAGCAACTCGGCGTTGAGGTTCATAGAATCGAAGGAATCTGTGACTTCGTCATAGTTGGATTCGATCTGGCCTGTAATCTCGAGTCAGCTCTTCGTCTTTCCCATGAGGATGAAATTTTCGCTCCCCGCTGAGCTTGTGGCGACGGTCTCCCCAAGGCCTTCTGTCGCATTCAGACAGGCCAGCAGGCGAGATGAACGCACGAAGAATGTCAACTCACCATCAGGAATCTCCTCAAGTCCCTTGTCAGCCATGATTGCGTTTCTGAGATAGAATGACCACGACCTGGATGTCTGTGGTCACTGCGAGCAAAAAAGAGGCGGGAGGGGTCGAAAAAAAAGACCCGGGGTTTGCTGGTGAGCTGGTGCGAAGCTGAAGTATTGAGTAAACTAGACCCTTGGTGCTTCTCTTTAAAAAGCACCGTCTGGATGTCTGAATATGTTCAACAGAATAATTTTCTGCGTTGTTGTTCGTTGTTGAGTTGTTGTGTGAAAAAGAGGAAGATTTTTTTCTGCTCTTTTTTTTTTTCTTGGGTTGAAATTTTTTTATTATTTTTTTTTTTTAAGCTTGCTAAAAAGTGGAATTTTTCTGTCGATTCAGCCAATGAAAAAGTGAGAAACGAAAAAGACGAAGACGAAGATGAAGATGAAGACGAAGTTGTTCGTCTTTCTGTGATAATATTTATATAGCTTGGGCTTGATTTTAGGATGAAGAGTAGGAGGTAAGTGTCAGAAGGAGAGGTAGGAGAATGTACAAGGCTAACGCTTTCTATAGATGAGAAACTACACGACGGGATGCGGTTTCAGTGACAAGGCGGAGTGGCTCGAAAAGTCCAAAGATGAAGAAGACGATGCCATTCCTGTTCATCCGCTGGGCGTGAAGCCCTCTGGAAACGGCCTAACTGCTTCAGGGGATATCCGGCCTGCCATGGGTGGCTTTGCCTTGTTGCCGGACGAGCTGATATTGATCCTCCTTGAGTCATTCGATGCGGCGACCCTGAGGCGTCTGGGATCAGCCTGCAAGGCGCTGTATGCCTTCACCAGGGCAGAAGAGCTCTGGAAGGCTCTTTTTATCAAGTGTGTTCTGTTCTGCCTTTTATCCCCCTTCTTCTTCATTGGCTAACATCTGTCCTAGGGAGCCACAGTCGAAGTTCTCATGGCAAGGCGACTGGCATTCGACATATTTGAATCTACCGCCGTCAGAGGTTGCCTCGCCCAACTGCTCGCAACTGTTCTCAGACACGCTTCATAGGCCCTTCCAGTGTGCTCATCTCAGCCTGTCTACTTACACGGCCATACCGGCACGGAACCAGATACCTCGCCTGGCCAACTTGAGCCAGGTCGAGTTCGATGAGTCATGGGCGGACCGGCCCTTTATACTCACTCAGCCGGTCAAGGAGTGGCCGGTCTTCCAATCCTGGTCTGTCCAATACATCTTGGATAAGTATGCAGACACCCTCTTCCGTGCGGAGGCGGTCGATTGGCCGTTCAGGACGTACGCTGACTACATGAACAACAACTCGGACGAGAGTCCGCTTTATCTCTTTGACAAGAACTTCGTCTCGAAGATGGGGTTACGTGGTGGTGACGATGCCGCGTTTTGGCCGCCTTCATGTTTTGGAGACGACTTGTTTGCCGTGCTGGGCTGCCAGCGCCCAGACAAGGAGTGGTTGATCATCGGGCCTGCCAGGAGCGGGAGCACCTTTCACAAAGACCCAAATGCTACGAGTGCGTGGAATGCGGTGCTGCGCGGCTCCAAGTACTGGATAATGTTTCCCGGGTCAGCGTCACTGCCCCCTCCTCCGGGAGTATACGTTTCTGCGGACCAATCCGAAGTCACCTCCCCTCTCAGCATTGCTGAATGGCTGCTCAACTTCCATGAAGAGGCTCGGAACATGACTGGCTGTCTGGAAGGAGTATGTGGCGAAGGAGAGGTACTACATGTTCCCTCAGGGTGGTGGCACCTTGTTGTCAACCTATCTGAGTCCGTAGCTATCACGCAGAACTTTGTGCCTCGCAAACACCTCCGCTCCACGCTGGATTTCATGAAAAATAAGCCTGACCAGGTATCTGGGTTCCGCAAGGATATCGTGGATCCCTATGGTCTCTTTGTGCAGAAGATGAAAGAAGCATATCCAGACATGCTTGAGCAGGCATTGCAGGAGATGGAGGCCAAGAAGAAGAGAAAATGGGATGAAGTTGTCAAGGTTTCGGACAGTCCTACTGATGACCCAAATGTAGGCGGATTTAGCTTTGGCTTTGGCGATGACAGTGATGCTGAAGTGCCATAGAAATTTTCTGCTGGCAAAAATGTCATACCATAAATGAGTAATTGCGTTATGCTCGTAGTCATATATACAACCAGGGACATTATCAATATGCCTCCTCCGTCTAAGGCAATACTCATGGTTTCCGCCTCCTAGGTACGAGAGCTAGTGACACGAAACGGACTTTGACGCAGGTGACTCTCCAAACATGAGATGCCCCATAAATGCCCCTGCAGCAACGGCCAGCATGACCCAACCGTTATACGTCATAAAAAGAAGCCTAGAAAGGTATAAATATAATCCTACCTTGGAGATGTGCATCTAGGTACGAAAAAAAAAACTCACATGATGAAGAAGCTATAAAAAACCTGGGCCGCGTAGAGGGCCGCACGCGTGATTTTCCCCTGCCTTTCAGAGACGGCTCCTCGTGCTGTGCGGGCTGAGTAGAGCAGTGAGCTACTTTCATCACCTATGGCTGCCTCGTAGTGCCTGTTTGATATCGATGACGATCTGGGACCTTCTGGTCCGGCGTCTTTGTACCAAGTCATGGGGCGAATTGTCAAATCGGCCGTTCATTACGACAAACGACATCGCAGAAATGGACAAGGCAGGGCCAAAAAAACGGTGAGAACACAAGGAAAATGGAGTTACATACCAGATGGCAGGTCCTTTTGGGCGGCTAGAGTAGATAGTTCGTATTGTCGCGTGAAGTCCCGCAAGGCCTCGTAACCAGCCACCAGGAGCATGACAGCGGCTAGGGAGAGCAGTAGAGAGAAAAGCCCAGTGACTCGCCATTGAGGGAAGACGATGCACAAGTTTTCTGTCGAGAATGTGAACAGCATCTAAGACTGTCAGCTTTGAGATGTTGTATAGATGGTGTCTTGTAGGGAGAACCGACGTTCATGCTGCACTTGCCCATGTCCATATCGCCATGGTCATGACCACCGTGGTCCATCTTCATAGGAGACAGAGCAACACTGATCCAGCTGGATAAACACTCCCGCTCCCACAGAACTTGACTATGACATACAAATATAATATTCTATAAAACGTTGGAAGTTGAAGCCAAAAGATTTTGGCTTCTTTTAATGAAGCAAGCTCGCAGGGTGCAAACAGTGCAAACAAGGGAAGCCTATCTTCTCTTATCAGCTCAATACTTCTCAACCTTCTTCACGATCAAACATAAAAAAAGCTGCAGCCCAAGACGCATCGACGGCCTCCTGACTTCTCTGCCCCGCCACTCCCAGCACGTCTCATGATGGCCTCGACAGCCGAAGCCACTCCTCCCACCACTGCCACCGCTGCAGCGAACGGATCTGCCCCCTCGACTGCCGCGGCCACCGCGCCTGCAGGCGTCGACCAACAAGCTCCTGCACGCGGCATACCCTATTACGAAAAGCTAAGACGGGAGCTGCGAGATACCCTGCAGAAGAAACGCCTGATGGACAAGAACATGGTACGTTTTTCGTTCGCGCCCTGCACGATCAATACCAGTGACAAGTGGAGCCGTTGTGTTCGCTAACCTGGTTTCAGGCTGCGCTGGAAGAGTCGATATACCGCTTCGAACAGTCCTATCTCGAAGAGACGGGCGCAGGAAATATAATCAAGGGCTTCGACAACTACATCAAGGGCGCATCTAGCCTGTCTAGCATAGGAGGAAGCGGGATCGGAGCCTCGTTTGGTTCTGGAAACGGTCCGACAACCAGGCGGAAGGGTCAGGTGGCGGACTCAGATAGGGTGTTTTCCAGGAGCTCTGCCAGTTTTATGAGGGTGAGTTTGCTTCGTGACCTACTTGCTTTACGTGCTTTTGCTGAACACCTTTGTCTAGGACTCCCCTGCTCCGTCGAGTGCGCATACGACGCCCTCTCATGCTCAAACTCCTACTTCTACAGGGCCAGGCTACAAGGGTACGGAGAGTAAAGATACCTTGGCCGGGGGCGGCAACAAGGCGGCCTTAAACAAGAAGAGCAATAGGAAATCTGTTGGAGACGCTTCGTCGAGCAGGCGAGATCGGGAGGCGGGTGACGAGGGTGATAACAAGCAACCTCTAAAGAGGTTGAAGATTACATATGTTAGAGGGGAGTGAACCTTGTCCCCCTATGTAGCTGTATTGATTCTAAACTGGTGTTCATTGGGGTTTATGGAGTGGGAAAAGCGATATATACCTTGGGCTATTGGGGGTCTTTCTTTTATCCTCTGTTTACGGAGATAATATTATTATCTTACTTGCGGCTTTTAGAAATAGAAAGGCCATACCATCACAAATTCAATTTCATTGATGAAAATGTTAAGAAATACACTAAATCCATACTAACATTTAGCTAACTAATACTATCTACTAGATACCGAGCTGTGGGTCATCATTAGGGCACGTAAACGAATCATGAAATCAATAAAAAAAACTTCAACAAAAGTAAATAATGCTTGACCTAAAGCTGAAGCCTGTAAGTTGCAACTTCAAAGGCTCTCAATTCAATCTTAACACGCGAAGGTCCGGATCCCTCGATCGGCAGCTCTTCCAGATCGTCTTCAAGGAGGTTACATTTGAATACCTTCTTAACATTCAATGACGTCTCGAGCGTGCCAGTGCTTCGTCCTCCCATGGAGTCGAAGATGCGCACGATAACACTCCGTCCTGCACGGTGTGGAAGCTCGCCGCGGGAGACGTCCTCGTCGTCCTCGCCGCGCTTCACGGCATCTAGGACAAGAGCTGGCGTTGCATCGACCAGTCGGACGGCATGGAAGGTATCAAGGGTGTCTGGCCCCGAGGCAGCTTCCAGAGTCAACGGGTGGTTGAAATTGTAACCCGCACGAACGATGCGGTAGTCTAGGGGCCCGGGGTGCGGCAGGATGGCGTAGCGGATATGGTGACGACCGATATCTGCAGTGCTGTCTGGGGCCTTCGGGGCGCGGACGAGAGAGAGTCGCATCAAGTTACCAGCGGTTGCGAACCCATATTTGGAGTCATTGAGAATTGAAACTCCGTATCCGCTCTCGGAGAGATCAGCCCATTTGTGGCAGCATACTTCAAACTTGGCCATGTCCCAGCTATTAAGGCATTGGTTAATATTGATCAGGCTCATGGCGACGATAATAAGAAAAGCACATCGAACTTACGTTGTGTTGTAGTGGGTTGGGCGTCTGTTGATACCATACTGGCTCTCATAGGATGCCTCGGTGTTTCGAATGTCAACAGGGAATTCGACTTTGAGGAACCTCATGGTCTCTTGCCATTCGACCTCACAGTCCATTTCGACCATTGGCATGCTATCCTTAGTTTCTGCAGAAAGGCTGATTGTCGTCTTGACCCAACTCTGGTCGCTAATCTTGGTCTCAGTGACAACGCTGACCCGATGTGGAGACTGTTCTGCAATCTTGGTCTCCGTAGAGGTCAACTCCTTTCGTGAGTCAAGGTGGTAGACTTCAACATCCCAAGCCTGCCAGTATAATGGTTTGTCATCGAAGATAACGAACTGGTTTGCCTTCCCTCCTTTCGCGATGACTTCTCGGTTCACCCGCAAGTCAAAGAGAGAGGTGATCACGCCCTTTTCGACCTTGATTACTAGGCTGTCGTTGCGGAGTTCGAAAACTCCAGCATCTACTTCCTTGACGGAAAGGGAAGTTGACTGAGTAGAGCTTAGTGGTTCAACAGTCATTACTCCGGTATCTCCGCTCACGAGGGCGTACTGGGGAGAACCTGAAGAGGCTTCTGGGTTGTCCATTTTGACGATCTCACAACGGGGCCAGGGCAAGGTATTCAAGGCGACGAGTTTGCCTTCGGAGCCGGGGCTCTTACTCTGGAAACCAAGGGCTTTCATTGCTTCCTCTCTCACCTTTGCCGCAGTTTTGAAAACTCCGGCATAGAAGGCATCGGACTCATCATAACAGAGTCGAATTGCACTACCGGGAAGGCAATCATGGAATTGGCAGAGCAAAACAGGCTCCCACATATCGTCGATATCCTTCTTGGGGTATTTATACGAGGAACTCTTTAGGGAGGCTAGAGTCGCAAGGAGCTCAACCTCGCGGAGAAGGAACTCTCCCTTGCGGTTATTTCGTTTATTATTGGATTGAGTGGTATAAGTTCCGCGGTGAAGCTCAAAGTACAGCTCTCCATACCAGGTTATGAACTCGGTTCCCTCCATAGCCTTCTTTTCGAGCGTTGCAAAGAAGTCATCGACCGAGCTCCCGATGGTAACTCGCGGAAGGAGGCCAACAGTGTCACTCATACCTCTCTGTCGACGGAGCTTCTCGATATGCTCAAAAGTTGGCCCACCACCGCCATCACCCTTTCCAAAGACAAGGAGGGAGGTGTTATCCTGGTCCATAGACTTATGCTGGGTGATACTGCGCTTAACATCACCGAAATGGGCTTCAGCAGTATAGGTCTCTGATGGAGGCATGTGGCAGATAACCTGGCTGCCGTCAAGGGCTACCCAGTTAAACGTGGTGTGTGGGAAGGTGTTGATATTGTTCCAGCTGAGTTTCTGGGTGAAGAATCTGGTCATCCCAGCTAGACGGCAGAGCTGAGGAATTTGAGACGAGTACCCGAAAGTGTCAGGTAGCCAGAATGTAGTGCATCGTTCACCAAAACGGCTCTCAAAGTACCTCTGGCCGTATAAAAACTGACGAACAAGCGATTCACCGCTGGGCAAGTTGGTGTCATGTTCGACCCAGCTGCCACCGATGGGTTGGAAGGAACCCTTCTTCACCCACTCCTTGACCCGATCAAAGGCATACGGGTATCCTTCTTCAAGCCACTTGAACTGCTGGGCTGACGAGCAAGTAAATCTGAATTCTGGGTATCGTTCCATCAAGTCACACTGGGTCGACCAGGACCTAGCTACTTTTCGCTTTGTTTCAGCGAACGGCCACAGCCAACATGTGTCTATATGGCAGTGGCCCGTTGCAAAGACGATGGGTTTGCCTTCTGTCTTGTAGACATCGGGGGAATCGACCTTGGTGCCGATATACTCCTGGGCAACCTTGCGTGCATTTATAATAGACTCTTGGCTCCCGTTTCCTTCGATAAAGGCATCCATCATGGCATTCCCGACAATCAGGGCCTTGTGAGCCTGCCATGAATCAGAAGGGAACTCTCGAGCAGCATCTATAGCCTGTCAGTTTGTTCATTGCCTTTTTTAATAACCCAGCTTGGTGCCTGCCTACCTCCAATCTGCCAAAAGTCATAATTCAAAGCTCTTGCCTGTAGATTGACTGCCACGATCTTTGCCGAGGTGAGTTGGTAGTACTTGTCTGGGATTGGAGGCTTGATGAGGTCGCCGTCAGAGTTACCAAATAAGCCATTGCACGCCATCTCTATATAGAAGATGTGCGGTGCACCATTCCTAAAGTCCTTTGGGATGATCCACTCGGTTCTATCTCCGCCACTAAGACCTTGCAATGGACGGCCATCCTCCGTCCAAACCATGCCCTCGTTGCCGGCGTTCCAATGGAACTCCAGGTGGTCATATTTCTTCATGTACTCTGGGACGGTGAGCTGGATTCTGAACCAGTGAGTCGACCAGCTAGGGCCGAATGAGGTTCCTCTACGGGTAGGTTTGAACTCGTTCTTGACGGCATCCTTGAAAGACGGTCTCTCTAGGTTTGGGACGGAGTACACCCAAAGCCTGACATATTTCTCATCGTCATTCAGAGCAAAGAAGAACTTGCTGTATCCCCCCCGTACAAGCTGTTAGCCATTGCAAAGGTACTATGACAACAACGACAATAACCATGCATTGGAAGCTCTCGAGACAGCGGGACAACTCACTCTAGCAGGTTATGGCCCTGGTACTGGCCTGTTGCTGTGAATTGGCGTAGACGGTCTTTGTAGATGGAGGTAATGTGTTGGCCGACGGGGCGTTCGGCGAGGAGAGGGTAAACTGGAGCATGCTTGGGAGCTTCTCCGCCCATGTTTATCTACTGCGGACGAACAACTGTAGAGCAAACGAGACAGCAGAGACAAGTAGACCAGTGACGGTTTTATGTAGTGTGTCTTGTTTACTGTCAGTAGCTTCGACCTTGAAGCTCTTTATATACCTTGAATGTTGACTCTGGCCAAGCTTGGGGTTCTTTACCCCGCAAGTTTTTCTCCACGGCACGCGCAAGCCCGCAACAAGGATGTAACAGCATAACAACAACATGATCAAAGTACATGCATGTATAGCATAGCTGCATGACTACAGTAGTAGGACAGGCTGGTTAAGCACTGTTGGTGCATGAGAGATGAATAAGAGAGTATCTTGCATTGAGTGTGTATATAACCTCTAGATATCACTTCTACAGAAAGCAGACAAGCATTTAAGTGTATACGGAAAGGATGGTAGCAACCTATAGCAACACGAACTTGTCACCATCCATGAATATGCAGTTCCTGATCAGCTACTGGAGCTCTCGTGGTGGCTTGCTGGATCGTTCATATCCCGTCCTCAGAGACTAGAACGGTCGAAAGGCCTGTTTAACCAGGTTCCCTCACTGCGTCGTCTGATCCCTATTGATGGTCATGAGGTGGACAATTTGAATATGAACTGGAATGCACATGTATAAGAAACTGGCCCGGCTGTCTTCTGACTCGACATACATGGTGCTATGTATATGTGAAAAGATACCATCTGGCTAGGGACTGCAAGTTCTAGATGCTCTGAACAGAAGAACTGATACAGTTAAGTCATCTTAGATATGGCAAGAAGCACAAAAAGATCCTCCTTGCGTATTATATCAAAGACAGATGAACGAGATGAGAAAAGCAATGAATTAGTGATGATGTTCGATGTTCGATGTTTGCCTCGAGTCAAAACACTGAGATCTGACTAAGCAGGCTCTAACTATCACGAACTACTCAGAACAATTTGACAGCAAAATAATCATCAGATACCCAAGGGTTCAACGTAGTATAATAATATTACATCTTCTCTAGACCCAGTGAGGCGTCGGACCAACCATCACGATCTTGCTCTTCAGTTCTTCCTTTCTCTTCTGCTCAGCCCTGTTGGTCGAGCTCGAACCGAAGGCCTCCCGGGAGAACTCAACGGTCGACCTCCAGGCGTTACTATTTCTCCCTAGACCAAGCCACTCCTCACGGCTACGGGTGTTCTCCCCGGTACACGGCGGTGCTGTTCGGGGTGTCCTCAACGGTTGCATCTGTGGCTCACTTGCCTGCCGTCGTATGGCCTTGGGTATCAATTTGTTGATGTAGTTGGGGAGGAGGCCGGATTTCTTCTTTTTCGGCTTGTTCTTTGGCAGAGCCTTGGCTCCATATAGCTGGTAGTCGCTTGGAGGGATGGCAAGATGTCTTGGTCTATGGCGGCCCTCATCAGCCGGTGGTAAGGGAGGGGATCTGAAGAGACCAAAACCAGTGGTCTCTTTTCTCCCGTAGGTCTCGGGAAGTTCGTCAACCATGGAGGTGCTTGCGCAGGTGGTGAACGAGTATAGCTGTGTGCGGTTTGAAGGCCCTTCCCTTGCCTGAGAGGGAAATGACTCATCGTTGACCTCCTCCACAGTAACCTCTGGTACGTCTGCCTCGGATGGCCGTCGAATGAGCTCTATATACGAAACTGCATCTGGGAGATCCCCGGTCTGGACGCCTCTGCTGGAACTCGACCTTGAGGTACGCTGATTCGGGAATACCTTGCTGTGTCGTGGATGGGGCATATGGCAGAAGCATAGCTCGGAGTTATCAACCCCCCTTGGAGGTTCAACCGCTTGATGGCCACTTTCCATCGGCCTGGATCGCTCATGTATACCTTTAGACCGTGGGCTTAAAGTTGAGTTGGCTGATCTAGCTGCCCCTAAAGTTGAACATCTTTTTGGCGCTTCCCTCCCTCCTTGTGGTCTCTTGTCATCGATCCTTATTGAAAACTTTGCTGGTCCCCCGCTGCAGGTTTGGAATACCGGCTCAGTTGAATGGCGAGCACGTTTTGCTGGGCTGGAAAGAGTGTCTTTTCCCTCTCGTCTCCTAGGCTGAGGTGAACGAGGAACTGGCGATTGCCGGCTATAAAATAACCGAAGCTCGTCCACCGAGCGAGCGTGCTTTGGGTTAAAGGCTTTTGCATAGATTCCTTTCTCACGACACCTATCATTAGGGCGCTGGTAGCGGGCACTGCTCAAGAAATGTTCGTCTGGAGAGTAAATGCCGGAATTTCTCTCGGGAGGACTAGGGAGAGGTTTGTCGAGTTTCCATCTTGGGATGTAGATCTTAAGCGAGTTTGGTTCCGGAGGAATAACTTGCTCCAACCCTTCTAGGGAGGAAGAAGGTAAGAAGTGAGGGTGCATATATGGTGCTTGAGGTGCTAGCATCAATGACATCTTGATATGACCTATCCTATGGGTTGCTGGAAATACCAGGGGCAGAGAGTAAGAGAATGCAGCTCTGGGAGACTAAGGCTCGTCATATACTTGATGCCTTGTTGTTTATATTCCCGATCTAAATCTGCATGCGTATTGTGGTATTATTAATAACTGATATTGTAGGACTCAGGCATGAAAGCCCATGTTGAAAGAGGCACAGGGCATCTATGATAAAAGATACAAAGGATAATGGAAATACTGCAGGGCTGTTGCCGTATCCGGCTTGCGTCTTGCATATATATATAATTGTCGTTGGGATTTCTGCATGTCTGATCCAACGCTTATAATGTGAGTTATGTTACTAACAGTAAGGGGGATTGGGGAAAAGAAGGAAAAAACACTATACATATGTATCACTAATGGGGATTATCTACGGTGTCATCCGAAAAATCCAAAGCTAAAAATGCAGCCTGTACGTTGGAGCCTTCGTTCTTCTTCTAGTAGAATATAAAGATAGAAGCAGACAAAGGAAATCTTGATCTACGGAAACAAAGGTAATCCAGACATTTATAGACGCATGAACCCGTACACAGGCCTTTTAGCGTGGAATAATCAATAAAAGCCTCATCTTCTTGAACGCCAGAGGAAAAAAGAAAACAAGGGTAAATAATAGTCATGATCCATCATGTTAGTTTTGCTGCTTTCTCAAATATCTCCGGAGTCAGGGTATCTTCACGATCAACTACTTCACTAAATCTTCCAAGCATTCTTAGTCGGGAAATCATATCTTCGTCTCCAAGATGGCTGTTGTGCTCGAACTCGGGGACTTCGTCGTATGCAACTCTTGCGGCATCAACTAGGATGCGGGCCGTCATACCGAACACTCGAAAGCGCTCGAGACCCAACGAGATCTTCTCCTCTTCTAACTGGTCGATGGCAGCATCTTGCTCTTTACTATGTTTCTTGGGTGTAGCAACTTTCTGATTCGTTATAGCAACGAAGAAGTGGTGCACTGGTTCTAGTCAGTGAACGGCTATAAGTTACTCGTGCCAACCAAAAAAAAAAAAAAACACATTGCACATACTTCTCCACCAGGTTGAATTCCACTTCGTCCATGATCCTTCATACCAATCACTTGGTTTTCCGGGCAGGGTATCCTCTTCTGCCCGAGGTTCATCGGTCACTTTCAAGAAGTTATGGAATGGGGCAGTGAAAACGGCCGCCACTTCTTTGGCATCTAATTGGGGTATAAATGCTTCTTCTGGATCGGCATCTTCGCCTGTCTTTTCATTATGGGAATGTAAGAGCGCAATACACGGCCGAACAGCAAGTTCCGTCCGAGCCAGGCTAGCGGGTAATTCACAGAGATGCTCAACCCAGAAGGGCGAAGGCATCTGCTGGTCTATGTTTGGAAGGCCAATTTCTTCGTACGCTTCGCGCCGAGCTGTTTGAAATGGAGTCTCGCTTGGTCCATCTGACTTCCCTCCCGGTAGAGCTGCTTGGCCAGGATCTGAGCCGTGCTTGTTAATATGCTCTGTATTTACGTAGATAACTAGTAATTAAATGCTTCGAAAGGCGCTGGGGCTGAACATACATGATTTGAGGGTGCTCGCACGTATGGTCAAGATAACTCGGAGATCCCCTCTCCGATCGGCAAAGAGCAGTAATAATACTGAAGCCTGCCTTGTAGACGGCATAGAATAGTAGTTCGTTGGGGGCGGAGTATATCTCCTCAAGCGATCAATCGCATTCTGGCATTCCCCATTTCCCAAGCAGTTAGATGATGTTTCATATTTATCCAGGCTTTCTGGAACGGTATATAATAAATGATCGACCGCATGAGACAATGCATAATATAAAGGTTCAAACGGCCATAGGGGTGTTTTGCACATGCAGGCTTCTATATTTACTGACCTGCGATTCTGGTGATAGCGGCGCCATCTTTCCTTTCAATGTCGGGGATTCTGCAGCAGACGAAAATGGTCTATGGCTGAGTCTATGGCAACGGACTAGATCTAGAGGAGTAAATCGGAGACGTTGCCTCATATCTCTCCTGTGGAATGTACAGCATGTACGAGCTCTGAGGTTGCCTCATCTTCGATGGTTGATCTCGCAAGAGAAAAGAGAGTCGCTGTGCCGAGGTCGGAGTGTTTAGGATCAGCCACCAAAAAATTATCTAGACGGAGACAAAAATATTCAAAAAGGCTGATGTAAGAGTTGTATTCCATATATATTAATGGTATCGAATATATTTTTTCATTAAGGATCCAGTTAAGATAGCTCATCCAAGTGATTGACCAAAATCAACAACCAACTTCTATAACTACAAACCCTCCGTGGAGGAACGTTTGAACCCACCCCCCAGTCTAGACCAAGAAAACGTAAGGAAGCAGATGAAAAGAAACAAACGAGAGGGCTGGAAATAATGAAAGGTAGTGGACAGGGAATATGATGCAGAGTAGTGTCAGCCCATCCAATTTCTGGAGAAGAATAATGGAAGAACGAGGGATGGACAGTATAATTACAAAGAGAAGGGATAAACAAATACACTCAGTAGAAATTAAAAGGAAATGTGAGAGACGTAAGTGGTTATGGATGTGTAGTAGTCCCTCACTGCTTTTTGTCATCTGCCTGTGTCTGTTTGGGAGACTCTTTATCGGCTGCGGTATCGCTTTCTGTCTTTTCGAACTGTGCAGTGGACTCAGCTCCGGCCGACGCCTCCGCGTGTTTGTCTTCTTTTTCATCGATGTCCTCATGATCTTTTGGCGCTGGCATACCCGTATTCCCGTTTTCGGTGATCTGTTCGTTTTCTTCCTCAATCAGTTCCTGTTGTTCCTTCACAACCTCAAGACGCTGCCTGTTTGTAGCTGCTCCCTCGGCATTGTGAACCTCGAGCTCGATTTCGTGGAAGAGCTCCTCGGGGATACTGGAAAGGACGGATCGGAGAGCGTCCATCTGAGAGGAGATTTCGTACTCCTGGGAGTGCTGGGTATACATGTATGCATTGCTAAGAACGAGGAGAGTAGATGGGACACCCTGCTTCAGGCGGAGGTCAAGCCACATGGAGAGATCATCGCGGAGTCTAGCTGGCGAAAGGCCGTGGGTTCGAAGACCGCGGGATGCGCATGCCATCTGAAGTTCGGGAATAAGCAGGGAGTCAACTCCTTCGTACGCAATGGCCCTATCATCACGTTTGATCTGGCGCATCCGAACCCGGATGGTGTACCGGAGCATTGCATCGGTGCCGAAAGTGTTGAGATTCATGTATTTGCACATCGCCACCAGCTGGGGCCTTGATAGATTGTCCAACGTGAGATCATCCTTGAAAATCTTGCAGACGGCGATAACATCTTCGTCCGACGGGGTTTCTCCTGTCGCTCGGACTTTGCGGAAGAACTCTGTAAATTCCTCCTTCTTGGCATTTACAGGGCTGACTGGAAGGCCGGTTTCCTTGAGAGTTCCTTGGAGGAAGTTCGAGACCTCTTTTCGTGTGCCTCGCAGAGTTGCAGCCTTGTCATCCTTGGACTTTTGGCCTTCATAGGTGCTAGGTAGAAGGTTGGGGAAGAGCTTCAGAGCCACCGGAAGAAGCAGTTCCGCAAAAGGGATGATAACAAAGGCAGAGAAAGGGACGAGACGAGCTAAATCCCGGACCGTTCTTTTAAGCTAGAGTTGACTATCAGTACGATTTTTTTTTTTTTTTTTTTGAGATAAAGCGGTATATAGGAACACGCGAAACACAGCTTACCTGTCTGTTTTCCCTTCTACTTAGTTCATATCCTGCAGCCATCTTAAGTGCAAGTTTCGAACTGATTTTAACTTCTGCCGCCAATAGTTTTGTTCCGTCCCAGTAATGCTGTACCTCCTTCTTAATCTTTTGGCCAATGGTCAGCTTTTTAACCTCCTTCTTCTCTTCTACTTGGCCTTTCTCAGATGCCTCGACAGCGGCAGCTTCATGTATCCTTTTCTCTAACTCCTTTGACTCAATCTCTATACTGTCTAACCTCCTAGAGATGGAACTTGAAGTATTAGCTTCAGCTGACGAGGCAGTTGTCGACTGAGGCTCTTTCGGGAGAGGCTGCTTTGCTTTTTCAACATTGAACCCAGGCGGAGGGAAGGGGTTGGAGTTGTTTGAGCCGTGCGATGTGGATGGGCCAGTTGAGTAGCCACACCGGCGCTGGGCGAGCTCAAGGCTCACTGACTGCTGGGCTGGATAAGTAGGCTGCGCCCGGAAAGCAGAGTGGGCATATCTGGCGATATTAAGACGGCCGGCATCTGCTGCGATGTTAGGTCTAAAGTACTTGGTTAACGGACATATACATGGCTGCGTACCACTCTGGATCAGTCTCCTTAGAAGTATCCCATTCTGTCCTAGGTTCCGCACAGCCATATGTGCGTTGTGTATGGGCGCCGGGGAGAATGGTATAATTCAGGAAGAGGATATCAAGTATGGATATGGATTCAATGGCTGCCAGGTGTGTTTTCTTGCGCTTGAGTCGTATAGAAGAACAGCCAAAGAGTTGCGGCCTTCCAGCTTATGAATAAATTCATTGGAATTCTCCGGCGTCGGAAATTCTACGGACTAAATATTTCTCCTGTTTCCGGCGCCACCGTCCAACCTCGGGCCAGGTTCATCCAAGGTTAACTTATCTACACGCAAGGAGATTTGTTTTACAGAAGATGTCAACTTTGATATCGGAGACAGTGTTTATATCTGGGTGTGATATTAAGATTAGATGTGCGGACTAAGCTAGTCACGGTTCGACGACGCATCAGTGGGGTATATATGTACATCCTAGGAATTTGCGGGCATGATAGAGGCATGATAAAACAAAGGAGCAGGACATAATGAAATCGTCACGAAAACGGGGGAGGAAATCAAAAACGCTAGAGAGAAGCTTCCTGGGGTCGTCTATTTGTAGCAAGAGAGGTCGAGTCATCAGTTAAAGCGCCGGTAGATGCAGCTTTCACATTCGCATTTAGATCAAGGTTAGTGATGAGCTGGTTGGGTTCCACGTATGGCTCTTTGGGGGTTGTCATAACCACACCGCTGAGGGAGGTTGGCTTGATGCCATCTGGGTCCTGGGGTTCGGCCACGGCTGTTAGGGCTTCAGGAGACATCTGCCATTTGGCAACATCTCTCTTCAGTTGCTCAAGCTCCTTCTGGAACCGCTTTCCGAACACATCGATGTAGAATGTGGCACCGTTGTAGATACTCCAGATAAACATCACGGTCAAAAATGCACTGCTCGCCCATTGATACCAGAACCAGAGAGGACAGGGAACAATGGTGAGAATGGCGTATATATACTGGATCATCATAAAGGCCGGCTCTTGCAAGGGAAGGGGGAGATGTAACACAAATTTGCCGATCCAAGTTTTGGCGTACGATCGTCGTAGCCAGGTGAAGCTAGTTGGGCGACCGGCGGCAATCTTCTCTCTCTGGCGAACGGTAATGAAGAAGTGGTAGCTGAGTTGCCAGATGGCGTATGGAACAGATGCCCAGATCATCATGGCTCCGAGGGTGTAGTGTTCCGGCGATCCTGGAGCGCTGAATTTAATCCGATATACAGCTGGAAACCTGGTTTCTAGTATATCCGCCGGTGTTAAGTGAACCAGGCAGTGTAGAGTGACGGGAGGCATGATATGGATGAATAGGCTAGAAAGATAGGTGAGAATCAGGTAAAAAAATAAAACTCCTACGGAGTGAATGGAATAAATGCTTACCTGACGACTTTATCAATGCTGTGGAAAACCATCGAGTTTCTCCACATAGCGATGGCAACGGCGTTATTTCCATATGCAAGACACCAAGTACTAAGAAATAGTCGTTTAGAGTTGGGAAATACCCACATACTCAGAATGGTTAGAAGGTTGACAAAGTAGCAGAGGTCGGCGAGGAAGTAATGATATCCAATCTTGCAGTATCTGTAATATCTTTGCGGCATGAAGTAGACCAGCTGGCCTGTGAACCAGAGATAAAAGTAAGTCGGGTAGGCTCCTAGCAGATAGCCGCTAATGAAAACGTTGAGCACGCCGGCGATGAAAGATATCTTCTCTACTGCAGTGACTGTGACAGTATCGTTCCACCGGACAGTAAGTCGTTCGACGGAGCTCTTCATCCGCTTTCGGTACTTCTGCAGCTGTTCGTCCGAGGAAGGCATCCTCTTCTTGAATTCACCAACCATCCTCTGCCGTGCTTGCTGGCTGGTCGACCTGAACTTCTCCTGGTGACGTTTCACCCTCTCTCTCTGGGCGTTGAGCGAGGCCTGCCATTTTTCCAGCTTCTGTGATATTGCCAGGTTACCCAATAAGTCAAGAACAGTCACTCTCTCGACGGGTGTGAGCGGCTCCCATTCCTCCTGGTAAGAACTGCTACCCTCTGAAGATATGCGAGACAGCGGGCTCAGTGCCAGAGGACTCCGTCCGCCCTCTGGAGTTGTGATTGCGGCGTCATCCTGCGTGGCAGCGATAATCTCACCATTGCTAGGAATGATATCCGATTTTGCCTGTGGTACTTTCGCGGGCTCTGATTTAACCCGCTGGAGATCCGGGCGATCCATGATGGCCTGTCTAGGTGTGAGAACAAAACGAGCTTTCGGAGAACTGTCCCGGCTAAATACTGAACGGATGGTGAGCTCGAATTAAAGGACGGGAAAGGATGGGGTCCTCCTGAAGATGAGGAAAAGGGAAAAAAAAAGGCCGAGTCCACGATGCTCTCTCTGGGGTTTCTGCCTAGCTTCTAGCCATGGGTCTTTGAGTCAGAATCGATCTGGAACAGGGCCCAAAAAGACGAAGAAAAAAAAAGAAAAACGGCCGTATATTGTTGAGGTAGCAAGGAAAGCTGTGAGAAAAGAAGACTCACAGCGAGATGAGAACATATATGTATGATGATGTAGTTTCTCCGCGTTCCCACGTCGACATCGTCCTGCAGGTGGCGAACGGGCCTTTGGAGGGGGCGGAGGAAGCTTGTCCTTTTCTCTATATCAATATCAGAAAGGCGAAAGAGAGAGAGATGCAAAGTCCCATGAACAACCAAAAAGAAAAATGAAGGTGAGCAGCTGCTTACCGTAATGGGACGTGCACGGCCTCGAGCGCGTGGTTGGTCCGTTCGGCGTGTTTCTTACTTAAAATAGAGTGATGACTCAGAGATGAGTAAGAAGTCAAGTGACGCTAACTTGGGTCACATGTTAGCTAAGCTATATTAGGTAATATATTAACCACGTGACTTACGCGACGCGCTTTGATGGGCGGAGAAAGTGAAGGAGGGAGAGAAATCAATATTCAATCTTCGGTATCACCAACCAAGTGGAAGAAGACGAGGCTGAAAGGCAAGTCGCCATGGGGAAGCTGATTCGCCTCGAGCTATTTAGTGCGTATGGTCTATTGGGTTGACTCTTTTCGTCCTTTGCTAACAGGTGGTGAATAGATTTCAAGTCCTACAAGGGCCACCACACGTTGCTCTTTGGCGATGCATACTTCACTTCCATTATCGGCCCCAATGGGTCTGGAAAATCGAACTCGTAAGCCTGTGTCCTGCTAGAGAGAAAGAGGAAAAAGCATGAGAGAGAAAAGAGATACACAAAAAAAATACTGAAAAGAAGGGGAGAAAATGATGGCTAAGTTGATCTATATAGTATGGACGCGATTTCCTTCGTCCTTGGAATCAAGTCGTCGCATTTGCGATCAACCCACCTTCGTGATCTAGTCTATCGTGGTCGTGTTCTACGTACCGCAAAGATCAATGACGACGGCTCGGCATCCAAGGACACGGCGGGAGGGCCTGGGGGGCAGAACGGTGAGGTCGCTGACGAACCGGCAGAACGAAGTGACCCCAAGTCGGCGTGGGTTATGGCTGTTTATGAAGATGATGCCGGCGAGGAGCAGCAGTGGAAACGCTCCATTACGAGTCAGGGTGTCAGTGAATACCGTATCAACAACCGTGTGGTTACAGCTCAGCAGTACAATGACGCACTGGAAGCTGAAAACATATTGATTAAAGCTCGCAACTTCCTTGTCTTCCAGGGCGATGTGGAGTCAATTGCTTCTCAGTCTCCCAAGGACCTTACACGGCTGATCGAACAAATCTCTGGAAGCTTGGAGAGCAAGGCGGACTATGAGAGATTGAAGGCAGAGCAGGAGGAAGCCGCTGAGCAGCTTAACTTCCAACTCAACCGTCGACGAGGTATCAACTCGGAGATAAAGCAGTACCAGGAGCAGAAAAGGGAGGCTGAGACGTACGCTCGCAAGGCTGAGGAGCGCGACCAAGCCATCATCACCCACATCCTCTGGAAACTCTTCCACTTTCAACGCTTGATTGTGGAATCTAGCGCAGAAATTCAGAAATACCAAGATGAATTGAAAGAGTTTCGCCGAGGTGTCGAAAAGTATGAAAAGAACCTCGAAGATGCTAAAGTTGACCATGCTCGAGTTGGCAGAGATGTTGCCAGGGCAGAAAAGAGTATCAAGCTGAAAGAGAAGGAGATCGAAGAAACTACTAATTCTCTTGTGCCGGTGGACGAGAAGATTGAGATAACTGCAAAGAAGGTGGCCAAGTATGCCGAACGAGTAGCCGAAGTATCCAAGGAAGCACTCTCGCAGTCAAAGACTGTGAAGCAGCTCGAAAAGGACCTCAAGATTGTGGAAAAGGCGCAGAGCCAATGGGAGAACGAATGGAAACAAACAATCGCTGTCAAAGGAATCCAACTAACTGATGCTGATCTCCAGGAATACAGCAGGCTAAAGGAAGAAGTCAGCAAACGTTCATCTAATACACAGTTGAAGCTAGACAATTTAAAGCGTCAGAGAAAGGCCGATGCGGAGACTGTCAACAGTCTGAAGAGCAATCTTGAAAGTGTGGAGTGGCAGGCGAAGAACTTGCAAACCGATATGGACCACATACTCGAACGGAAGACAGCCATCTCCGCAACTATCAAATCTACGACTAAGGAGATAGATGCCACTAAGAAGGAGCTCAACAGCCTTACTTCGGAGCGCCTACGCGTTGCCCAGATGCGAACGGAATTAGAAGAAAAACTCCAGGTCACTTTGAAGAAATTGTTAGAAGCAGACGATGGCCGGCAGCAGAGTGAAAAGGAACAGCGCACTAAGGAAATGATCTCAACCCTGAAACGCATCTTCCCAGGCGTCAAAGGTCGCGTTAGTGAGCTATGTCAACCAAAACAGAAGAAGTATGCTGAGGCCGTGAGCACGGTACTGGGACGTCATTTTGACGCAATTGTTGTCGATAATGAAAAGACTGCCAAAGAATGCATCCAGCACCTTCGTGACCAGCGTGCAGGTCAGGCTACATTTATTCCCCTGGAGACCATCCAAGTCAAGGCCCTAAACTCGAATCTGAAAGGCATGCATCGTGCCATGCGCCCAGCCATTGAGACTGTTGATTTTGATAACTCTGTCTCGCGTGCCATTACATATGCTTGTGGGAACTCAATAGTCTGCGACGATCTGGCAACTGCTAAGTATCTATGCTACGAGAAGGGTGTAGAGGCAAAGGCAGTAACATTGGATGGCACAGTTATCCATAAAGGTGGTTTGATGACCGGTGGTCGTGGTCCGGGCCAGCGTAATGCCAAACGCTGGGAGGATACAGAAGTTGCCAATCTTAATAAACTAAAGGATAAGCTAATGGCAGACTTGGCTAATCTTCCCAAGGCTCATCGCAGAGGATCCGAAGAAGAGTCTCTTCAGGGCCAACTCACCGGCTTAGAACAACGCCTTGCGTACTCTCGAGATGAACTGAGCGCGCTCGAAAAGAATCTAGAAAGCAAGTCGAGTGAAGTTGATTTTGCCAAACGCCAGATGAAGAGTGTTCAGCCAAAGTATCGCGAAAAGTCAGCATTGCTCGAAAGCCTCGATCAGTCAATCAAAGAGATCCAAAGTTCTGTGACTGAGGTTGAGGATAAGGTCTACCGTGACTTCTGTAAGCGGTTGGGATACAAGAATATCCAGGAATATGATGCTCAACAAGGCTCGCTCCAGCAGGAAGCGGCCGAGAAGAAGCTCCAGTTTACTACTCAAAAAACCAAGATTGAGAACCAGCTCAGCTTCGAGAAGCAGAGACTCCAGGCCACTGAAATGCGAATTGATAGTCTCAAGACGCAGTCACAGAGGGACGAGACGATGGTCGCTGACTTGGAAGCGGAGCGTAGATCCATTCAAGAAAGGCTCAATGAACTTAACCAAGAATTAACATCGTTGAACGATCGCCTTGAGGAACAGCAAAATCTATTCAATGAATCTACTGAACGTCTTGCACAGCAACGACGAGAACTTCAGCGACGGAGCAAGAATGTAGAGGCTACTCTGAAAACCATTAGTGGCCTGGAAGCTGATGTACAGCGCCATTCGTCCGGTAGATACACGCTGATAAGACGCTGTAAACTGGAAGACATCGATATACCCCTGACGGCCGATTCGGAACCGCTGGACAAACTCCCTATCGACGAGCTTGTCCAGCCGGATCCAGACGCAATGGAAGTTGACGAGGATTCCAACACAGCTATCTCACAAAGCCACTTCGTACAGGACTTTGGTATAGAAGTTGACTTCTCCTCACTGGGTGACTCTCTTAAGGAGGTAAGTACATTTTTTCTCTATAAAGGACTTAAAACAATACTGATATCTCAATTCCAGGAATCTGATGATAAACTCGAAGAAGAGCTCCAAGAGAGGGTGAGGTCTCTTAATAATGAGCTGGACAAAATGGCGCCCAACATGCGTGCCATTGAAAGGCTAGAAGGCGTTGAAAACAAGTTGCGAACTATCGAAAAGGATTTTGAAGATTCCCGCAAACGCGCCAGAAAAGCCAAAGATAACTTTGAGGAAGTCATGCAACGGCGGTCTGAGCTCTTTAACAAGGCATTCACACATATTTCTGAACAAATAGAGCCGATATATCGTGATCTTACTCGGACAGAGAGTTACCCCATGGGCGGAAAAGCGTACGTTTTAACCATGTATCCGTATGAATAAATGGTAAATGCTAATTTGGCCGACTTTTCCAATGACTAGGTACCTGGATATTGAAGATTCTGAAGAGCCTTATCTCGATGGCATCAAATATCATGCAATGCCACCCCTGAAACGATTCCGTGACATGGAGCACCTTTCGGGAGGAGAGAAGACCATGGCTGCATTGGCTCTGTTATTCGCTATCCATTCCTACCAGCCATCTCCATTCTTCGTTCTAGACGAGGTAGATGCTGCCCTCGACAATGCAAACGTGGCTAGGATCGCGAACTACATTCGCGATCATGCGGCCCCTGGCATGCAGTTCATCGTCATCAGTTTAAAGACCGGGCTGTTCCAAGTCAGTGAGGCGCTTGTTGGTATCTACCGAGACCAAGCTGCAAATAGCAGTAAGGCATTAACTCTGGATGTAAGCCATTCTCTTTCCCTGGCCTTTTGACGGACCCATGCCTAACCTTTCACAGCTGCGCAAATATCGATGATATTCGAATTCGGCTGCTTTCAAGGTCTTCACAGCTGATTTCCCAGCTCAAGCAACTTCAAAGGCTCAAAATATGGCAGTTCTTGCCCAAGCTGGGCCTGACATCTAATCCTTGTTCTATATGTTCTTTGCCTTTTGTTTACATGATTCCACTGCTTTTAATGTATATTTATGGCATTTTACTCTTCTTCCACGCTTTTTTGTCTTCTATTAGATAGCGTTCAAATATTGCCCCCCAAAACTTCCTAAACGCCGATGGATTTAATGATACATGTGTAAAACAGCTAGAAGTACATTGGCACAATACACAATACACAATCGAAGGAGATAAGCATGGATCGTGTCAGGAGCATCTTACGCTCCCCCTACGACCGCCTTCTGCAGCTTATGGAACCCAGGAGAAAACGAGCCCAGGGCGTCTAGCCGCAGTGTATTCTTATGCCCTTTCATATTAACGTAAACAAAATGTTCCTGGGTGAACAGGCGCCGCGCATTCGAAAAGGCTCTAAAGATAGCCAGACTAGTCTTTTGCATCGGCTTCTTGAAAAAAGGGGTCCTGTCCATCTCCCGCTGGCGAGCCAGTTTCTGCTGGGACTCCAACCAGCCCTTCTTCGTGAGTTCATTTTCGCTCACGCATACCTTCTGCGAGATCGAGAGCTCCGAGGGAGCAAGCAGGAATTCACGATGTTTCAGGAACGGGAGCATACGCCTGACCTTGATTGAGAGCTGGGTCTTGCCGTTGACGTTTGCAGCGTTGATCTCTGATATCAAACCGAAGCCACGACGGAAGAAGACGGTGCCCATGACGGCCATGACGAAGCAGATGCCACCAAAAAGCAACTCTTGCCACCAGAGGATCTTTAATATCGGGTCGATGGAAGATGTGTAGAAGTTATAGCCTGCGTACATGTAGCAGAAGGAGGCTGTTGTGTACGCTCCAATGATGTATGACCGCTGTCTGGGGGCACGAAACAGGCAGACGGGTCCTTCATGCTTAGAAACATCCCATTCGAACCTGCGGAACTTGTTGGCCGTTTGAGATGAGGGCTCCTTCAGGGACAGCTCTGGAGCTTTCACCTTTGCCGTGTTTGCGCGGAGAGGAGGCGGTTTACTCGTAGCATAGCATCGTAGCTCGCGAGTCGCCCGTTGCCAGGAAGACAGCGAACTCCTATGAGGATATATCGACCGTATCGACCGTGACAGGGTCAATTGGACTGTTATCGACCGGAAGAACATGGCGAGAGCATCACTATTGACTTGTTAGCTCGTCCTCTATATCGTGTAGCCCACGCCTTTTGCGCTGAGAATCTCGACTTACCTCCCGGGGGACCAGCTCTCTCACGCAGGCTCTTCTATCTTGCACCTCTTCTCCCTTCTCGTCTTCTCCTTGAATGTTGAATGTCTAGCTTGTTGTCTCGCAGCGACGTTCGAAGTGTTTTCATCCTTTTTTTTTCTCTCAACCAAAACGCCAAGCGAGCCGCTTCAACTTCACGAGGCCATAAAAACGTCCGCTCAACAACTTCATCATAAGCAAAGCAGCCAGCAAAGCAACAACAATCGCTTTTGGGAATGAGGATTGCCCTATAGATAGCTTCAATTCACTGCACCAAAGACGTGAGATTCGCCAGCAGACCCAGTCTCGCTGAGTAGCACCACCGCCATGTCGGCTCTCTCCAGACGGCTACCACTTCGCCGGGCGAGTGGTTATGGCTCGGTGAGATGTAAGTGCAGCTCGTCTGTTTGTATATAAAGCCGTCATCCTCTGTTTCGTCACTGCTGCGGGAATGTCTGTGTCCGGGCGAGATTTACGGGTAACTGACAGTCTACTTGCAGGCGTACAAACCGCAGCTCAACCAAATTTGTCTTATCCGCTTTATCCCTCCGTTGCGCAATTGATGAAGCAAAACAATATCCCAGCCAACGACGTATCTAAGATCATTGCCACGGGACCGAATGGCCGAATACTGAAGGGAGACGTGCTCTCCTACCTTGGCTCAATCGCAGCCAACTACCCTGCCGACCTGGCCTCGCAGCTTGCAAAGAACTCACGCCTAGATCTGAGCAACATCAAGATAGCGGCGCCTCAGACATCCTCTCCTGCTGTTCCGGCACCTCAGGAACAGTCCCAGGCGAAAGAGGAGGCTAAATCGGTGCTGAACGAAGAAGAAGCGGAGTCTGTCTTTGAAACCAAGGTCGCTGTTCCAGTGTCCTTCTCCAAACTCATCTCTGTTCGACGACGGATCCAGTCCTCTGTCGGCGTTGAAATCCCACTTGCCACTTTCGTTTCTCGCGCAGCTGATATTGCGAATGAGAACCTACCGGTGCAGCCGAGCTCGAAGCAGCGATCATCGGCTCTCTTTGACGAGATCCTAGGCCAGAGGCCCTCTGCGTCCGCACAGATGACGTTTTCCCGTGGGGACTATATTCCAGAGATTGTCTCTCCGGCTGAGTTCTACGGCTCGGAGGTCCAGCAGAGCCCGCGCCAGTCTGCGGATGATATAATCGACGTCTTGACAGGTCGATCGTCACCTAAAAAGAGGACGGTGAGCAGGACGGAGGAGGCGGATGAGGATAAGGAAACGAGCATATTCAGCTTGACGATTCCGGAGCAGGAGGAAGCTCGTGCTATGGCGTTCTTGGAGAAGATGCAAGTCCTCCTGGAGGAGGAGCCGGCTCAACTACTGGCTCTTTAGAAACGTTGACTTTGCATCACGCTGTATACTTCTTTATGTATTAACTACTTTTTTACTCGTTTTTTCATGTCTAAAGATACAGTTCAGGGAATGTTGGTTTTTTATCTCTTTTAATTGTATTTCTAGCTTTCCATAGCTGATAAACTGCTTGCCTACCGGCTGGTTCACTTCTTCTCTTCACTTTTCTTTACCAACTTCATACAACCGATACTTTATAAAGCACATAACATGGAAGTCGACATACAGATATCTAAGGTATATGCAACATGGATGATATAGAATATTAAATACCATGGCCAAGTCAACATGACGGCTTACCGAGATCGATGGCTGGTTTCGAGGCAGCCCATATATCCCCTCTACCTCTCAGGACAACCGAGCACTTTGAGCAAGCGGTACTGTCGAAGAGACACTGTTTGATTTGATTTCCCTCCTCGAAGTGATATGATAGGAGAAATTCGTGAAAGGCCTCATGCCGCAGAAGGAATGGAAGCTGAGCTCTTCGGGTGTCTCTACAGTTATACATAAAGGAGCCCGTTGAAGCCATACGCGATAATGCCACAACTGTCAAGAGCAGTTTAAAGCAATTTGCTGTTTATCTAGAGCTCCAGACAGCAGCAATACGCCGCAATACATACTCTTTGAGAGAATGCCTGGGGGGGTACCTTGCATAGGCAACCCTGGAGTGGTCACAGAATACCAGGTCACACTCGAATATGACATGCAGCCCTGGTACCGACGCCTCATGAATGGGAGGCCCAATTATGGGTAATTATGGGTGGCTGCGGTCAATGTACATCTTCCTTGGACAACAAGGGATGCGGGATGTGGCCTGATATATATATATCGCTCGACCCAGATAGATTTGTGCATCCCATTACCAACACCCTGTTCACCAAGAAAGATACCTAGGACTTTGAAACACATTGGACCGATGTGCTCTACCAAGCTAGTGACGTCCACATCACAGATCCAAAGCTACCCCATGGATCAAACGGCCTACCAAGTCCGTCCGCCGAACAATGCAAAGCTTTACACTCCTTGGCCAAGCGTTACGCATCTAATTCAACTTTAGCTTGCTGATCTGCTGTGGACTAATATTTGATAGTGCCATCTTATGATGTTCACAAGGTAGAAAACCTGGGAAGGACGGTGCACGATAGAATACAGCCAAACAACTCGGATAGAATCCTAAACTAGCCAGCCGCTATCATTCCTATAGGCCCTCCTTATAAAAAAGAATCCACCTAGCCATACATTAGGCTATTCTACCGGTTATCCATGTATGATTATGCTCCAAGCGCCTGTGCCTGGCACATCTTATAATAAATACCCTGCTGTTGAATCAGCTCTTTATGAGTACCCTTTTCCCAGATCTGACCCTCCACGAGAACAAATATTGTGTTCGAGTTTCGGATTGTCGATAGCCGATGCGCTACCGAAATCGTAGTCCGCCCGGCAGCAGCCTTTTCCAAAGCCTGCTGCACTACTTGCTCACTCGTGGAGTCGAGGGCGCTTGTGGCTTCATCAAGCAGGAGAATGGCAGGATCACATAGGAGAGCACGAGCAATAGCGATCCTTTGGCGTTGGCCACCGCTGAAATTAGCACCGCCCACACCGCACACAGTCTGGTATCCTTCAGGCAAGGAAATAATGAAATCATGAATGTTTGCATCCTGCGCAGCCTGTGTGATTTCAGCATCCGTAATTTGTGACTCTGACGGTATTCCTAGTAGCAGATTGTCTCGAATAGTCCCTTGGTAGAGGTGAGTTTCCTGCGAGACCAGTGATATTTTAGATCGATAGGCGGAAACATCTATTGACTGGAGAGGCTGGCCATTAATGAATATGCATCCAGATGTAGCATCGTAGAATCGTTCGAGAAGGGAAACTATGGTCGATTTCCCGCTCCCTGATGGTCCGACCAGAGCAATCTTTTCTCCTTTTCGGATACTGAAATTGAGGCCTCGTAGAGCTGGGCGGGCATCTGACAAATGATATCGGAATTCCACGTTGCTGAATGTGATCATATCCTTATCCTCTTTGCTTTCAGGGAATTGTGAACCGGTAGAGCCATTGATGACTGGATTTGTGTCGCGGAGTTGAAACATTCTATTTGCAGCTCCACGGGCTTTGGTGATACCTAGAAGATAAAAGTTAGCAATGCCATATCGTGCTAATGGTCAGATGGATACCTACTTCCTGTGTACCCAAAAAAGATAGCTGCTGCCTGGCCGCCAGATATAATGGCGGTAAAGACGATAAAAAACTGGGTGCTGTTGTACTCCCCTTGGAGGAGAAGCTTGCCTCCATACCAAAATGCTAACCCCATGCTTAGAAGATAGATGCTGTCTACAAGGGCAAATAAAGACATGGATACCAGTGCTTGTTTGTGAGATAGCTTGAGTGGCTTGTAGAGCTTCTCTTCATAACGCTGGTATACGACATCCTCTACCGCCAACGAGAAGACGGCTTTGATGCCAGAGATTGCCTCTGAGGCATACCTGGTGCTTTCTTCAAAGAGAGCCTTCTGCTGGTCTTGATAGTGATTTTCAAGCCGAATTCGACCATATCCTGCGGCCAACATTGGGGGAAGACTGCCAAACAGAACCACAAGGGAGATTTTCCAGCCGACGACTAAGGAGAGTATGGAAGACGAAACAAGGTCTACCAAAACAATCAGAATAAGACCCAGCGTTACACCCAGCAGATTTTGTAGCCTTTCAGAATTAGTGGCAAGGTGTGATGCCAGGACACTCGGTGCATTTTCTCTTCGTTGGAAGTATGACAAGTCCTGCTTCAGCATGGATAGAAAGTACTGTGATTGGTAGTGTTGGATAACCTTTGTAGCTGTGACAGTGAAGAAGTGACCGACAAACGCATAAGATATCAATGTAGACACCGCAAGCATGAAGAACATTCCTGACCAAAACTCCCCTTCATGTCGTCTCATCTCTCCGCTATATGAAAACACAGTCACCATTTTGGCAAAGAAAATAGCCTGGACTGGGTAGACTGCCCCAGCAGCAAAGCAAGCTATGATTCCAACGATGATATGAAATCGAGACTTGCGCTGCTCTGAGAAGATGATAGACAGGATTTGAAGTATAGAGTATGAAGTTGGAGTGATGCTACTGTTAGGCTTTTCAATATCGGCCTCTGACTTCTCCTGATAAGGCGTCACTGCTGACATTGTTTCGCTTTCGGCGGGTATAATGACGTCGGCTGATTCTTCGTCAACGCCTGGTTCGTCGTCGATATCCAAGTCCTGGTTGGATATCATCTGTTTGTATATGCCATCCTGCTGTCGTAAAGTTTCGTGGTCGCCCTGTTGCATGATCTTGCCATGATCCATGACAACAATCTGATCCGCAGACTTTATTGTGGATAATTTATGGGCAACAACCACGGTTGTACGGTTTTTGCACACTAAATCCAATGCAGCCTGGACAATATTCTCACTAGCGGGATCAAGGGCTGCTGTGGCTTCATCCAAGAGCATAATATCCGGATTGGAGATGATACACCGAGCTATAGCAACTCGTTGCCTTTGACCACCACTCAGGAGATCACCACGTTCACCAACTTTGGTATCATATCCTTTGGGAAGGGTCTCAATGAAGTCATGAATGCCAACTTGCATGCATGCTTCTCGCACTCGACTCCTATCCTCTTCTTCGGTTGATGACCCGTGATGCCGCTCTGAGCCTAGCAACCCATACCGCACATTTTCGAAAATGGTGTCATTGAACAGCGCTGGCTCCTGTTGGACTAACCCAAGCTGCTTCCGCAGCCACCGCTTAGGAAGGGTTCGGATATCTACACCATCCAATGTAACTGAGCCCCTATCTGGATCATACCATCGTTCTATGAGCCCCACAATAGTGCTTTTACCGCTTCCACTGGGACCAACAATTGCAGTTCTTTTGCCGGGCATGATGCGCAGAGTTACCCCGTTGAGGACAGGTACCTCGGGCCGCGCTGGATAACTGAAATGCACTTCATTTAGGACTAATTCCCCAGAGCTGGCTTTCAATGGCCGGGGAAGCGAGTTTAACTCTTCCTTGGGCCTCTGCTGAATTGTGGAGAGCAAGTCCCTAGCCGCTGCAGCAGCTTTGGAAACTTCCCCTAAGGATGGTACTAGGGTCATCAACGCAGTTGTTGCTTGATTAATGCATAAAATCACCCTTTAAAACGAAAAGTCAGCAATCGACATATCTAAAAGCTGAGATTGGAGGTATTATCGGAATGGGCAGAGAGAGATAGGGGTTAACAAACGTTACGACTATACCACCACTGGCAATCTCACCCTTTTCAACCAACACTACTCCGTACCAGAAGGCGAGGGCATAAGCACTGAGTAGGACACAATAATCAACACTATACTGGGCACCGATATAAGGACCCCGTTTACGACTCAGATTCGCAACTGTAGCTAGCAATGAAGAATAACGCCTCGCTAGTTTTTCAACAGCAGAGAAAGCTGTGACGATCTTCATACTTTTTAAAGTCTCCAATGCCAGAATTCCTGCTTGCGCCTGAATCTCTAAAACCCGCGTCTGAATGCGCATGTCTAGATGAAGCGTTAAGAAAGTCGCTGCTGCGAGCGCTGGTATGGACGTCGATGTAACTATGGTTAGTTTCCAACTCTTAACAAACCCGATAATAAATCCAGAGATGAACATGGAAACAGCTTGCATAGTCATCCCGAGACGCTCAGAGAGGCCGTTCTGAACCATTTCTGCATTCTGGGAGATGATGGTTGTGATTGCGCCGGTATCTCGGCTGTCGAAGAAGACAACATCTTGGGCGAGCAGAGTGCGAAGATAACTCTTGCGTAGCGACGCAGTTATCCGAGCTGCCGAAATGGTGAAACAGACGGTATGCACATAAATCAACTTGGAACAGTTAGCTATCAGCTATTCGACTGATGCTGTTGAATGGTGAAGGTGAACTTTTGCATACCGCCGCCTTGGCCAAAAAAAGATAAACAAAATAGAGCCTGGAGAATCGAATATCCGCTAATTAGTTAACCACTTTCTACTTTAAATAGTATATCGTGTATGGCATTGCCATGGATAGCTACTTACGTCGCTGAGTTCACACTCGCCAGAAGTTGACCAGTCTTTGAGCTGTCATGATTATTGAAGATATTGACAAATTGGCCAAACACAAGTGTCATTAGCGGGTGAGTCTATACATTTAATAACTAGGTGTCAGAATATATCTGAGAATCAGGAATTGACATCGACGTAAATAGATACTTACTGTGCCTGCGCCGATGGCTGCTATAGTCCCGAGTATCTGAAGTAACACATCAAAGGAGGTCGAGAATCGCCAGAGCAGCTAGTAACCAGTTAGCATGGTGGTCTCGCCATGTATCTATGGTAGGAATTACCCCGTAGACACGAAATAGAGAGAAAACCTCCCGATCCTCATGCTTGTTGGACCGAGACAGTTTCTGTTTGATAGAGCAGAAGATGGGCATTATAACTATAACTATAGCGATATTAAATGCGAATCCAAATAACAGCTTTCTGGAAGAATGAAATGCTCACCTTTCTGATGGAGAATGGAGTACCTATAGTATAATACAATTCCCAAATAAAAAGGCTCTGAGAATAGACTGGGGTGTCGGCAATTTCGACATATCAATTGACTACTCCGTAATGGCATAGTCACCGGAGGCAAACCAGCATGAGCAGGATTCGAGAAGACATCCGTTGCTGCAGCGTCGCTCAGGGATGGCTAGTTCTAGCCTGCTAGAGAGCCTCCTAATGCCTGTTAGCTGAAAGAAAGCAAATCCCCTGGTGATACGACCCTGCTGAAGGATGCGGTCAGCCCCGAACCCCTTGCCCTTACCGCCGAAGGGTTCGCACGGGAATAACTTTGACGATACAAGACCGGCGGAGATAAAGAGGAAGAACAAGGAATACCTACCATGTAAGCTCGCAGGGCTCATTAAATAAGATTGAGGTGACCAGCCTTTTCCGAGTCGCCTGCTGTTGAGCTCTTGATACAGACTACAATTTTCAGCTCCTTCATCGGTCAAATGACTCGATGCTTGCGATCAGGACCGATGGCTCCTACATTACACAGTAGTTAGTTGTATCTTGAATCGACCTTGCGGTACTCTGTACTGTGTTACCCGGCCCGCTCATGCAGGGAGGATTTTGAACTCTGTAAAATGGGGAATATACCTTGTTAATTAATCAAATGGAGATACGAGTACTCCGTACATACATGTATTTGTATAGTTCTGCACGCTAGTTCGAGAGACAGCCTTAAAAGAGCCACCTAATTTACATACCCTGGCGATCTATAGAGTGAAGGGTGGCTTATACAATGAAAATATACGCCCTCTATCATGTTTATCAGCAATCAATATTTCTACAACATAAAATGAGAGAAAACAGTACCGTAAATGTGAGTATACAGCTTTGGTAGTGAAGGATTTGAAGGCATGTACTGTACAAGGAGTGCTTCCTTCTAGTACATAGTAGGTAACATATGAGATGACCCATGTTCGGATACATACTATGCATATCTGCAATGATCATCCCATACTCACACATGTATAATTGGCCAGGGCTGATAGGTGCATCTTAGCTATGTAAAATGGAAATGGACTGGCAAATCCCGGTGGCTCTTTCTCGCGAGTATAGCATCAATTAACCGATGTTGTGGGTCATCGTAGATAGGATCGCTTTTCAACTTCCGCCATGAGGAGCCTGGGGAACGGCCTCTGATAGTTAGGTTCGATCTGATCCTTATATCGACACGTCATTCTGGAGCCGATGCGGAATCCTGTGCCAATGCAGTATGGAGCCCGAGATGTGATGATGGATTGAGGCGAAAATATTGCCGTGTTTGGGCCAACCTGTGGGTGCATTGGGAGGCTGAGATGCAAGTTTGCCAGGCGGCATAGGTATCGGGGGCATGAGCCTGGATATAAAGCGGCTCATCCTTCTTAGATTATTAGAGGAATATAGAATCAGATTTCAATTTCCAGAATAGAGCCAGTGTTCTTTCACGATATCAATTAGACTGTTTTTTAACATATTCCTTGATAAAAAAAAATTGACTGGCAAAATGGGATCATTCAGTCCGACTGGTGATTGGGACCGGGTGTTCGACAAATCAGTCTGCATCTCATTGCCATTCTCATCATCAGTGATGGAGGCACTGAAAAAAGTTGAGCAAAATCCATCATTTTCAACCGTCCATCTCTTCTATGCCGCCTGGTCAATGGTCCTTTCAACGTTGTCGGGAGAAGACGACGTCTCATTTGGTATTTTTGACCCAGCTGGAAGTTCAACAAGGTTGAAGGAATTGAGACTGCTATCCCTTCAGATGGAAAAGGATATGTCTGTTCATGACCTAGTAGCCATAATTCAGACGAAAGGCGAGGGCGATTCAAGGAGCCCGGGGCTTGAGGATACTGTAGAATCGGTGGCACTGCAGTTTGATTCAAAGTATACATCTAACATGGATCAAGAGTACAGTGCTTTGCACATACAGAAGGTAGCAACTTCTTTGATCCTGGTTTGCAAAGTATATGTTTCTAACGAAAAGTCATATAGTGCAACCTGATAGCATGTCTACGCGACGGACAGATCCTGCAAATAGCTGGAAATAACGCATATTATGAGATATCTGCCATTGAATCCATAGCCTCCTGTACGGCCCAAGCACTCCTCTCGATGGCCTCGGATATCAACCGAAACTTGAGCTCCGTCTGTCTGGTCGATAAGGCCGGACAGCAGTCTATCATCTCCCAGAACAACAGAGCTCCGGATGCGATAGAACGCTGCCTGCATCATCTCATCGAGGACCAAGTCAAAATGCGACCGAAAGACGACGCCATCAGGTTCGGAGGCCGTGTGTTCTCCTACCAGGAAATGTATGAGATGAGCTCCAGGCTGGCGGAGCATCTCGTTGCAAGGGGTATCAAACCTGAAACAGCGGTGCCGATCTGCTTCGACAAGTCTGCACTCGCAATCATATCGATCCTCGCGGTGCTGCAGGCAGGTGGAATGTGTGTTCCTTTGGATCCCTCTCATCCGGCTGAGCGGTTGTTGGAGATAATTGCCAAGTGCAAAGCAAAGCTCATCCTCGTATCTGCAAGTCATGCCACTCTCATCAAGCCCCTAGCTGAGCCAGTCATCGTGGAGGATCAGCTGTTCGCTGAGCTTCCTTCGAGCAGCCACAGCTGTCCAGGGCCGCTGGTGGTTCCTGATAGCGCCGCGTTTGTCATGTTCACGTCCGGAAGTACGGGAACTCCCAAGGGCGTTGTGATTGAACATCGCGCGATTACTACCAGCATCAAGAGCAACGCACGATTCCTGCGTATCGACCATCACACGCGAGCTCTGCAGTTCGCCTCTTACACCTTCGATGTGGCAATCGAAGAGATATTCACACCTCTCAGCCAGGGGGGCTGTGTCTGTGTGCCTACAGAGCTGGAAAGAGACAATGGCCTCGCAGATTTCATCGCGAAACACCAGGTTACCTGGGCCGACATGACGCCCACCGTTGCCAGCGCACTGCTGAAGCCAGAACAGGTTCCTAGTCTCCGGACGCTCGTTTTGGGGGGCGAGACTGTCAGCAGCGAGGTTGTTAAGACCTGGAATGACCAGCTGGACCTAATCATCATGTACGGCCCGGCGGAGTGTGCTATCAACTGCGCCGGCAATGACTCCGTGGACTCTAAGAAAGGTGGCCAGCATCTTGGAGCAGCACTGTCCTCTGTGCTCTGGGTTGTTGATCGCAACAATCATCATCAGTTATGCCCCAGAGGTGGAGTTGGAGAACTGCTGGTCGAGGGGCCAATCCTGGCCAGGGGCTATCTAGGAGAGCAGCAGAAAACTGACGGCTCATTTGTTACGGACCTTAGATGGACTGGTGGTGGCAATGGAAGGCGATTCTACAAGACGGGTGACCTCGTCCGCCATAACTACGACGGATCCTTGGATTTTGTTCGCCGTATGGATGGCCAGATCAAAGTCAGAGGGCAGAGAGTTGAGACCGAAGAGATCAAGGCATGCCTGCGCTCTCTGCTCTCCGAAGATTGGAGCAGTACTGTCGACCAGTTGACCATTGATAAAAGACGCGTCTTATGCCTTTTTATTTGCAATGGATCAGCTATTGGTCATGGTGTTCCCGACCTGGATGAGGGAGATTCAGCCATCGCGATGTGTGAACAGATACCAAACTTCCTTGCTCAGCGACTTCCATCGTTTATGGTACCAAGCCTAGTAGTAGCCCTTCGATTTACTCCTACCCTAGCCTCGGGGAAGTTGGATCGACGAAGTCTTCAAAAAGTTGCTGGGACAGTAGTGGCACAGCACAGTCGGACAGACAGAAGCAATGGAGTCGACGTCGATAACTTTACGGGTACCCAGCAGCGACTTCGACACCTTTGGGCTACTGTTCTAAATGTTCCTCTGGAGACGATAGGGAGAGACACAAACTTCTTTATGCTTGGAGGTGATTCGTTGCTAGCCATGAAGCTGGTATCTACTGCGTCTGCAGCCGGAATACACTTCACGGTGAAAGATTTGCTACAAGGTCCGACATTTGGCCAGCTATCACAATTGGTTGAATCCGGAGCTATAGAAGAACGAAGGCAGTACACCTCAACGCTTACTTCATCATCACTAAAGGATTATGAGGTTGCCAGCGTGGAGGCGGCAGAGCAATGCAAAGTCTCATTGTCTAGTATCGCCAACGTTTTCCCATGTTCCCCTTACCAGGAAGGGATATTTGCTCTCTCTCAAAGCATACCAAACTCCTATATTGCCCGGTTTGTATTCCATATCCCTGATACCCTGGATTGTGGACGATATTTCCATGCATGGAAGGATGTAATCTGCGCCCACGAAGTTCTACGAACACGATTTTTTTACCATGAGGGAAAGCTTCACAATGCTGTTTGGGGCACTGCTATAGATCCAATCATCGCTACTGATCTTCACCAGTATCTTGAAAGTGACCAGTCCCTCGCGATGGATATAGGCTCACCCTTGCTGAGATACGCTCTAGTTGGTGACCTAACTACTACAAAATCACTGGTTCTCACAATTCATCATGCTATTTATGATGGATTTTCACTTGACTTGCTACTGGAAGAGGTAGAACTTCGATACAAGGGAGAGACGATTTCACCTGCACCTCAGTTTAGTGAATATATTCATGCCTTAACAGATCACAACGTTGATTCTGACATTCTCTATTGGAGAGAGTATATGGATGGAGCCATGCCTAAGCAATTACCCAGTGGGACCAATATATCTTACAGCAGAAATGTAAAGTCCATATCGAAAGGAAATGCTAGCTTAGAATCTGCCAACTCCGGTGGAACAACAAGGGCAGCGCTCGTGCGGGCAGCATGGTCCATGGTATTATCTCTCTATACTGTGTCGGAGGATGTTGTGTTTGGAGAGATATTGGCAGGGCGATATATAGATCTTCCAGGCATTGATAAACTTATTGGCCCAACTATGTCAACTGTTCCTGTCCGGGTGAAGCTCTGCCGTGAGCTGACCGTACAGGAGCACTTAGATAACATGGCTCTAGATTATCTCAACTCCATGTCTCATGCGCAGATCGGGCTCCAAGGAATCAGGGCCGCGATATCGAATGGGACATTGTGCGACTTTGATACCCTCCTTGTGATCCAACCAAACCCCTTGGGCCACGGAATCCGGGAATGTCCACTTCCTGCATTCGTCGATGAAAGAGATCGATCAACGTTCTCCGTGACCATGGAGTGTACCATGCTGCAGGACAGCGTGGAGCTAGAGGCTCACTACCTCTCTGACAGGATTGATACGGAACTAGTCAAGTCACTCGTTGATTCATTTGTGGATACCGTTGAGAAACTGAGCAAGAACTTGTTGACAAGAATTGAGGATGTTTTACCTGATCTAATACCAGATACTAATGGGCAGAGGACAACGGAACCATGCCCACCAAGAATAAACCGGTGCATCCACGAAATATTCCAAGACAGAGCATCACAGCATCCTGATGCATACGCAGTTGATTCTACATGCCTTTCCAAACCCATTACTTATTCTGAACTTAATGACCTTTCAGATAAGGTAGCTTTATACCTACAGCATTTAGGAATTCAACCCGGAGAGATTGTGCCTTATTGCCTTTCAAAATCCGCCCAAGTCGTGCCGACTTTGCTTGGAGTTCTTAAATCCGGTGGTGCTATTGTAGCACTTGATCCAAGAAACCCAGCTGAAAGAATGACGGAGATTGTCCAAGATACGAATGCTAGGTTTGTTATCACAGAAGAAGAACAAGCAGACAAACTTGATCACCTACAAGACCATGTTCAAATAATTGATATAAAATCTCTCTTCGGGCATGGCATGTCCGGTGAAGTGAAGCCACAGTCTACTCCGACGAGCCGTTGCTATGTCCTGTTTACATCTGGAAGCACTGGTAAACCAAAAGGAATCGTGATTCAGCATTCTGCATATGCTACAAGTGCTCATTATCATGCCCCTGCTATGGGGATAACTCAAAATTCCAGAGTACTGCAGTTCGCTGCACATACATATGATCTTTGTATCGGAGAAATTTTTACTACGCTCCAGGTTGGAGGTTGCATTTGCATCCCAACAGAGTATGAAAGGCTTAATGAGTTGGCAGAAACTATCACGAGTCTTCAAGTTAACTGGGCCTTCCTTACCCCTACAGTGGCTGCCACACTTGACCCAGAAGCTGTTCCCACTCTAAAGACACTCGTCCTAGGAGGAGAACACGCTACTCGCCGTAACTTTTCCTCCTTTGCCTCGAAATTAAAACTCATCAACAGCTATGGACCTGCTGAGTGCTCTATCTGGACTAATTGCGCCGCAGGAGTTAAGCCCGACGCAGATACAGGGAATATTGGCCCAAAAGTCGGCTGCAATCTCTTCGTGGTAGCAAGAGATGATCATAATCAGCTTCTTTCTCTGGAGGAGGAAGGTGAACTGGTTGTTGAATCTCATGGTCTTGCCTTAGAGTACTTATCAGACCCCCAGAAAACAGCTCAATCTTTCATTGCCAACCCTCCTTGGCTCCCAGTTGATCCGGGTCAAATTAGAAGGATATACAAATCTGGTGATTTAGCGATAGCTAACCGCGATGGCACATTTAAGATTATAGGCCGCAAAGACAAACAGGTCAAATTCCACGGGCAAAGGATCGAGCTTGGTGAGATCGAACACCACATCGCCGGGCATCCCGAGATTAAACATGTTGCTGCATTTTTAATCAAAAAAGGACCTTGTAACAATAGTTTGGTTGCTATTTATACCCCCGTGTTATCAACAGTCTCCGAAGTGCACGCAGATATCAAGCTCGTATTACCAAATTTTATTAATCCAGTAAGACGATTAAATTCGGAACTGGGAGAAATGTTAGGGAAATCTATTCCCTCATATATGATACCGCGGTTTTTTATTCCAGTTCAATATATCCCTCTCATGACGTCTGGGAAAATTGAGAGAGCAACTCTGCAGCGATGGGTTGAGTCTATGGATGAGAAGCTTTTTGCTGATTTCTTGGATCTTACATTGGACACTTCGAGCACCGAGACTCCAAAGACTGACATAGAAAAGATACTTCATCAGATGTGGTGTGATGCTCTTAACTTGAATCATAGCCAAGTGAGCATAAGGAAGTCTTTTCTTGAGTCTGGAGGAGATTCCATAAGTGCGATGAGAGTTGCCTGGCTATGCAAGAAGAGAGGAATAATGGTCACTGTTCAGGATGTCATCACTTGCCAATCTATATCTGACCTTTCGTTGCGAGCATTGCGTCAAGCAAAGGATACGCAGGTAACGGAAAGAAATATCGACTTACACCCAGTAAACCCCAACATCCCATTCCATCTATCCCCGATACAAAAACTTTTCTTTGCTTCTGCAAAAGAGACGAGGTTGGAAGAACTCAATCATTTCAACCAGAGCTTTATGATGGAGGTGCGACGAGAGATATCCCCTAATAGTATTGAAAAAGCTGTCATAAAGCTTGTCCAATTGCATGATATGCTACGTGCTCGATTTCAACAACATTCTTATGGCATCTGGGCACAGGATACCACCAATACTATTGAGAACTCTTATAGATTCAATTCGCATACTTTAGACGGCCTCCACTCCATCAGATCATTAGTAGTGGACAGTCAGCTAGCCCTCAACATCTTGCATGGACCTCTGATTTCATTCGATATTTTCCATATCACAGGTCGGCAATACCTCTTTGCTACAGCACACCACTTAGTGATAGATTTGGTGTCCTGGAGGGTTATATTTGATGACCTGGAAGAACTACTAAAAAATCCAATGAGTCAAATTCCGAAAGGAATTCCCTTTCAGCAATGGCTAAATTGTCAGAGAGATCATGCATTCAACAAGTTAGACCCGCCAAATATGCTACCAGAGCTACCACAAAAACCTAGACCTGCGTTCTGGGGAACTGAGTGTGAACAAAATATGTTCAAAGATACAAGAGAAGTTTCTTTTGAGATGAATGAGTTACAAACGGCTCATATACTTGAAACCTGTACCAAGGAACTTGGAATAACACCTTTGGACGTCTTTAACGGCTGCGCCCTTTACTCATTCAATGTTGTATTCCCCGAGAGGATAGAACCAACCCTCTTCAATGAAGGCCATGGGCGTGAACCTTGGTCAACCGATATTGACATAAGTCGTACGGTAGGCTGGTTTACCACGATGTTCCCAATTACGGTTCCTCGAACTACCAATCATGATGTTCTTCTCACCTGTATGGCCGCTAGAGATTACCGCACGAAACTACATTCAAATGGCTGGGGTTATTTTACATCCCGATTTTTACATCCTGAAGGAATTGAGCTATATGGTAGCCAATACCCAGAAATCCTATTGAACTATTATGGCCTTTACCAGCAATTTGAGCACCCTAATTCCCTCTTTCGCCCAGCGGAGCAAAATTTCTATGACCTAGATGTGAATTCTCTTTCCCATCGATTCTCTTTGGTCGATATTTTGATTGGCGTGGAGAAAAACCGTTTACACTTTAATATGATCTTCAACAAGCATATGAAACATCAATCCCGGCTGGATGAATGGGTTAATGCTTATCGGAGAAGCATTATTCAAGTTATTGGCATAGTTACAATGAAGCTAACGACCGGAAACTCCCTAACTTATCCAATTGCCCCGGAAGATCGAACACAATTACACGCCCTACGTGTAGACCCAGAAACTATGGTTGAGGATATTTATCCTTGTTCGCCAATACAAGAGGCTATTCTAAACAGCCAAACCGAAAACCTGGGATTCTATCGAGTCAAGTATGTATGGAGGCTTACTTCATATTCTGGGATTGTTGATAGATGTCGTCTTCTGTCCGCTTGGGATACCCTTGTGGGCATTCATTCTGCACTCAGAACAGTGTTCTTAAATACTGATTCCAATCAGTGTTCGTACTACCAAGTCGTAATCCGGTCGGATTACGTGAGGGAAATCAAAGAAAATCTACCGTACAGCATTGATTTCACCACTAAAAAGAATGAGGATTGCATAATTTGCACGCTGAATATCTCCCATGCTTTAATAGATGGAAGTTCAATCTCCATCATACTGAAAGACTGGGCTTCGGCTTATGATGGTGGCCTTCAGCAAGGAACGAGACCTTCATACCGCAAATATATTGACTACCTAAGTTCAAAGTCTGAATTTGACAGTGCTGCGTACTGGAGGCGATATCTGAAAGGTGTACGGCCGTGTATATTCCCAACAACATATACCACCGCCAGCCAACCGAGAAACATTCACTTAACTCATTCGACTACACTTTGTTCAAGTGCTACGCTTACTAGCCTTTGTCACGCAATTGGGGCCACCTCAACTTCTGTTCTTCTATTTGTCTGGGGTCTTATAGTACGGCACTATGTTGCGATTGATGAAGTATGTTTTGGCTACCTTGTATCTGGTAGAGATCCCTCCGTGGAAGGTGTGGACAGTATTGTTGGCCCTTTTGTACACATGCTTCCTTGCCGATGGAAAGCAATCGCTTCTGATACTGCCAAGGATGAAGTTGAAAGACTTCAAATGAATTTCTTTGAAGCATTGCCTTATCAAGAGTTCAAATTGTCCTTGATGCAAAAGGAAGCTGGGCTTTCCGGAAATCCACTGTTCAATACAGCTCTATCATTTCAACAGAATGCCAGTACATCCCAAAAGCTCGATTCATCCATTCATTTCGAAGATGTTGGCGGAGCGGACCCTTCGGAGTATGCCATTGCAGTGAATTTCGAGGATGACGGAAAGGGAATTCAACTAACTCTTAACTTCTGGGAGAGTGAAATAGAGGAGGACAAGATATCTAATATTGCATCGATGCTGAAAATGGCTTTAAATACATTTTCTGAAAACCCAAAAATCACTATCGCCAGCCTCGATGATCAGTTGCTCAAAATGATACATAGGGAATACATGAAGCGTCAACCACAACTTATCATCCAACCAGACAAGACATGCACTCACTTACTAATTGACAACCATGTTCGAGCGTTCCCCCATTCAGAAGCTATTCGCACAACATCTTCCCAGTTTGCATATTCTGAGCTACACGACCTATCTTCCAGGCTAGCGAGCTTAATATGCAAAGAAACTCCAGCCCAGGATACGGTTGTGGCATTAGGCTTTATAAAGGGTCCCTTGACAGTCATTGCCATGTTGGCTTGTCTGAAGGCAGGCCGTCCGTTCCTTATGCTCGACCTGAGGCAGCCAGTAGAAAGGCTGGAGTATATGTTAGCAGTGTCTGAAGCAAGCCTCCTTTTGTATCAAAAAAATTCCGCTGACTACTCCTTTGATGCCTTCCACACCGTGGCCAAGGCCAGTGTCTCATTCGATGTAATAAGAGCACTACCACAGCTGGAAGAGGAGAAATACTGTATGGATCCGAACGTCCGTGCCTATGTTATCTTTACTTCTGGTAGCACGGGAAGACCTAAGGGAATCGAAGTCACAAACAAGACGCTCTCAAACGGAGTCACAAATCATGCAAGAGCATTAGGGATAGAAAAATCGTCACAGGTATTGCAATTTTCATCCTACAGCTTTGATGCTAGTATTGTTGAAATTATCACAACTCTGGCGACAGGGGGGGTGGTCTGTATACCAACTGAGGTAGAACGGGAAGACCTTCCATCTGCCATCAATTCTCTCTATATAGATACCGCCATAATCACACCGTCTGTTGCAAAGATTCTACAGCCAAACGAGATACCAGGACTGAGGACTCTAGTCTTGGCTGGGGAAGCCATGACAGCTAGTATTCTCGAGATGTGGGCACCCAAGGTCAAACTAATTAACGGCTACGGGCCATCAGAATGTTGTGTTTGCTGCTCTGCTAGTGAAATGAGTGTGAACTCGGATCCACGGTGCATCGGACGGCCACTAGGGAGCCATATATGGATTACCAACTCGCAAAATCATGACCTACTAATGCCTGCTGGAGAAATTGGGGAACTGGTGGTACAAGGGCCCATTCTTGCACAGGGCTATCTTAAGGACCCTGAGAAAACCTCTGATGCCTTTGTCATTGAACCCAATTGGATGAAGCTGATCCCAAACCCGACTGGAACTCCAAGACGCATCTACAAAACAGGTGATTTAGCTTGTTTGCAAAGGGATGGGACGCTCCTATTTATTGGGAGAAAAGACACACAAGTCAAGATACGAGGCCAGCGTGTGGAACTAGGAGAAATCGAGCAGAGGCTTTCGCTCCTATACACTAACTCGAACTTGATTGCAGCGGTTCCCACAAAAGGCCTATTCAAAAAGCAAATTGTCTGCATTCTCCAGGTGACAGAAAGCCTTACAGTAAAAGATACCGGCAATGATATCATTCCCCTACAGGCACACTTAGTGACGGAGGTACGTGAACAAGTCAGCAGAATTTGTTCGAATCTAGAAACAAAATTGCCATCGTACATGATTCCAAGTGTATGGCTCGGCTTCAGTAAAGTCCCACTTCTGCCTTCCGGGAAAATAAACCGATCAATCCTTCATTCATACCTGAACGAAATAGGTGAGGAGATGGTCTCTCTGGTTCGGCTTGATAATGAACCGGAAGAGATTGATTGCGATCGCCCTCTAAATGAGAGAGAACTACATTTCCAGCAACTATTAGGCAAACATTTCGGTTGTGATTCAATGTATATTGACATGACCAAATCGTACCTAGCACTAGGAGGAGACTCTATCTCTGCTATGAGGTTCATTTCATCCTGCAAAAATGAAGGCAAAACGTTTCGTCTTCTCGAACTGCTCCAAGCCCCGAATATGCTTCACATGGCACGGATGACCTCTGAAGTTATTCCGGTGAATACTTCTAGGGCTAGCAGCATGGCTATTCACAAGTCTGATACTGGTCATTCCACGAAGAACTCAGAGGAAGCAATCTTTCCATGTTCAGATACGCAGATTTCAATCTTGAAGAGCCAGGTTAGAGACCCTCGCCTTTATATTGCAAAGGCTGTCTGGTTGTTTACCACCCATGATGGATATCTCGACGTCGGCCGGTTACGCGATGCCTGGATTGAATGTGCCAGAAAGTCAGATGTTTTGAGGGTCAGGTTCTTCGAGGTTGATGGAACATATAAACAAATCATTAGCCCAGAATCGCTCAATGATCCAACCATTATAGCGTCGGAGAGCGCAGACCCGTTGACAAGCTTAGTTAGCCACGGCCCGATTACCTGTGGGGGAAATTCACCACCGTGCCGATTTTTGATCATGCCAGTCGATAAAAAGAATGCTCTCTGCCGCCTTGATATCAACCACGCCATTACTGATGGTACCTCAATCTCAATACTCCTTGACAACCTGCTAAGTGCTTATCATCGTAGACCGACATTCACTGAGGATGGATTTCGACAGTACATCACACGCTGTTTAACCAACACTACCGGCGATTCTTCCATATACTGGCAGAAGTATATGAAGTCCATGCCAGCCTGCAACCTGAACGGTTTTAGGCAGAAAGAAGCTTCGCATATTCATACTCTCGGCTTTGACACCTCAGCACAGGCAGCTGAATCATTCTGTAGGCAGCGTGGCATTACACTCTTCAGCCTTCTAGGACTGGTATGGGCAATGACCCTTTGCGCAGAGACTGGATCTTACGACGTGAGCTTTGGATATATAAGTTCTTGCCGAAATGAGCCCTGGGAGGAAGACATTATGGGACCTCTGATCGCATGCCTACCATGCAGAAAACATCTTCGTGGCGCCGAAACCATCAAGGACGCACTGAACGATCTGCAAATAGACTTCGCGCATGGTTCACAGGCCGGCCAAGAAGGCTCGGGACTTCGGCTATTTGACGCCCACTCTCGAGCGTTTAATACGCTTATCAATTTTCGAAACTTCGCCGAAAGTTCCCATACCGATATAACAGACATTAAAGTCAAGCATGAGTTCAGTCAGGATCCAATGGATGTAAGTTCCGATATTTGTCCATTGTCATGAAGCTCACTAACCTTTTTCAAGTTCGATGTCGTGTTCAGTGGTCACGTAGACAAAGATCGGATAGTTCTTGAACTATCAACCTGGCGCGAAAGCGATGAGGCGACTCAGCAGTTGCTAAGGACCGTGCAGGACATCTTTAAGCAGATAACCCAAGAAAAATCGGCTACAATAGATGGTATCTTGAAGTCCTTCAGAAAATAGCCGCCGCGATAGACATGTGCAGTGTGCATTCCACATTACATACCCGTGAGTGACTGCTCGCCAAAAGACAAGAATGGAATTTCACCAGGTATTTGTCTATTTATTATCTCCTAGGTTAAATGTGGGTAGCTTGAATAGACTGGAGTTACGATGATATATATAATATGTAAACTTGTCCATCCTCACTGAAGTACCAAGGCAAGGTAAACTACCAAGTACTTGCATGATATCAAGAGCGTAAAACCTAGGAGTCAGTTATTAACTTGCGATGCCTTTGTACCAACAAGCCCTCGAGCCTCAGGGGCGTGAATAAATAAACATAAATGAGCAAGAGTAGCAAGCAACGACCTTGTTGCTGAACGCCCGGGAACACCATACAATTGACCCTCCCCACCTCTTTTTTTCCCATGCTAAAACAGTACAGAACCCCGGTCCTAAAGTGCAATGCTGATATAAAATGGTTGAACGTTATTCTCATGCTAGATCGTTTCGTGTGGCTCATAAAATGTACGGAAAAGGCAGGAGACCAGGTGTGACCGAAAACAACCTGGAGCAAACTGGTAAATGTGCGGGTGCCATGTTGACTACCGTATTGTCGAATAGCTGGCTAGCCTGCTTTCCCGATCTTGCTGTTTCAGGCCTTTCTTATTAAATATTTTCCAGAACCGCAGGGTCTCGTCACCAGCACCAGTCACGACCGTCTGGCCATCGGGACTCATGGCAAGATAAAGGACTCGGAAAGTATGGCCGGTGAGTGAGACGACCTGCTCCATCCGTGGATATTTCCATACCACAATCTGATTCTGGCTGTAGCCATGAGTGCTGACAATCTCATCCGAATTCTTGGACCACGCTAAATTGCACACTTGGCTTCCTGTATCGACTTCTTTTATTAGAGAGCCTGTTGACGTGTTCCAGAATTTAATTGTCCGGTCCGCAGTTCCTCCCCCAGAAGCCAATAGGGAATGTTGATGTGGAGACCATGCTATTGCCTTGACAGCGGCAGTATGGTCTGTGAATCGGTACAAAGGCGCTTCGTTAAGCTTGTCCCAGACTATTAGTTTATTGTCGTTACCGCCAGAAGCGAGTTGGCCGTCATCTGTGTTCCACTTGAGGCCACAAACTTCTTGCTTGTGACCTGCAAGTCGGCGAAGATACTGGTCGGGAGAGCGAACATCTCGATGAAATATGAGACGATCACGGGACCCTGATGTGAGGATGTGATCGTTCCAGGCTAATGCCCCTACACGGAGAGTATGGCCTGTCATCGTCCGTAGTCGGCGACAGTGCTCGGCATCCCAAATCTGAACCAGCCCTTTACCCGTCCCAATGGCAAGGTGTGTTCCCTTTTGTGTAAAATCTGGGTTAGCGTTACATCCTGGTTAGCGTTTGATGAGTGAAGTCTTACTCGTTGGATCCAATTGACGCTGGTCACCGTATCATCTTCCAGTTGACACAGTTTTGTAACATGGCCGTTGATTGAATCCCACATATAAACTGCAGATCCTAGGCCAACACCTAATATATTGCTACTACCCCAATCTACAAGATTTAGGTAGAAATCGTCTGTGAGGTCAGGAGCATCTAAGACCTTAAATGGTACTTTGTTCACATATCGAGGCTGTTTTCGGAGACTTTGAAGAATTTGTTGACTGTCAAATCGGATGGGGGAGAGGCTATACAAGTCGGAGCGGGCATCGAAATTAGGGCCATGCTGGCCGCGTGGTGTTCGAGATGGGGTAGGGTTCCCAGAAACATTTCTTGGGGAGGTATAGGAGAGTAGATTCTTGCTGGGGGTGGAAGGAGTGATGCTAGCCGGGGGTAGAGACATAGCAACCTTATGTGACTGAGGGGTATTAGAGCTGAAATCCCTAGAGACGCTGGAACGGCCGGGGATTGGATTAGGTGAGAGAGAGTGTATGTCGGGCTGAGGAATGGTAGAGCCGAAGAATTCGTTTCGAAGCACCCTAGAGTACGTCCGATTGGCCTCCTCCGCTGTAGATGTAAGAGTAAGCAGGGTGACGGCAGATAGTGGTCGTGCCAGGACTTACTTTTCTGAGAGTGAATTTCGCCGTGGGTTGACTTTTTCTTTGTCTTTGACGGGGTCGACGGACAGCCGTCTTCATGAAGTAAGCTGAATCCAGCTTGTAAGTCTTGTCCATCACGATTGGGTATAAACCTGGACGCATTCGTTAGCAACAATAAAGACCAATGGAATGGAATGGGTATGAACAAGGGTGCGCCAGAGAGGAGGATAGACAAAGCATGTGTACATATAGCAAACAATGGCTCATCTGGCACATACCTATCACCATAAACCCTTTGTCGTTTCCGGCTTGGGCTACTGCCCGGTGTTCTTTCACGCTGACGGCCGGCGTCTTCAAAGTCTTGGAGCGCTCGTGCCAGCGCGTCCGCGTTTACCGGTTCAGACCCAGGTCGAGAGCGCTGCCTGGTGGACCGGAGCTTGTTCTGTGTCGACTTGGACCTAACCCCATGGCTTGGAGGGGAGTTGGAGGCCGGCGGGGAAATGGGTTTCCTGTCCATACTGGCGGCAAGAGTATCTGCTTTGGCTCTACGGGAAGTGGATGCGCGGGTGCGACCTGTTCCATGTGCGGTTTCCGCCATTCCTCCCCAGGCGTTCCCTGAGAGGAGGGGAGCTCTCTCTCGCTTCCAATCGATAAACACTGGCGATAACGAGGACCGAGCAACAGAACGGGTGTCGAGGCATAAAACGACAGCTCCCGCGGACGGCGAACAGGGACTATAAGACTAGATGTTTGTATGCGACGGAAGCGCGACAGCTGTATCCTCCCCCTTCTCTGCAGATGTTGTGTCCGTTCAGTTTGGCGACGGGGCAATAGGCGCTGTTGCTGTGTGGACTGTCGCGACGGGGAAAACGAACATCGAAAAGGGGGCTGGGGCAATGGCGACTCTGCGGCTGGCGGTTTTTTTTTTTTCTCAAACACGGACGAACGGTACAGGCGCAATTCAAAAGGCAGCGTTGACCAAACGCCGGCGAGCTTTTTCTTCTTGTTTAGAATATTTTCTTCTTGTATTTATTTATTTGTTATTAAGAAACGAAAAAAAAAAGCGACATCAAAACAAGCTTCGTCGCCCAAAGGGGAAACTTCCAAAAGGGGAAAGGAAAAACAAAAACCCGCGAAAGTCACGCGTCGGGGGCGCTAGTCCTAAAAGGGATGGGACCCTTCCCCGGATGAGTCAGCATTTAGTCATCTACTATCTTAGTCAGCGCGAGGATAGACGGCGCGACAAGGAACATGGAAGAAAACACCGAGAAGATCTTCTAGTTGGATGATATAAAGAGGAGAACGAGGCCGCTGTTACGTTTCTTTTTTATCCCTGCCTTGTTCCTCTCGCGTTGGATGTCTGTCGCTCTGCTGGACGCCTGTACCGTTGCTCGTTGCATCCGTCTGCCTGTCTTCCTACCACAGAGACCTCGTAGAGTCGCCTCTCTGCTCCCTCCATCTCCACTCTCACGCTCCTCACGATCAAGAACCCTAGCCATCATGATCACCGCTGACGAAAAGGCGCGGGCAAACGACTTTTTGTCCTTTGTCAACGCTTCTCCAACCCGTAAGATGCTGCTCGTTCCCTGATTCTTAATGATTGTAACATGCTGACGGTCAATCGAAGCGTTCCATGCTGTGGCATCTGCAACCAAACGCTTCACCGACGCCGGATTCAAGGAGATCAAGGTAGTTCTTCTCAGGTAGCCCTCGTCATGATTTAAGTCTAACACTGTAATTACATAGGAGAAAGACTGCTGGTCAGACGTTTGCAAGCCTGGAGGCAAGTACTATGTCACCCGCAATGGCTCTACCATCATTGCATTTGCTGTCGGTAACAAGTGGAAGGTCAGTTTTTTATGAACAAATCACCCTCTAAAAAGCTCCATAGAGGAAAAAGACACCGTTTTTAACATTTACCAAAGCCTGGCAACTCAATTGCAATGATTGGTGCCCACACGGACTCTCCATGCTTGAGAATCAAGCCTGTTTCCAAGCGAACCAACGAAGGTTTCCTCCAGATCGCTGTAGAGCCCTACGGAGGTGGCATATGGCATACATGTATGCATCTTTTTCCTAGTATCCGTCGTATTCTTCCGTGCTGACCGATAGGCCAGGGTTCGACCGCGATCTCGGTATCGCAGGTCGTGTGATGGTAAGACAACAGGATGGCACCATTGCCTCCAAACTGGTCCACATTGATAAGCCAAGTAAGTTGGAAGAGCTTACACTTCACCGATCATTATTCTAACCGCGCTCAGTCCTCCGTATTCCAACTCTGGCTATTCATCTGGACCGCACAGAGACCTTTGCCTTTAACAAGGAAACCCAGCTTGTTCCAATCTGCGGCATGGTAGCTGCCGAGCTCTCCAAGACCAATGATAGCCCCAAACCTGAGGATTCAGGAGACTCGGTATCCCCGTTCAAAAAGATCACTGAGCGCCACCACCCTTGTTTGATCGAGCTCCTGGCCTCCGAGCTCTCTGCCAAACCGGATGACATTATTGACTTCGAGATGCTTCTATACGATACCCACAAGTCATGCCTTGGTGGTATGATGGACCAGTTTATCTTTTCCCCGAGACTTGATAACCTCAACTCCTCCTTCTGTGCCACCGTTGCTCTAGTCGAGTCTCTTGCGAAGCCCTCGGCCCTGGAGAACGAGACTGCCATCCGCCTGGTCGCCCTCTTCGACCACGAAGAAATCGGAAGCAGAACCGCTCAGGGTGCAGACTCAAACATCCTCCCAGCCATCATCCACCGTCTGTCCATGCTTCGCGTTTCTGGCAGCAATTCCGACGAAGACCTCTCTACTGCATATGAACAGTCTCTTTCCACCTCCTTCCTCGTCTCTGCAGACATGGCTCACGCCGTTAACCCAAACTATGCCTACAAATACGAGTCCGAGCATAAGCCAGAAATCAACAGGGGACCAGTCATCAAAGTCAATGCCAATGCCCGCTACGCCACCAACACTCCAGGAATTGTGCTGATGCACGAGGTTGCTCGCGCGGCCGTTGCAAAGAGTGATATTTCCTCGGATTCTATCGTACCAATGCAGTTGCTGGTTGTTCGCAACGACTCTAGCTGCGGCAGCACCATTGGGCCCATGCTTTCAGCCGCTCTTGGTTCAAGAACCCTCGACTTGGGAAGCCCACAGTTGAGCATGCACAGTATTCGAGAGACGGGTGGAACAAAGGATGTTGCCCTTGCAACGCGACTCTTCACCAGCTTCTTCGAGAACTACACCGCCTTGGCACCTAAAATCCTCATTGATTAGTTAGGCCGTTCCAGGTGTAAGGCCGCGGAGTATACAAATCTCTGCGGGGCTCAACAACGATGGATTCCACTGTCTATAGCTTTTCCATGTACACTTATCCCACGCCACTACTGAACGTGGATAGGTAGATTTGAACATATGAAGTAAATCCAAAAAACGAGTCGTCTCCCAAACTAGCCTAAGATATAAAAACATCTTAAACACTTTTCTCCGCAAATACTTCAGCCACATGCTGGATAGTTAGCTCCTTGCCTTCGTCTCCTTCATCCTTCAGGACCTTGACGTCAGTTAGCAGAGCCCTTCCCCTTCCAATCTCCTCCAGAGTTTTCCCTTCTCTTCTCCGCCTTTCTATTTCCCTCGCAGCCAGCTCTTCCTCATCTCTTTCTTCCTGTGACATTTCTGGCCCCAGAAGTAGCAAGATCAACAAAAATACCCATACAGCTCCCATAAAGATAGCCATGACTTTCCCATAATCGAATCGTTTCTTCCCATGTGGTCCATCGGGTAATGGGAACTTCTCTCCAATAACAGCCTGAATAGTCGCTGATGCAGATGAAGCCAAATTTCCTAGTTGATAGGTCAACCCCACCAGCAGACCGCGTAACGGCTTAGGGGAAAGTTCGGAAAGATAAATGGGGATAGGGCCCCAGACACCACCGATAAAGAACTGTTGCCAAAAGGATGATGCGATCAAGGCGTTCGACCTGGGCAGAATATATGCAGGTAAAATAGCGGCTCCGAAAAAGCAGCTGATGATCATTGTCAGCCGTCTTCCAAGGAACGTGCTAATCCATCCTATCAGTGTACCGCCGATAACTGTGCCTAGCATACCTACCACGATGATAACCGTAGTTTGGGTTGGGCTTTTCCCTACTTGGTCTTTGAGGAAGGTTGGATAGAAATCCTGGCTGCCGTGGGAGCATGAGTTGAACCCGGTCATGATTACGACAAGATAGGCCATCAAAAACCAGTTCTCTTTTAGCCCGGGACTAGAGTCCTTCCAAAAGGCACGCAGTCCACTCATGCGGGATTTCTGTATAGAATTAGAGCCGGCAGAGACATCCTCCTCTGCTAACATTCGCGACTCGCGCTCTGCCTTCATTACTTGGAAATGACGGGTCTCGGGAAGGCAGTATCTCCAAAGAATGATGAAAATCGGGGGTCCAGCACCAAACCAGAAGAGGCTCCGCCATCCGAACTTGGTGGTTGGCACCAATGCTCGATAGAATATGGCCGCGAGCATATAGCCTGTGCCATAGCCTTGTTGGAAAAGGCCTGACGCAATTCCGCGAGCATCATATGGCAAATCTTCCATAGCAGTTGCTGCCGCGGGACCAAATAGACCTAACGAATTCTAAGTTAACAAGTTGCCATTCAGTCCGTGTATCAAAGGTCACAGCTTGTCGCAATGCCTACCTCCCATGGCAATCCCATACAACGATCTAACAGCCAAAAATTGGGACAAATTCTGGCAAAACCCTGAACCCAGCTCAAGGACAATGAATAGTACCAAATTTACGATCATTGGCCACTTCCTCCCATATCTATCCGCGAAGAGCCCAAATATAATAGCACCAACAGAGCGTAACATAAGCGTCACGGTTAACCCCTAGTTATGCATAAGTTAGTCAATGTAGCACACGTCTATAAGAGTCCACTAACCCATGACACCTCCGAATTTGTAACTCCAAATTCGGTGGCTATCTCCGTTATCGTGAGAGATACGGTGAAGAAATCAAATGCATCCCAAACCCAAGCGATAAATCCGACGCTAAACATAAGCCAGTGGTGGCTATCCAGCTCGCGAAGGATATGGTAGGGATTCTTCAATTCAGTCTTTATCAAAAAATGGCCATCAGCAAAGCCACTTTCCCGCAGCTAGTATCATCAAGTAAACAAACAACGGCGCAGGAGTCACCTTCGACGGTTTCAGGCTGGAGATTCGCGTCATAAAATAATGACGAATTTGCTGTGACGAGTAAAACCATCCTGCTGCCATATGATTCTTCATGTTGGTTTGAATTGCCCGCTTAGAATTTATAGTGCAAGATTAGAAACCAGGACACTATTCAAATAAACACCAGAGAGGAGATTTTATAGTCCATGGCGGCGTAAAAAATATTAAGGCGAAAGTTTTGATTTAATAGTTTGACAGGTCGATTAGGACGATCTACCGAAGAGGCAAGCAAGCCACCTGTACGCCTCCCGAGATCATCGTTAACGCCCGCGACGTCGTACCACGCGTAGCCAGGCGTACTTAATGCTGGAGATAGCCGAGTTTAAAAGGGGGACACAGTAGTTAACATCCTGGGTCACTCCCGTTGCATGTGCTCCGTCTCCCCGCAAATTATCACGGCAAATACTTCGGGACACACAAAGTTCCAGACGGATCAGGGAACAAGATGGCTCGCAAATCAGGGTTCAGCAATTTCAGGTAGCGTGGTCATCGCTCTCCTTGTTGGCCGGCGTCGCAGAATATGTACTACATAGTATGTAGATTCGTATCTGTTCCTTTCCAGAGACGGCCTGCAACCAACTTCCTAGCCAAGCTTAGGCGGTTGAGGGCATGGGCCCCGCACTTTGTATATTAGTTCTCATATCGGCGATGACATGTAGACAGATATCGCAGCATCCTGGCGTGTATAAATGTCCATGTAGCTTAGCCTGTGATGGCCGGTTAGCCTCCGTAGTCCTTCACAGCGTCAAGACAGCGAGATGGATAAAACAAGGTGAATCCAAGGCTCCAACTAACCATAACGAGTATATGTCATCTTTTATTTGTATTCTTATCGTCGTCGTCCGGGCGATGTTGCTGTCGTTGAAGCCTTTAGGCGAGGAAAGCAGTAGAGTTTCTTAAAGTGGGATGGAATTTCGACGTTCGACTTTCAGCTTCAACTTTGACCAAAACATCTCCAGCAGCGAGTTAGCTAGACAACTTTATCTGTTGGCCGTCGATTGGTCGGGATAGACAGAGAATGGCCTCGCCTCAGTATCTGACCGGCGATAAGGCTGCTATTCGGCAGTTCGTCGATAAATTTGACGTATGTATCCAGTTCCCCGATGGCATATGTGTATGCACGGTATTTAATATCCTGGAAATGTGTAGGCCTTTCTATTTGACTGCGATGGTTAGTTACCCAGACGCCCCCTGTGCCTGTATCCCCATGCAATTGACGGATGTTTTCTAAATGGTGGGCAGGAGTGCTCTGGTCTGGCGATACTCCGTTCAAGGGAGCCGTTGAAACGTTGGACATGCTGAGGAGCAAAGGTAGCCTTTCATCCCTCACAAATTCCATCGGGCGTTTCTAACTCCCTGCTAGGAAAGAAGATTGTCTTTGTTACCAATAACAGCACCAAGTCAAGAGTAGACTATAGAAAAAAGCTGGGTGGTCTGGGGATCAAGGCCGAAGTTGTAGGTGAAGACAGTCCCGTTGTAGCGCTGGAGGACAGCTGACGTTGACCATCATACAGGAAGAAATATTTTGCTCATCGTATAGTGCTTCGGTATACATCTCACGTATCCTAGAATTGCCGGCAGATAAGCGCAAGGTGTTTATCCTGGGAGAATCTGGAATCGAGCAAGAACTAGCCGCCGAAAATGTTTCCTACATCGGAGGGACGGACCCAGCATACCGACGAGAAATCACGCAGGAGGACTATCAGAAGATTGCTTCTAATGACCCTTCTTTCATGGACCCGGAAGTTGGAGTCGTGTTGGTCGGTTTGGATTTCCATATCAACTACCTCAAACTGGCTGTCGCATTGCACTATATCCGGCGAGGAGCCGTGTTCCTCGCAACGAATATTGACAGCACGTTGCCAAATTCGGGTTCCTTGTTTCCAGGCGGTGGCTCGATATGCGCCCCGCTCGTTGCTATGCTAGGAGGCCCAGGAGTACCAGGTGCAGAACCTCTCTCGCTGGGAAAGCCTAGCCAAGCAATGATGGATGCTATCGAGGGCAAGTTCAAGTTTGACAGAAAGAAAACTTGCATGGTCGGCGACCGAATAAATACGGACATCAAGTTCGGCCTTGACGGTGGCCTTGGTGGGACACTCGCCGTATTGACCGGCGTGACCACGAAAGACGAACTTATCGCCTCGTCCATAGCCCCGGCTGCTTATGTTGATGCGTTGAGCGATTTGTTGGAGGGTGCATAGACTATTATACATTATACATTGCCTAGAATTCGTGTTTGTATAGATCAAATAGAATTACACTGATTACTCCAGACAGCTTCCTATATAAATGTCATGGATCTATTTATACATGTCGAACATCAGCTCACCAGACCACCAAGCAATAACTTACACAGAACAGTTCGTATCAATTCATGCTAATTGACGACTAGCAGGATATTCTTCCCCTTCACTTCGTTCCATAAAAAACGACTTCAGTCGCCAGAGGTCTAGGACGAATAAGGCCGACTTTCTTGTTGCGGGTATGAAATATAGAGCGCCCCCTTGAAAAACTTCCCCGAGTTGACGTACTGCTTGAAGTTCTTCGAGGGATAGCAGCTTCGTCAGGTCAAAGACAGGAACTTGCGACCTCTGCACAGGAAGCTCAACTAGATCGAATGATTGCTTATCCGTTGCTGTTGAAGTGGTGAAATCAGAATCACCATTATGGTCTAAATTCGACTCCGCGAGGTGGTCAGGGCGAAGAATCAACACTACTCCACTCCTAATATCTCTCAGCTCTGGAAGCTGCTGTAACGAGTCCTCTAACGCTCCTTGGGTTATGGGGTATTCGGTGTTATTCAACACGGTCCAAGTATCCTGCCTTTGTTGTTTTTTGGTTTTCGGCGTAACTTGCAATATTTTCTTTAGGCTTCTCAACACTTGCCTCCTCATTGCCTGAAGTACATGGTTGGCCATGTCTCCTCTCCAGACTAGCGTTTGCATAGCGTTCTTAGAAAGTGGCCCTTGGGGTTGTTTCCATGAGGGCGGGACTAATCCTTTGCTGATATTGGAATATTTGGGATTAGACAGCATATTTAACAATGTTCCGCTATTCGTAACCCTGACTAATGGAAATTCCTTCCTTGGTTTCGAGGTGTTATCAGCACCTACAGCAGGGTTGCCATCGTCTGCAGGAGGGCTATCGTGTTCAGTAGTGACCCTGGACCCTGCGTCGCCAGTTGCTTCTCTCAACTCATCCTCAAGCAGCGAAGTAGGAAGTAACCACAAAGCAGATGTCTCAGGGTGCTGAACAAGACCGAAATCTATCATCAGCTCCGTTGGGAGTCTTGAATGAGTTGCATGGCATAGTCGAGGAGGGCTTGCAAGAGCTATTGCCCAGGGGTTGCGAACCAAGGATGAGTCCTGGTCCCAATGTTTACTGCGTTCTCCAGTTTTGGCGATTCGATTTAGAGACGCTCGTTTCTCGGATCTCCTTAATATAATTGGTGATTCCACTAGGCCATCTGGAGCAGCGGAGTTCGAGGATTTCTCTCCGGATATGCTACCATATCGCTTTTTCGTATACTTTTGGGCAGGTTGACAAACATCCTGGTGACTCTTTGGGTATAATTGAGTGTTTGTATTTGGATATTGCTTGGGCTGAGGCGTTGTAGAAATTGTTATTGAATAGGATCTTGGGATGAGCCTGGGATGCTTTTCTATCGAAAACGTAGCATGACTAAAAATCTGTTGGCATAACGATAGTCTTGAGCAGAAAAAGCTTCGTTTCATCTTATGATGCTTTCTCTCCTCAGCTCGCACCTACACACTTAACACTCTGTAAATATAAAGAATAGATGAAGAATAACCAACATCTTCAACTCTTTTTCTGTCGTCGGAAGTTTTGATGAAACTGCTTAGTAAGCGCAAAACATCTCAAAACGACAGAAAACATGAACATTTTGCGCCTCAAGCTGGCAAATATCAAAACATTACCCTTTGCGATGGTATAATATGCTCCGTGAAGCGACGTTCCGGAGAGCTTTAGGGGTGTTTTATGCTCCGATATCATAAGCTACTTTCTTTCTTCGTCTACGCCACTATTCTCATCTCTAATCTCTAAACATCTCTATGACAACCCAGGCTCCTATCACCGATGCCGAGTATATCACAGACGTCCTCAATATACCTAGCAGGTCAAGCCCGGAAGATGACATCGAATCAATTACTTCATGTCAGAGTCAACCTGATCTTAGTACCAGGAGAGCGACCTTCGCAAAGTCCAAGTCCGTATTTCTCAATCGACTGACTCGTGATTTGGATTTGCTTATATACTGTGAGCTATCGGCCCTCTATTATATGGAGTAAGCTATTTCCTTCATGAATGTCGAGTGCGCAGCTTAACTAATATCTTTTCTTCGATCACCAGCTGCTCTATCATACACTTCGCCGTACGAGCCATAGTCCAGTTCCTATTCCTAACCCCTAAAGCAGCCAATTTTCCTGAGCCACCGAAGAATCAACCTTACATTGGAGCAATTATCTTGAGTAACTTAGTCTGTATCTTCCTCCACGTTGTTTCATCAAATCCGTCTGCAGGAGAAGCATCCAGAGGGTACCTTCACGGTGGGCTGTTCATTGATTTCATCGGTCAAAAAGGCCCCATTTCAAAAATTCAGCTGCTTACTATGGACCTATTGGTTTTATGCCTTCAAATCCTGATGGTTGGAGCACTCCTGGAGAAAGAAAAGGCCTCTGGATTGAACCCATCTCAGCGAACTGTCGGGAGTGCGGCGTCTTCAGCAGTGCAAGAGCAGGACCATGATTCCGAGGAACAAGGACTGCTGAGATCATCCCAGAATTTGTCCAGCCAGGAGGCCGATATTGGGATCCAGCAAGGAGAGGGTCTCGAGACTTCGAATCTGGGCGGTGCCAGAGGCGTTTACACAGTCAGTGGTATGCATCCGCGCGACTATTTCCATTCGGGGGAAGCCTTGGTTATGAGCCTGGATGTCAGCCGTACACTCCAACAGCAGTGGCATAGCCGTACCTCAGCGCTTGTGTCCCCCTCTGCCTCATTAAGTAACAATAGAGTCCCCGCAAGCACATTCATTAGACGCCAACTGGGCATTCAAACGGAAGCTGCCGGGTCTTAACTTTGCAACCTTGTTTAAGCTTTGCTAAAGGACTTGCAGTTGGCCTGATATGCAGTTCAGTCCTGTATATATATTATATGCTTTATGAACAGTACAGTAATGAATATTCTAATATGGTGATTTATTGTTGGACTGAGGGGGATACATTGAGTAAATCTATACACAGAACCCCTATTTACTAGGGTCAACCTATCGTACATTGTTATGCTTTAATTTCCTGATTTATGAAGTTGGTTCCTCCTTTGGAGGTATTCGTCTGTCGAGGATAGAATCCACGATGCCCATTTCCAGAGCTTCCTTTGCACCCATGAAATAGTCTCTCTCCATCAGTTTTTCGATCTCCTCCAGTGTCATTTCTTTTCCTGTCAAATGGCGTTTGTAAATTTGATTTAGTTGGTGGCGTACTCGAAGGATCTCCTTTGCGTGGATGGCAATATCCGTTGCCTGACCGAAATACCCTCCTGAAGGCTGATGAATCATTATTGATGAATGCGGAAGGCAGTATCTTTTCCCGGCTTCACCGCCACATAGTAGGAGAGATCCCATAGACGCCGCTTGGCCGACGCATATCGTACTGACTGGGGACTGAATATAGGTCATTGTATCGTAAATTGCAAGCCCTAGTAAAAAACCATATTAGCTATGCTGGACTACATCCATAAGAAATTCACATGCATGTGGCCTACCAGCTGTCACCGACCCTCCGGGCGAATTGATATAAAGCTGAATAGGCTTTTCTGGGTTGTCTGCTTCAAGGAATAAGAGCTGCGCAACTATCGCAGCCGATAGGCTTTCGTCAACCTCGCCATTGAGGCATACAATACGCTCCTAACATACAGGTTAGAATAGCTTCTGATGAAAGTGAACTTGAGTTGCCCAACGCGTACCTTTAAGAGACGTGAAAATATGTCATCTTTGGGATGTTAGGTCAGTATTGGTCTCAAGTGGAATGCGGTTGGAGCAGATCGCATACAGGTGTGCCAGCCGCCTCCCTTAGAATCGCGACATTAATTAGCTTCTTATTCTCCATATCTGATGTTGAGAGCTCGTTCATGACATACCACCGTCTCAGTCACAAATGGCGTGGGTGTCCAGTTCCGGGGCGGAACCGGAGCAGAGGAATGAGAATAGCCTCGAGAAAGTGATTTAGAGGTAGAGAGGGCTAAGCGATTGAGTACCCGTAGTCGGTTCATGAGTAGATATTGATCCTATAGCTCTTTAATCCTCCAATTTCTAGTGTAGTGCACGTAACAAGTTGCTTCTGCTGTTTGTCTATTCGCGCTGGGAGGTTGTGATTACTCTTCACCGTGTCGGTGTTAGTTACGTAATCGCAGCTATTTAATAGGCATTTTGAAAGAGATGTGATACAAAACATTGGTATAAGATGCAACGGCCAGCGACTAATTAGACTGTATTATTCCGGATATTTGTAACATGAAATCCAACGTTGAGAGATGTTCATCAGCCCCGTCTACTAATCGTTTATCAAATTCGGAACAGACTTTCAATATCTGATTCTTTTGTACATCTGAAACAGCTTCGTCCTGGAGGACGGCTTGGTATGTCTTGAAGCACTATTAGCATATCATTCCCAAAAGCTCATAAGGGTGGATGACTTCGTACCTGTGAGAGGACCTGGGAGGCGCTCCATCCATCAGCCACCAGGTCAGTTACTAGATTTGAAATTTCGTCGTATTTTGATACGCGTTTGTTTGGGCGAAGAGCTGCCATGACACGATCCATAACAGTCTCCGGGACCAGGCCTGATACCTCTTCAATACTTTTCACTGTAATCTTGCTTTTTGTATCTTTCGCCTCTGCAGTCTCGTCGGATACCTCTTTCTTCTTCCCTGAGCCGAAGCGGGCTAATCTTGCAGAACTCTGCATAAATGTTATTGCTTTTCGTAGATCTCCATCGCTGCACCGAAGTAGAGTCTCAACGACGTTATCCTCCAAGTCCAGTTTCTCCATTCTTGCAATTTCAACCAGCCGGCTTCGGGCAGCAGAGCCATCTAATACCTTGAACCGAAATTTGCTGCACCTACTCGCTACAGGGTCGATTATTCTGGTAACATAGTTGCATACGAGGCAGAATCGTGTAATGCGACTGTACTTTTCCATGGTTCGGCGAAGGGCAGACTGTGCATCGTGTGTCATGCTATCGGCCTCATCGAGTATGACGATTTTGAACGGTGGGCAGGGATACTGAGAACGGTATGCAGGGTCGGCTGGAGGTTGAGACAGGTGCATTCGAGCAAAATCCTTAATCTTCTCACGGACAATGCTAATCCCACGCTCATCTGAGGCATTGAGCTCGAGAACTCGCGAACGGACGAGCGCTGGTCCGAAGAGAGACTTGGACATTGCCAGAATAGTTGAAGTCTTTCCCGTTCCTGGAGAGCCGTAGAAAAGCATATGAGGAAGCTATAATGTTATTCGAGCGCGTCAGAGAGAATACAGAAACGGAGAAGGGTGCTGCCTTCTTACATTCGAAGCGTGCAGGTTCCGCTGCAGAACAGAAATTGTATGGTCTTGGGCGGCCACATCGTCCAGGGTCTTTGGTCGGCTAAATTCATATGGTCGCATTGTCAGTTTCCGTACATAGCCTGGACCATGGATCTGACATACTATTTCTCAACCCACGGCTGTGTTTGCTGGTCGGAAGAATCCTGACTATTACTCGCACTGCTTTTAGCTGCCAAGGCTGCCGCAGCGCGCGCTTTGTTGTTAAAGAAATTTGACGCCATTAGGACAAATCTGTTAATGGCACTGCGGAAAATCCCAATTCTGTGGTGGGATGAGATGTTTCTGGAGGGTGAAAATTAACGTAACTACAAGCCGCGTCGAAAGCGCGAGAGCGCGTTAAGTGACTAATTAGTTAACGGGTTAGCCGCGGCTTATTCAACCTCCACAATCAAATTTTCCATTTACCTGCTTTGTCCCCAGTAGTTGTTATATGAATGATACGTATGCCTCCATGCAACTGGTTATCTATGCTTCTGATATAAGACCCTGTTTAAGCTGGTTAAGAGCGGTCTAGTATGCTCAAAGCAGTTAATGGTCAGGAACATGCCAACCTATTGTCAGCTTCTCAATTTCCAGTCGATTTTCTTTGTTCCGTCACTATATATATTCGAGCCTAACGCTGTATTTTGCCCTGGAAGGCTGTGAACAGCCCTCTCTTATATCAATATTTCGGTGTCTAATCGTCTTTCTTTAACATGGCTGCTGGTGTACAAGATGGCTAGACTTCAGCTCTCGGTCAGCTCGCCAGCTTGGATCATACGGATCACTATGTAAAATCAAGCGCGAAACCAAGTAGCCGATTGACATGCAAATTAGACAATGTAAAGTGCCGCCAGGACTTAGCTGTTGCACGCAAAGAGAAATTATTGCAGAAAAATGTGAATTTGAATAATAACCTCTAATTTCTTATGCGCTGCTAGAGAATTTAGGCGAGGGCGTTCTCTGATCTCTAGTCTACGGTCTTCCAGGTTGTAAATCCACTCTAAAACATTCTATTTTACATCGTATTGGTTAAATGTGGGTAACTAAGCTAGAGGAGATAATAAGCGCCATACTAAGCTCCTATACAAGCTTTATATTGTACACAAAGGATGGATACTACCTTTCCCAACAGTTACTGCCCTATCTTTGGTCCGCAGAGTGTTAGCGTACAGTGCCCGCTGCATTAAATTGGAACATAGACATTACTTATGGATGCTATTTGCTACTCCTCGCGAAATATTTGAATTCAATCTAGCTAGAAGGATATAATAGGCTAGAACAGAAAAGTGCTCCCTCTAGCCTGAGGTCTCATTTCAGTAAGGAGTAAAAAATAGAAAATGCCTTTTTTATTAAAAGTTGTAAGTAATACTTCTATGTATTAATGTTAGCTTCCAAATACAATGCAGTTACCTTATTTAATTAGTTAAATATGCAGACCAGGAACGATTTAGGCACCTGCGGTGGCTAAACCATGCCAGCTACCAACCGATTCCATTCTGAGTACTTGCTGCATTATTAAGAGTATTGCTCTTGTTACGTAGTCATAGCTAACTGGGGCGGAAACCCTAAGTAACAACCGTATTATTTAGCATGATTTGGCTGGGGATTAGTTTGCAGCCTTGTTCTAATGCAACCAGCAAAACTTGTGATTAGATCATATTTATGAAGAATATAGGTTTGACATTTAGCTTCAACGCTCCTTGTGGCTCCAAGTTTACTGGTAAGTTAGAGTAGTGAAAACAAATTGGTCGACAGTAAACACTTTTATAATAAATTCTTTTTTAACGCTAACTCTTATTATCTACACTTTTCTTGCAGTACATTCTCTTTTATGGTCGACGCCTGAAGCTTGTGTATACTCAGGACTAAAATACAAGATGCAGACCAGGCGCCAGGGGTGAGTTTTGAGTAGTGGGGCGGTTCGCGTAACAAGGTTGGCGGCTGATGGTGGGGCCGCGGAGATAAGCCACGGATTTACATCGAAAAATACATAGTATATAGTATGGCGGGGTTTCACGTTTACATACAAAGGATTCAAACCCTGCACGCTGCAAGGCTGGACCTTTGTTGGCTCCAGTCTTAATAACAATTGTGTGTCCTCCGTACATACCATGTCCCGTTGACCTCTGACATATTGCTTAGGTAAATATTTGACCTCACGTTACTAGGCAAAATCTGGCCGGTGTGCGTCCATAAAAGCATGCTGTTATAAGCTTAGATTTACGAGCTGGCCTCATTTATTTAACTTAGATTCCGGTTCCTTTCATCGAATGATGTGTACTACGCACGCCATGGATGTATTTCTTTGTATGTGAGGTCCCGGGGCCAGGGCTGGGACAAGGCTGTTTACGTTTATAATGAGGGGGGCGCATTCTCATTGCCTGCATGGCTCATATAATGGCCATGTATCTGCCCCAGTTCGCTGCCCATTACTGTCTCTTCTTTTCACAAAATCAATAACCACCCCAGAGACTCCGGCTATTATGGAGACAGAGACAACGCCACCCAAAGCGGGCCATACGGTTCGGTTTTGGGGCATATTTATTGCGCTATGTATTCTCTCGTTTATCTCAGCGCTTGATGTCGCAATCATCACTACAGCCCTCCCTACCATCACCGCCGAGATTGGGGGCTCCAAGAAATACGTCTGGATTGCTAATTCTTTCGTGCTGGCCTCTTCGGTATTGCAACCGCTTTGTGGTCAGCTTGCAAATATATATGGGCGTCGAATCCCCTTCATAACGTCTATTGTGCTATTTACACTAGGCAGTGGTATTGCTGGCAGCGCTACAAGTGCAGCAATGCTAATTGCTGGCCGCACAATACAAGGCGTCGGCGCTGGAGGTATGTATGTCTTAACTGACATTGTTTGCTGTGACATGGTCCCTCTCCGTGAACGAGGAAAGTATCTCAGCCTGATGTTTTCATGGTCTGGAATGGCGGCTGCCTTGGGTCCAGTCGTTGGAGGAGCGCTGGCTGAGGCAAACTGGCGTTGGATATTCTATCTTAACATTCCCATCTGCACTGTAGCGTTGGGGATAATACTTTTCTTTATGAAGGTAAAAACTTCAAAGCTTGACAAATCGGGATTACAGCAAATCGACTTTCTCGGAAACCTCATTTTTATCCCGAGTATGGTTTCTCTTCTCCTTGGACTGGTAACTGGAGGTATTGAATACCCGTGGTCTAGCTGGCGAATTATCCTTCCGTTGGTATTAGGCATCGTCGGCTGGATCATTTTTCATATCCAGCAATCATTCGCCAGTTATCCAAGCGTGCCCCCACGCCTGTTCAGCAATCGCACCTCGGCCGCTGGATATCTTTTGGCCTTTCTATCTGCTGTCCTGGTTCAAGCAATCTCATATTTCCTCCCAGTGTACTTTCAAGCTGTCCATAGTACAACAACCTTACGGTCTGGTATCAACTTTCTCCCATTTGCTATCAGCACGTTGGGCTCGGCAGTTATATCTGGTATACTTCTAAGTAAATTTGGCGCCTATCGACCTCTCCACGCCATCTCTTTCGCCCTGTCTGCTATCGGGTTCGGCCTTTTGACTCTCTTGAACGGCGGTACAAAAACTGTTGCCTGGGTCTTTTTCCAGTTGATTGCTGGTACAGGCTCAGGGATAATATTGTCCGTCATGCTACCGGCGATTATGGCTGCTCTTCCGGAATCTGATGTTGCATCCTCAACTGCAACATTCAGCTTTATTCGGACATTTGGATATATCTGGGGTGTAACAATCGCCTCTATAATATTCAACGGAGAGGTTAACAAGTATCTACCGTCCATCTCGTCGCCTGCTCTGCGGGACCGGTTAAAAGATAGCGCGGCATACTCATTTGCTAGCCAAGCTCATAATTTGCGAAAGAATTTCCCGGAGTCTGTGTGGAATGAAGCGGTGGAGGTATATGTTAAGAGTCTAAGGGCAATTTGGTGGGTTGGGCTAGGCATTAGCATTGCTGGCTTGTTTGTGGTGGCTGTGGAGAGGGATTTGGAACTCAGACAGAATCTGGAAACCGAATATGGCATTGAGGATGAAAAGAAGAGCGACACGGCTACAGACGAAGAGTTTGGCCCGTGAAATAACGGAATAGTTATATCATAAAATCAATAATATGCAACACTTATTCTGCCAAAAGGTTCTTAGACATCCAGAGGAAAACAAGTATGCCTCAAGAAAAGTTGAATAAGATCCTTCTATTAGCTAGAAACGCTTGCGTCGTCCCAATTTCATTTCAGACGTTGATTTAGGGGTATGAATCTTGTATTTAACCGTTTGTTTGACATACATCTCTAACTTCAAGCTTGACAAAAACTTAAACCCGCCAGGGCGGCTCTTTGGAATATGCCATCCTGCCACACTCCTGTGGTTTATGTTGTTTCTAGCCCATATGATCTGATAGGATGACACAGAGATCGGCGTTTACAGCGATGTTCATGTATGCAGACCTATATGTAAATTAGTTCCGAGTCTTATATATTATCAGTAATAAAGGGGTTAATATACCTCGGAGAATCCATGTCATCAGGCGCTTCTCCGGTTGCGGAAGCTGTTAGGTTCCGTAGTTTTTATGAAGTTTAGCGGTTCAACTTTGGTGGAATCTCGATTAATGGCTCTAGCACTGATGGGCTCGACTCGACTTATTGGGTAATAAACCTGGTTCCGACACATTATCTGACCAAACTGAGTCGCATAACCGATGCTGATTATCAGATGTGTCTCCTCAGAGGCCTCTGGATTTTGGAGCTCCTTGACTGAGCCTCGATTTGGCTAGGGAAACTGAGCTCAAAGTAATAAATACTTCAACCTCAGAACAGTCTCTGCTGGGATTTTCACTATCATAACGAGCAACGATATCAAATAATTGGCACCGCCTCTGAATGCAATCCAAAAATTAGAGTATCCGAATTGATGGTTTCTTTGTTTCCAGAATTACCAAAAGCTCAAACTCGTTCGTTCATTGCCAAACGTAGAGAAGCTTGGCAGTACCTTCTTTGTAAGGCTGTTAGATAATAAGAGGGAAAAAGCAAGTAGACATCAGAGACTTCCCGAAGAATGTGAAAGGAATAATGTACGGTAAAAGCGAGGTATATTAGACAAAGACCAGACGTATTAAATGGATAAAGACGGGACATGATGCCGCGGGCGCGTTGATAGCATTGCCACAGGAGATATCGGTTCAACCGAAGCGAGAAATAGATGTAGATGGATTTCTAGAGTTCATCCACTAGAGGTTCTTCCCACATCCTCTTGTTAGGATTAGGATACACCTTTGGGCCGTCTGGTCGCTGCGTAGGTATTTGTTTATCTTGCTCTGCTCCATCTGCTCCAGTCCAGCGATTGATATCTTCAGCCATATCCGGTATACCAGCGGCCTTGGTAGAGTCTGGGTTCCACAAGGAATTCGTTGCTGTTGGCCCCAAGTTAACCGTGGGTAATGACTGCGTCGATATAATCGATTTAGAATCCCTAGCCAGGCCCATAGACACACCGCTAGAAACTCCGAATATACTAACTGTGATTCTAGCAATGAGTTTGAGAGGGAGCCAGACAATCCACCACAGAGGGCCGTAGAGTATTCGTCTAAAAATAAGCCATGATATCGTGCCTATAAGGATATAAAATGCCGTTTCCAGGTACCATGTGTCTGATTTCTGGGACCGGAGAAGCGAGCTTACGAGGGATCTAGATGATGCAAGAAGGGTATCCAGGTTGCTGTATGATTCCGACAGAGAGCCAAGAGCCTTGGTGGATTGTTCTTAGGAGCGGAGTTCAGTAAATTGGTAGAAACATGAACAAGAAGTAATCTCACTTACCTAAAGTTTCCTGCGCAAACTGGCTCCTTGAAAGTTCGGCCTGCATGAGACTGTGCGTTTGCCTCAGTGCAGCAGTCACATCCTTTGACGAGTTTGCAACGAGGTCGCCGTGAGTGAACTTTGGCAATCTCTTCTTTGGCCCATCCTCACCGGCCGCAGAAGGTTGAAAGAGAAGCTGTCTCTGCCTATTCTTTGCCCTTTCCGAGTTACGCTTGGCTTCTATCTGTGCTCTCCTGAATTTAGACCGAGCCCTATCGGACTGTCAGCTAAAGTGTAAAAGCGTATGTCATTAGCATGCTGGAGCCCGCACATTTTTAAGTCTTCTTCCAGCTTTGCCATGAGAGCCATGGCCTTCCCGCCCTCAGAATTAACGGGTACACTCTCCATGCGTTGATGTCGCCTCCGGTCAAAAGGGTGCGTCTCTACGCGTAAGACCTCCATTTCTTCTTCTATCTCTCCAAGATCATGATGAATCTCGGTACTAAGATCGATTCGCTCATCGTCATCATAGTTGTCTGAACTGCCAAAGGATTGTAAACGACGTATCAAGCCAGAGACCTTCTCGATGGATGACTCGACGGAAGCAAGCCGAGAATGAAGAGAAGCCGACATCTTGGGTATCACCGTATCACTTTTATGTTCCCTTCAAGTGTTCTGTCGTGAATATCAAATTCATGCCAATTCAGATGTTTGGAAACGGCGAAGTTGGTCTTTTGTATCACGTGATATGATTATTTTTCGATGAAGAAAGTCGAAGATTGAATCTTCAATTTACACAGAACAAGCCATAAACAGCCCACGGAAGAGTCAATTGCATAGCTACAGTGCTGTACTCTCTATTTACCGTGAGTTAACGCCTTACCCTCAATGCCAGTTCTGAAATGCTGACCGGTTCCCGGACATAATAGCATCAGACCACCTCAAAAGAGAGAAAGGAACACAACGATGGCCCTTCCATTGCGATCAATAACCTCGTTCCGAACATCATTTTCTCCTCTGTCACCATTATCTCGACCCTGTCGACTGTTTCTTGCCCTGCTACAGACTCCAACAACTGCCTCCCCTTCGTCGGCAGCGCACATCAAGATCGACGTGACGCATCTGCCGAAGAACTCGAAACAACTGCCTGAGATGACGGTGGGATTCCGGAACGGCAAAGAGGTGAAGTTGGAGGTGGGCAAACTACGGCTTTCGGTGGGGGACGTGATGGAGGAAGTTGGAAGGGTAGGGAGGCTGATTGAGAGAGAGGAGAGTTTGAAAGGATAGATAATGAGGTCGGGGGATCATGGTGTTTTATTTTGGCATGTATAACTAGAACTTGTAACAATTATGATATTATCGTGCATATACGGTGCCTTTAGCGTTGGTATAAATTTATTCTTCATTCAAGGTGGCTAGATACAATTGAGCTGGACTATGACCAAAGTAGAGATGGGCTCTCGCCGTTTTGTCTATTTAGCTACAGCATGAAATCAAGACGTGCCTCCTGTAGGTGGGGGCTTCTTTTTTTAAGTCATCTAGTGGCATCGGAAAAATGACAAAAGTTAGACAGAGGCACCGGAGATGAAGAACCACTTGTCGATGCTGCCGTCGATGGGAGCAGGTGGGAGGTTGGAGGCAGATGGGATGGCCTCGAGCTTGGCGGGCTCAGCACGGTTGGTGTCGAGGGTGGAGTTGGCACTGCAGGCTGTTAGCTGGGTGGTAGGTGCGAGAGGGTACAATGGTTGCTTACAGAGAGATGCCGTTAGCGGGGGACTGGCCGGACATGAGCTTCTCCCAGGCCTCAGCACACTCCTTGACGACGTCCATGGCGTACCTACGTCGGTTAGTATATGCTCGTTGCTGAAAAATGATACGCAAGACCTACTTGGCGTTCTTGCACTCGCCGGAGAAGGCGAACTGGTTCTCTGGCTGCCGTCCGGG